TTAACATCAAAGAAAAAAGAAATTGTTTCAGCACAAAATCAAGAGCAAAATTTATGCAGAAGGGCCTGAATTAGCATAAAATTCTTGGAAGAGAAGACTTTGATAAACAAGCTTGTTTGCACATGCATCCCATTCTGACGCCCACTTATACCCCCTATTCCTTATTTTTTTCCCCCAATGAACCGAAGCTATCGACTTGAACCAGTTAACCTTGACTCAAAGCCGCAGAGGAAACGCGCGTGGCAGATTATTGCAAAACTTGCGCTAATTTATCAAGCGAACTCCCCCACAGAACAAACAATTAAACAATTTGCAAACGAAATAAAAAGTTATTTGCAAATATAATATATGACACTGAGGAATATTGATAGTGATTTCCTTCAAGCTGCTTATCGATACCCCACAGAAGTGAAATCCCAACTGAACTCAGCAGAACTTCATTGTACTGAATTATGAATCATTGTGCAAAATATTTTTTAAGTACTTTAGAGATAATAAATCCAGCATGGCTTTACAAAAGCTTTATCTCCTAGCTGAATATGTATATAATAATGACTGGCGAATATATATCACAATTATTTTAAAAGCTAATTTCATGTGTTATTTATAAATTACTCAATGGAGTCTCCAAACGACTTCATATTCGTTAAATTTATTTAGTCACATCATAATTGGAAGAATTAATTAAATAATAACGATTGCGTTTATTGTCAAACAAATTGGCGTAGAGAGAAAAATTTTAAATTTAAATTTTTCATTAGGAAAAGTTCGAAAAAGTATATTCAAATACCATGTTTAAGGAAAGTGGGTCGAAATTTGGATATTTGAGACGAAAATAATTCAAATTTGATGGAAATGTGACACTTTGATTCCACGAAAAATATTGCATCATTGAACACAGCGCAAGCCTCTAAATTATTCACAAGGTGTGATTTTTACTTAAAATATGCACGCCCATAATGCGACCCCGTAAATGTTTTGCATTTTGCGTTTTCAGGACATGTGTCTCTTGCATCGTATCTATAATATGTGGACCACATTTTGTGCTAGTACGTGTAGTTTTATCCTTGTGCCAGATTGATTTTCCTTGCTGACTTTCCCACAGCCCATCCTCGTTTTTATTTCTTTGTTGTTACTTTTGTTGTTGCGCGTTGTGGTGGCAGATTCTTTTCTCATACGCCCCATGCTCTTATTGATTTTTCCTTCTGCTCATTCGCTTTTTTCTCGTGTGGTAAAGCAATAAGAAAAATCGTTTTTCTGTTCGATATTTTTTCCTTTTTTAATTGCATTATGCAGTGAAATCACAGGGCGACAAGAGGGGCGGAGGCCAAAGTTAATTTCATTTGCGAGTGTGGACAGGATGCAGTCGAAATCAGAGTCCTATGGCTCAGCTCTGCCCATTGGATCCCATTGTTCGGCCCGTCAAAAGTTCGAACTTTGCTTTTAACTGATTTGCCGGGGGGCGGTAATGCGATTGGGTTGCGCCAAACATTTCCGTTCATTGCATTGTTTGTATTCGGTTCAAGGATTTTCCCCATCTATTAGGGAAACTTTGGATAATTGCACGCGAATCAAAGCTAATTTGGAGTGCAAAATTCAGGAAAATGTTATAAACATGCGCAAATTAAGGAAAAACGTACACACTTTAAATTGAACATTAAGTAAAAAGTACTTTTTACAGTTCTGCTGCAGTTCTCTTTGATTTCTTACAACTTTTTCCATTTCCTTTTATCTGGTTGGCCATAAATCTGCGTTGGGATCATTAATTTGGACCCGCTTAAGGGCTTTCGCCCAGGGACTTCATTTTTGTGCCACAATCCGTTGCACGTGTCCCACTTTGCCCCCACGGTTGATTCCCTTTATCACCTTCCCTTATCAGTGCAGCGACAGACAAAGAAGGGCAGAGTGAAAATAGAGGGAAAATGCCAACTATTAAGTTTTCCCAGCTTAGCAGAAGGCGGCAATATTTTCCGACTTCTCCGGGATTTCGACAGACAGAGTGAGATGGTCGGAGAACTGGAATGGGAACATAAAAATGCTAATCATTTGCTCATTAAATCCGCATCATCCGCTGCCGACGTCGCTGCTAGTGTTAATGACAGGACACCAGCCGGAGTAAAGGGCCGGGAAAACTGCTGAAAAAGGGAGAGAAGGAAGGAAAAGTACCTTGAGGCCCGGGCAAGCCGCACAGCTGTTCTGGGGGCCTCAAAAGTTCAACGAGAATTTGGCACAGCGCAAATAAATAAAAACAAAAACAACGAACAGCAGCAGTCAAAGAAGAAGGGACGAAAACAAGAAGAGAAATAAAGTTCGAGCAGAACAGAAGAAAGAAGTTGGGTGAAGGGCAAGTGAGGGGCATTACAGTGAGTTCTAGAGTTGGTGTAAGAAAAATTCATGGGGCCCTAAACATTTAAAAAAATAAACCGAAAGGTATCAAATCATGTGTTTAAATTTGATTATTGTATATTCTATTCCAGTTTAAATACAAATCGATTCTAAAGCCCATTTGTGCAACCAGCTGTAAGTACCCTAATTGATTATTAATTACATTTGATGGCACTTTGATCCTAAAAATAGCGCAATAATCCTTCTATTCTATGCACTTAGCGAGTGTTGTTCTAAAAATACACATATTCCCAGTCAAACAGCTGACAGTTTTTCGATGTGTCAGCCCCACTGTAGGGGAAATCCGGCCAAAACACCCAACAACCCCCTGCGCAGCCATCCTTACAGCCTGCAAAATATTAGGCCTGGGCCTGGAACTCAGATCTGGGGGCTGGATACAACGCAGTCCTTCGTCAGGGAAACAAAACATGCCACAGGGATACATAAAGCAGAAGGAGGTGGGCTGATAAGGGGGGAAATGGGCTGGGGCAATGCCAAATCATCTGTTTTAAATCGATTTTCCTTGCTTTTGTTGTGCTTTTTTTCCTTTCCTGTTTATATGTATGCTTTTTTGTGCCCTACACAGCAAAAATGAAGGTGTATTTGTAATTTAATTAGTTGGTTACATTTCGTTACTCAGTTTTTACTACACGTGACTCAATTCGATAAATAGATACAACCAACAAAATGTTCATGTTGTCATTTCAATATAGTATATCACCAAATTATTTTCTCGAAGTGTACCAGGACATTTGACTTATCCTCGAAATGAAATATATCTAAAGCCCTTGGGACAGCGAAAGAAAGAAAAATTGCGGCAGTCATTGTCTCTAATACAGGTCTTAAATTTTCCTTTGCAAAATGAAACCTAGAAAAATACTAGTACGCCTACACTGAACTCCCCCTGATACAATCTTGCTCTACGTATCTGTAGGTCCCCCTCGAAACTTAATTGACCCCAAAAATAGCTACGAAAATTGCTTTAAATTTGTTAAACTTCAACGGCAGCCAACCAATCTCAGATCTACGCCTACGGGTTTGAAGAGAGAGGGCGATAGAGATTACTGTAGAAGAAATCGAACGAAGCATTTTTGCTCATTAAATAAATCAAAAATTGCTTGGGCCTCGGTGGTTGCCCATAAAAGTCGAATTTCTCGACTTGGAGCGTTTCAAATGAATCGTAATTTATGCAAATTGGGCGAAATGTTGGCAAAAATGTTGAGCAAAATTGTCACTCTTTTTGGGCCAAATCGAAAACAGATTTCTTCTGATTTATCTTCAAAAAAAAAAAACCTTAAAGTGTTTTTAACAGATTTGATCAAAAAGTGTTGTGTTTTGAAATAAAGTAAGATCACGCAGCTAAAAAGCACTGGGAGAGGAAAGCATTCGAATAATGTATAGGCACCACCTAACGATCACGTTGATAAGTTTACGTGCCAAACTAGAACGCTTGATTATTTAAAATTTAAAGTTATTCTGATCGAGAGAATCTTTTATTCTTTAACATACCATGAGAAATTTTGTGATCTGCAAAATTCAAATCATTGTGCCACTTACTGATGGTATAAATCTTTTTATGTAAATAGTACTAAATTCGCTGGGAAACAACTTTGAACTTAAGTTAAATTCATTTCTGTTTATTTCTGTTTCGTAAGCTTACACCTCATAGAAACTGTAGGCGCAGTTTATATCAGATTTTTTGGAACAATTAAGCCTCATCCACATGAACTAAAACATAAAGCAGCCGCTGACCCAGCTCTCTGATCTCAGATTGTTCTCCTCTCAGAGATCTACGTGATATATGCCCTCTCACCCCGCCCCTATATCAACGAAAAAGTTTAAAACAAACTGTGTTACGTGCCACAAGCGAACAACTATCAGATAAAACATGATCATAACAGCACATATAAAATTTTAACTATTTTCGTGTCGGGCCAGTCTGAAATTTTATTGTTACGCTTGTGTAACAACAAAAACAACAACAAAAGCAATAAGCCACAACAAGAACCAGTCACGTTATGAGTAAGTTGAACAAAAACAAGCAAGATAACTGCACTTTTGTGGTAAAGGGGGAAAGGGTACCGAAAAACAGAGGAGCGTGCAATTTCCAAATCACTCGCGAAGAAAACGAAATTTATAAATCCCTCTTTAAAGGCAGAACCACTCGAGTGAAGGTCAATAAAGCGATGGGCCCATAAAAAGGTGCGATAATTCAAGAAAAAAGCAACTCAAGAAAAACCAAGAAGTAGACTTAAATTCATTGAACATGAGTGTGCTTTTACTGCCGATATTCCCCAACTGCGCCATAGAAGACTGTAGAAAATTGTCTGCAAGTTGTCCTCTTCTAGGGCAACTCACCTTACTAAATGGCCGTTTTCACAAGCTGCTGACCATGACCATGTGAGGGGTCTCAATTAACGGCGATCAAGGCTAAGGGTTAACTGCTACTCCGACTTTGATACTACCAATTTGCGAGGGTGTCCATGGGTGAAGGTCAAATGGGGGACTATTAAAACGCGTTTACTTCAACGCCACTTAAACGCCTTCGGGCTTAACTTTAATTTATTTAATTTTCCGGACAATCAATCGACTTGTGGACTTTGAAAGTAACTGACCTTTTTCTGTGGTTGCAATTTTCCCAAATTCGTTCAGTTTCGGCACAATTTGTTTACTTTTGCAGTTTATCGGCGTGTGTTGTTGTTGGTTTTCGGGAGTTTTTCGTCCAGTTTTCGTGCTCTTTTTTTGGGTTGGGTAATTTGGGGCCTCGAAAAAGGACGAAATCTATATTGGGCTCGCTCTCTCTCCGGCAAACTCTCTCTTCCCTTTTGCTCCTTGCGCGCGCGCTCTGCAAATTGATTTTCACTTTTGGCGATTGTCAAAAAGACGGCAACATATAAAAATAATAATAAACGAACACAACGCAGGAATTTTCACTTGTGCCACTTTTTTTCACCTCTTTTATTTTGTGTTTGCAGGGAAACGGGTTTGCGTCGATTTTTCGGTTTTGGGGAAACAAGAAATTCCTACTACGTTTTTTCCACTGGTTTTTTTTTATTCCTTACGTACGCCTTTTTCCTACCAACTTTTGCGTTTTTCTCCTTCTCCGAGATGCTCACACACACACTGGCGCACTCCCACTCTCACACACACGCACCGGCCAAACAACAAAAATTCTTTCGCTGTCTTTGATTTTTGTTTTTTTTTCCTTTGGCTTTGAGTTTTGCTGCTGCAGAGGCGAACCGGTTTTGTTTTTATTTGTATATTTCTTCTTGTTTTTGCACTTCACTTCGATTGGTTTTTTTTTGTTTCGTTACCTGCAGTTGGCAGTTTGAATTCTAATAATAACGGCAATTATTTCAAATTTGTATTGATTTCATCAGGATTCCTTGCACCGTTATTTCGCACTCACACACACAAGTCTGTCCCGTAACGTCACGCGCCCACACTTACTGAGCCTGAGCGGAAAAACGCGCACAAATCGGTTTGAGATATTTAAAAATTCGATTGCATCAATAGTTGATTTTTCCCGGCGACTCTAGGCCTAAAACATTTTCTGAACGGAGCACGCGAAAATACGTGCAGCACGAACCGCGGTCGAAAGCAACATAACAACTGTAAAAATGGGGGGCCCTCGACTTCTCCATAGGCTGCTGGCGAATATCGTGGTTTTCCCACCTCTAGTTTGAGAGAGCGAGCTCCAATTCGAAAGAGAGTGATTTCGAACTCGAAAAGAGAGAGTGGAGCGTTTTCTGTTATCCGTTGGCAGCAGTGGGTTCGAGACAGCGCTAAGTTCTTATTAGAGTTCTTCACAACGAGTTGAGTTAAATAATACATATTACAAATTTGAAATATAAAATTCCTAATATTTGTTTTAAATTTAAAATAAAATTATTTTTGAGCCATAATAAAATGGTGAGAGTACGATTTATTTATTTTAAGAGAACATATTTAAGCTCATAGAATTTACAGCAAAGTACGAAAAATAAATGTTAACCGGTTTTCCTCTCTCTCAAACAAACAGCTAAGAAAAGGAGAGACAGCGGATGATTTTAGTATGAGAAAACATTCACAGCTTAACAGCGCCCTAACATTTTCGGTCAACATAGCTGTTTTTGCCGGTCACTTTCGTCATTAGTTGGAAAGCATCAAGAGCGGTGGAAAATCAGAAAAACCCCGCCCCCTTCCGTTTATCCACCATACACCTTGAGTATTTTCTTGCACAAGTTCTGGGTCACTTGGGCATTTTCCAACCATTTCTTAGGGTTTTTCCCCGATTTCTTTTGGCTTTTTCGGCGCCCGAATCGTTTTTCATTTTCCTGGCTAAAAGGGGGGCGGGGGGAGGGGCCACGTGCGGCTCATCCACCGGCGATGTTGTTGTTGTTGTTTTAGGGAGCGGGAGCTTTTCTTTGCCGGTCCATTGTTCCCAATTTCCTCGTTAGCTGCTTTTTGTTGTGCAAGGGTTATTTCCACAGGCGCCTTAAGTAGTCGGTTTGTTTTTTCGCAAAAACCTGAAAGTCCAAGTGGATTTCTGCCCACTTTTATTGGCCTACAACAATTCGAAGCTTGGTAGGTTAAACAAAACCTCAAGTTATGGCCATATGAAAATAAATTGAAACCTGAAAAAGGTTTGGCAATTTGGAATTAACGATTTTCAACACTCAAGCTTAAACAAAATTTTAAAAAATTTAATTTGGTTTGTGCTGATGTTGTTACCAAACATTGCATAATTAGCAAACGTTAATAGCTTTCCAGAAATCTTCTTCACATGAGAAGCTTATCCACTTTTCCCCTATTAAAACTCATCACTCATTTTGCATTTCCTCAATCATTGAAATTGACTTGATTTATGCAAAACTCGGTTCCCCCGCTTTTCGGCAAATGAAAATGTTCACTCGACAAACGTGAGCCGAAAAATGATGACCCACGAGGTCAGCTGGAGTACCCCTATTATGAAGAGGGGTTGGCGCTGGCTTTGTATGGAAAATTTAGCAGCGTGGCCGGGAAAATGCAATTTCACTGACGCTGCCGATTTTCGGCTCTAATAATGCCGTGCACTTGTATTAGAGAGGTTTTCCTTTGCACTTTGCAAATTTCACGCATAATTAGATGGATGGCTGATTTTCCAGTCAAGCAAATCCACGTTTTGTGGGGTAGGACTTATTTCCACCAGTAATCATATTAATTTCAAATAGTTAAAACAGATTTGTCGAACAGATAAGTTATTTCTAAAACAATATGCAGATTCCTGTTGGATTTTATAGACAGTTTGCTGCTTAACAAGTTGTAAAAAGCCCACCCACTTTACATTTTCTTTATTGGGTGCGTGCTGGTCTCACAGTTTGAGAGCCACATGTTACCGATAGATGTTGCCAGTCAGTTGCTTCATGTTGCCGAGCGATTTATGAGCCAGCTATTTCGAATGCAACGTGTGCTGCTGGTGCAGCATGTAATGTGCACGACACGCCCCCCGAAACCTCTCCGCCTCCGCCCACCGCTTTTGAAACGCTCTCCGAAAAATGCTTTTGATCCTCCACATCCACTCAGAAATAAAATATTTAGTAATACAATTTAAAAAATTGATTCTTTTTAAGCCAACGGCTGTCTTTGTATCGGGACTTACTTTATCCGTTTACTAGTGGTTTTAAAAAATTAATTAATGAATAATATTTAAATTGTATATCCTTAATAATACATTTTTTTTCTGTGCAACCCAATGGGTGGCAAAGCTCGGCGGCAGCCGTTGAATTCACAATAAATAACAATCAACTGAGAGGGTTAATCAAAGGAGCAGTGTGATGGAAAATTTTGAGAGGCGGTAAATAAACCCCAGCTGCAGAGGATCGTATTTGATCATACAAAGGTCTTAAAACCACCTGAATTAGGTTTATTGGATATTCATCTTTAAATACACTTTTAAGTACTGCCGGTTTCTTTTGTATTATATTGACATAATACAACTTGTTTAATTCGAAATACCCCACTGAAAATTGCAAGTGCGACTGACAACTTTCCTGCCGGTTGCTAATTTATTCGCAAGGCTTATGATCTGTGAATAATTACGATAGCCAATGGTAAAATAATCAAAAGAGCCCCCGCTTTTTTGTGAAGGATCGCGGATCAATTTCTGCGGCTCAGCAAAGCAGAAAAATGGGGGGAAAAAACAAGGCTGTCCAAGTGAAAGTCCAACGCTTCGGCCGCTTCGTTCACATCTCACTAACCTCGTGATTTATATATTTGGCCCAAACCGGCTGTCTGTAACCCCCTGCACCCTGCCCCCTCACCCACCGCCCCCGATTGGCTGACAGTTGGACAGGCGGCTGAAAAAGGGGCGTGGCATGCGTTGCCTGCATAATGAAAACGTTTGCAGACAGTCCAAAACGGCAGCTAAAAACAAATTTGCATACTTAGGCGAAGAGGAAAGTGAAAATTGCATCAAATTTTTTCCAGGCCAAATGAGCGAAAGTAAATCGCAAAAAGGAGCAGCGAAAAGTGGCAGAAGAAGAAAAAACACCAAACAGGAAATGCATTTTGAAGCGTTTGGCAATTCGTAAAGCTTTCCGAACTGATATTTGATATTCAAATTAATTTTTTCGAAGGCAATTATGTAACTGGATTATGATGGAAGATTATGTAAATTACGGTCGAGGCGGCATACTCAAATATTTAAGGTATTTGCTATGCGGCTTCAGCTATAATTAAATAATGAGTAAGTGGCTTATGATTGAAACCGTTTGGATAATGGATTTAGTTAATAACTGGTGAGGTAACGCCTAGCAATAAATGAACACGAATATTTTGACAATCAGATTAAACATTTACTGTGCTTAATTAGACAACTATCATTTACTGGAAAATAGCTATAATCATAATTATTAGGTAAGAAATCTAACTATTTAGAAATATTTCTGTTCCTGTCAAACTGTAATAAGTTAATGAGAAATTTATGCAAAATATCTCGCAGACAGAGCGCAACAGCCGGAAAAGGAATTAAGCAATAAATTTATGTAAAGAACCAACTGAAAGCTGTAAACTGTCTTCTGCTGGCCAGAAAACCAGCTTTTCCTCCTCGCTCCCTTTATTTTTTGCTATTTCAGCACTTACAAGAATTACGCGACCTGAGAAAATTGTAATTCATAATATTCCATCCTGGGGAGCGGGCTAACAAATCCTCGGGGACCGGCATCCTTGCTCTTGCTGTGCGGGATCTGTTTTGTTGTTGCTAAAAATAGCACATGCCTCAAGGTTGCCCTTTTGAGGGGGGTTTGGGGCAGCGGGGGCGAGGGGATGGGGCAGATGGGGCAGATGGCTTCCCACTGCCACCGCTGTTGTTCCTTTAACGTGTCAAACTTTTGGCCAACGCAGCTCCCCCAAGACAGTTAAGAGATGGAATAAGGAATACGGAATGAGGGTGGTGACAGGTGAGCGGACGAGGCGAAAAAAGCACAATAACGCGCAGTCAGTCTTGCCACAATTCCACAGAGCTCTTAAAACTTTTTCAACTGTCAGCTTCAAAATGAAAGAAAATAGATACTCGTTGAAAACACTAAACTAAATTAATTATAAATAAACATTAAACTTAAATGCCAAAGAAGTAAATGCATTTGTTTATTTTTATTATTTTTTTCTAGGAAAATCCGATTCTTGTAAAAAAAAATGGTTGTTGTATCACAAATCAATTGAAATTGCTGCAATTTATTAACAAAGCTTTGTTTTTATTCCATTCTATGGCTTAAATAAGATTTTCACTGCGTGTTGTTTGTTGTTCCAGGCATGTTCCACTACGTCACATCACATGAACTATTTGAACCTAAAACCACAAAAGGACACTGAGCTCCGGATTTAGACAACCGGATTAGTGCCGATTGCGGTTTTGAATCACGTGACTGCAAGGTAGTGGCCAATTCCCGGAATTTGTAAATGAAATATTAATAACTCCAAAAAGTTTGTAAGCGCCGAAATAGAACTAAATCAATAAATTTTTAGTCCCATGTCTCTACGGTTATGCTGATCTGTAGATCTGTAAAATAGAAAAAAAAGTTAAAAAAAATGTTGTGCATTGAAAAGTATAATTTGCCGACAAATGATTGAAACTTAAGATATCAATTCAAAGGAGATTGCATCAAAAATTCACAGAATTTTTTTTTAAAGGTGCAGAAACAAATAATTTAAACAAGACCTTCTCCATTCCACATTTTTTTCTTCGTCGTGCAATCAATTTTTGGAGTAATCAGTTGGTTTGCTGAATGCTTCTGTTCCTGTTTTTCCTCCTGACAATTCCGCTCCCCCCTGGCCAATGCTTGCCGTGAAAAAATATTGAAAGTGTCAGACACACATTGAATAAAAAGGAGCCGAGATAAAGTGGGTGGGAAATGGGCGAGCTGGGCGAAGAGTCCGCGAGATTGCAATGTAAGTGGCACTCGCCATTTTCCCTCCGCTTTCCCATCTTTCGCCGTGCACTTTCACATCATTTGCACGTTATTAAGCGCCATTTGATGAGGGACTGCTGGGCGAAGTGGGGTGCATTTGTAAGGCAAACTATCAGCATTTGCCCGATTCCGGGCTCACTCTCATTTTCCTTTTCCCAGGAGTGTGCAAAATCAAAAGTTCAGCTTTTCCCCCCTCTTTTTCGGACAGCTTTTCGCTCGAATAACCGCGCTTATTAGTATTTGTGCAAAGGATTTGTGGGAAGGATTTGCGGTGTCTTTTACTAGGTTGCTACATTTTCAAAAAGGTGGTGGAAAAATCGGTTTGAGAGGTGAAAGCCTCAAAAGCGACAGATTTTGTGAAATAACTCTGACAGCAAAGAACAAAATTACCTAATACCTTCAATTACTTTTAAAATGTTAAAAGAATATTATTTCAATAAAAAAATTTCTATTAACCCATAAATTTAAGGAGCTCAACCGGGTTAACACAAGACACCAAATTTGCAACAAGCTTGCCAAGAAATTAGGCTAAACACAAAATAATAATAATAGGCAATAAACAAACGCACATGAGGCATTCTGGTGGCTGGCTCAGTGGGTTTCTGTTCGGACAAATTGCCACAAATTAAGACCAGAGCAAAAAAAGATATAAACCAAATGCACCCAGCAGGTGGTAAGCGAAGCGAAGCTGCAACTGCAGCTGAAATTGCATTGCAACTGCAACCAGCAGCCAGCTAAAGACACTTTTAAATCAAATTTCGCGATTTACTGAGTCTGGGAATCGCCCTGGCTCTCCGCATAATTTTCCGATTGCGTAAGCAGCTGGAAAACGATCGGGAAAATATACAAGGTTTTCTTGGATAATAAAAAATGTATCCGAAACTTTAATGAAAATTGTTGATGATTTCATTATTCTGCAGTTGTATTCCGGTTACTAACTTGCAGCAGTTTATTTCGGTTTTATATAAATTATTTTACTTCACCATATCATTACCATATCCTACAACTGTATAAAATTTCCTTTTGTAAGTTGTAAGTTGTTTATATCCTTTACCGTTCGCTGTCGCATCCTTAAAGTTCACTAATAAATATTTGTTGACCGATCAGTTCCTCTTCACGTTTGCCGCGCAACTGAAGACCCAAAATGTTGGTAAAACCCTTGACGCCGAAAAGTCCCATAGATACAATATTTATCATTATGTGCCTGCACGATGTCGAACTGTACATAAAATGTAATAAAATATATATCACTGATACCAATGCAAATAAGAAAGCTCGAATACAAGAAAAAAACATTTTGCTGACCAGATTCGGGATTCGCGACAATGTTCTTTAAATTCTGAGAGCGAGTTGCTGTACAATTTGCTGACTATTCAAAAAGAGTGTTTAACCCTTGAATACCAGCCATATGAACTATTTATTGACAAGTGTGAAAAAATGGTTGTAAATAAATTGTGTTAAAAAATAAAACCTATTATTCCTATACTTTCAGTTAGTCCCATATTTTAACTTGAGCTTAAAAAGAATTATAATAATTTATAACAATTCTCCTAAGTTACCCAAATGGGTTAAAACAGAGTATATAAAATGAAAAGGAATTTACAAAGAAACCCAGATTTAAATATATATAGGTTTGTGTTATTTCCATGCATGTGTCCATAAAGCTTCAATGAAACTTTAGCTTTTTATGCAAGCAACCGACGGAGAGCTATGAAATGCATTTCTAAGCAAAAAGTGTCCACCAAGCCACATTTTGAAAAGCACTGATTGCGGTGCAGCCGTGTGAAAATTTTGAGTTATATAATGCCGGACGAATTCCCCTCTCTGGACAGACCTCTTAATTCAAAGCCGACGCACCTTGGGCATACACGCTTATGGAATTATCATTGTAGAAGGAGCAACAATTTTCTCACGCCGCCGTAGCTTCCTGGTTCTCTCATTTTTCAGCATTTGTACAAAAAAAAAATATATAGACCACATTAAATAAAAACAGACCAAGGTAACCTTATACCCAGACGTGGAATTTGCACAGGTTTGCAAACGAAGCGTTCTCGGAATTCTCAGAACTTGCATTTTATTTTTTTGTTTTTTTTTAGTGTAATAATATTCCTTGAAATAATGGTTGAAGAGGCAACACAAGACCCCTAATCAACAACTTATCATTGACTGTCTTATCGTATTTACATTATATGCTACAATGTAACCATTAATTAACCATCATATTTGAGTAATCCTAGTTTTGGTTTTGGGTCGGAGCAGCCGCTGTTGAAGTCGATGTTGATGTTGTTGCAGCTGCCAACTTCGAAACGGGACCAATGCTCACCACTCGGCGGACAGCAGAGCCCCCCGAAGATGTTAGGGCTGGGGAGCCCACGACTGTTCCACCTGGTATACGATTGGCGAGCATCTGCACCGGAACCTGCTTCAGCCCGGTAGCCGACTTAAAGTAAATATTTCGAATGGGCGTCTTGCCGTCACCGGAAACGGTTTTAGCGGTACCCGAAGCACTGTTGATAACCTGGAACTGTGGATAGGTCTTGGTGACCACGTTTCCCGCTTGACGAAGGGTTCCTTGGGCAAGACCAGAAGTTGACGGCTTGATAGACTGCACGTTGACGGTCTTGACACTGGTAACCAGAGACCCTGTGGCAGGATCCACCAAGAGCGGGCTGCTTGAAGATGTGGTGGTGGTCGCCACCACTCCTCCCGGCTTGGGACTGCTGACAAATCTTATAGGCAGGCGGTGGCCACCAGTCACCACATTCCCCACCGGTTTCATTGTACTCCGGTTGAGATATACCACTTTGTTCTGACTGGAAACTGCTCCTCCTGGAGATTGGGTGAGCAATTGGTGGAGACCCTTGTTCAGCACTATATTCCCTGGCTTGGCGGTACCACTAGTGGTTACCATGCCTGGCGGTTTATTGGCCTCCTTGATGATTTTCTGGCTGATGATCAGCGGGCTCTTATTTCGAATGGGGGCTGTAACAAACAAATAAATGAAGTATGTATTTCCAAAACACATGATTTAACGCACCTGGTTTATTATCCTTGTCCGCCTGTTGCTGACCTGGGATATTGCCTTCGTTGTCGGCAAAAACAATGGGCATATCAATGATGTTTGACAAATCCATATTGCCTGAAGGGCTGCCAGCTGATGTCGAGCTTACGTTTTTGGTAAGATGCAGCATAGTCATACCATTGGCGTTCTTGAACACCGTGTACTTTTGTTGCCCAGTAGCTGGTGCTGTCGATGAGCCTGCACCCGTAGAAGGGGCCGCAGTCGCAAACTGCTGTGTTTGGCCCGAGGGCGTTTTCAGAGTGAAGATCTGCTGGCCACTAACCGATGAGCTGGGTACCGTCTTCACAATGCTGCCAATGGTGGTGGTGCTGGCGGATCCACCACCTGGCTTGTTCATTGTATAGTTGATCAGTTTGCTCTGCGAAGGAATCGATTTGATCTGGACAAACTGGTTGGATGGTATCATCTTGATCTTGGTGCCGGCTGCCAGATTGACTGGGGGCAGCTGTTTTCCCAGAACACCAGGTGTAATCACTTTGGGCAGGGCGGCGGCCCCACTTGCTGGTCCAGCTGCTCCTGAAGCGTCTTCGAAGTCCATGGAATCATCTAGCACGAATTCAATAGGTTTATTTAGTTCTTCACTGCTCAGTTTATGTTTGACTGGATGAGGTGCACCTTTTAGGCTACCAAAGCCGGCCGAGCCACCAACTTTTGGGAGGGGTCGTGTGCGGGGTCTTCCAACTGAAGGGGGTAGAACGGTTAGTAAATGAATCGGGAGTGCGAGCCACAAGTGACATTAAAGAAAGGCCCGAGATGAATTTACCCTTTCGCTTAGCAGCAAACGGATCAATGAGGCGCGGTGGCTTCGGCTTGTGGACGCGATCTTTGTTCAATGAATTGTTTTGATTGGGAATGGTATGGTTGCGTGGTTATTGGATTAACATGCGGGGTGAATAGTAGGATGATAAGGAAGTGCTTCAATGATCGTGCAAATTAGGAAAGTTTATACTTACTGTGAGCCACAAACTTTGACTTGGCCGGCAGACCCATTGAGTCGTCCTGCCCGCCTTCCACCTTTCGCTTGCGCATCTGCTGAACGGCCTTATTTGCATTTCCATCGGCTAGGATGTGCATTGGCTGCTTTTGCAGACGCTGGTAGCCCTGCTGGTGCATAAGCGACGTGGGCATGCGGGGTCCAGGTGGATTGCTAAGGGTTCGGTTCACAAAATCAAACACTTCCTCCTGCAAAAAGTTAAAGCACGTTAATATAGTTTTAGCTGAATTATTTCTTTGACATTGACTTACAACCACCATATAATCCACCATGGACTGTGTGACGCCCTCTATGCGGCGCTTGCTCTTTGGAACACGTAAAGCATCATCAGCGCTGCCCACGACCACCAACGAGGACTCGGACTGCATTCGTTCGCGCAAACCCTCCATTTCCTCCTGGCTGGTACGTGCTGAGTTCTGCCCGATAACAAACAGTATTGGAGCCTTTATGTCCAGCATCCGATCGTCGGGTGTTCCGCGAGGCCCACGCATCGTGTTGTAGGCAAATCCCATGCAAACCACACAGGCTACACTCTCAGAAAGAGCAACTTGTAGAGCTAAGGCTGCTCCTGCATTGAAACCGACGAGAATGATGCCTCGGTTAGGATTATCAGTGCGCAATTCGTGGATCCTAACTCGTGTAAGCGACACAATGGTCTCGGCCACCTGGTCCAGATTCTGATTACCAATTCGGTTGTCTAAAAATTATAAGTAATGTTAAATGTTATATAAACCAGAGTACAATAAATATCTTATATAACATACTTGTGTTGGGTAGTGAAATCTGCACCACCTGAGTAATAGTGGCCAGAGCTTGATACCACTTCTGCATGCGATCCGAAATTGTTCCAGTGATTGGCATAGTGGGCAGCACCACCATGATAGCGTTGTGGGTCAGTTGTCGCCCCTTGGGCAGTATGTTTGGCTCCCAACGCTTTTTCATTACCGGTGCCAGCAACTCCTGGCTATTGTTCAACGGTCTGCTGAAGAGCATCTTATCTACCAAAGTTGGCAACTTGGTCTTTAGCGTTTGAAGAATTTCTAAGTAAGAGGCCATGTACGAGGGCGACAAGTGCTCCATCAGCAAGGCATGAATCCACTGCGTGATGCGCGGTTCCCAGGACACGCTAGCCAAAACTTTTCGTAGCCTGGAGGCAGACTTATCTGCACTCACACGCCGATATATAGCCTCGTGCTGGCGTTTGTCGTTGGCCAATCGGGCCAATTGATCCTGGTCAAGGATGGCACACACCTTTTCGAATAGCGTCTGTTGTGAGGGCGTCCAGCCAAATCTATTAAGGCAATATTATGATTATCAGATATGTATATTAAAAAAGTAGGCCATGTACTCACTGATTCACGCGTGCAACCCAATCTTGTTCGTCAGAATTGTTGTTCTTTACGTATTTAGCAATGCGGGAGCACTCGTTCATGGCCTCTTTTGCGGCAATCTCATCGTAGGCCGGCACATGAGCCTGCTGCATCTCCGACAGTTCCTCGTGCTGCGGCGGATAGGTGTGACAACTGGGGCACTGCGGAGGATGGCGAACTAGTATGTTCCTCGCTGGTGTCAGACCATTGTGGACTTCGCTGCGGACCGGCGTATCGCGCATATAGCTGTGCTCCATTTTCTCGCCGAACGAGGATTCACTGGGGGCCGAAATGGTGCTGGACTGGGAAATAAAAACGAGGTTTATTAATATTTGCTGTTTTAAAAAGAGGAGTTAGTGAGGTGAGTGATTTTGCGGAAACTTGGATTGCATGCAGTGCTGGTTAATGGGTGATATGGTGCCTTTAGTTTTTCATTACACTCTCGGTTGGCGTTGAGGGCGACGTGATGACCAAAGCGGGTGATTTTATCGCCTGTGGTGCCTTCGGCGGAGAACTGATTTTAACGGCTCCCGTCATGGACGCTGCACTGCCCAGGGAGCCGGCCTTCACTACATAGTATGAGGCACTAGCACCGCCCACTGGCGCATTGTTTGTTTTTGTTGCGTTCGCTGCCGCCGATGTTGATTGTGTGTGTGTATGCGTAGTGTAAGTGTTTTTGCCAACACGAGTCAAAAATTTGCTGGGACTGTAGGTTATAATCGAGGAGGTAGCCTCCAAGGATTGGGGCAGATTTCCGCTTGTGTTTGCCATTTCCTTCATAATTAATGCTCAATTTCGCTTTTTAGTGCTGCCCTTAGCTGATTTTCTTCTTCTTCTACGTTGTTGACGCATTTGCGGCGCTGGGCAAACAGCTGAAATGTCCACTACCTATTGGCCGTTGGACCAAGCAAGTGTCACACGCGTCTCACACTGATTTTAACCAATTTTACCAGCAATTCTTATTGATTTTCTGATATTCGTTTGAGCAATAGCGATTTTTCTTTCTTGCAAAATATGGCGTGCCTGTTTCAGTGTTGCCATATCGCCGAGTAAAAAGATCCGGCAACTCTGGCACTGCCCCGACCCGCAGTCCCCGCGCTAATAGTTTGCGCTATTTCACAACAAATTACCAGGGGAATTAATATGCAGTGTTAAGAACCTGTGGAGAAGCTAATGCTTCAGCCTGTACAATACTTACACTCTCGCTAGGGGTCGGAGTGCTGGGCGGCACCAACTCCTTGTCGCCGTCCAGCGACTGGGCCGCGATTTTTTGTTCCTCCTCCTGCGACACATTCTGTGCCACATTGCCGCCGCTCTGCACGAAATTGTTAAAGCACTCAAAGAACGAAGACATTTTCCGATGTGAGTTCGATCAAAAAACAGATCCTTATTTACTTTTGACAACAAAAACGCAAAAAAAATAAGCGGAGCGTCAAAAACCGAGTGATCTGGGGCAGCGTTGCCACCTCTTTGACCCGTTTGGACGCGTTGTCCAACACAGCGGCGTGTATAAACAGCTGATCGTCTTTGTTGCAGAGGGAATTTTTCTGAAATTTCAACAAATTTTGGAAAGGTAGCGTGAAACAAGACTCTCTAGCGGAATGGACGAGCTGCAGAAGTTGGAGTACCTCTCGCTGGTCTCGAAAATCTGCACGGAACTGGATAACCACTTGGGCATTAACGACAAGGACCTGGCCGAGTTTATCATCGATTTGGAAAACAAAAACCGCACGTACGACTCTTTTCGCAAGGCTCTTTTGGAGAATGGAGCTGAATTCCCAGACTCTCTGGTCCAGAACCTGCAGCGCATCATTAATCTAATGCGCCCCAGTCGCCCTGGCGACGCCAGCGAAGAAAAATCCGGGGGCGACAAGAAGGAGGAAAAGAAATCAAAACTAATGAAATTGTTTCCCGGCTTGGCTTTGCCCAATGACAAGTTTAGCAACAAAGAGTGCAGCGAGAATGACGAAAAAGAGGAGAAACCCGCTAAGGAGCGTACCGGTGCACACAAAAAATCCGATATGAGCGATGTAGATGCAGCCATGTTGGAGCTAGAAGCTCTGGCCCCAGGGGAAGGCAAAGCAGAGGTTACTCAGCACAAGGAGTCAAGTTCCAGGGATCGACACAGACACAGAAGCAGAGATCGCGAACGAGACACCAAAAGACGCAGCAGATCGCGGGAGGATAGGCACTCAGATCGCCGCAGAAGCAGGTCGAGAGACAAGGAACGCCGTAGGCGCAGCAGATCACGTGAAAATCGCCGAAGAAGCCGGTCTCGCGAGGATCGCGATCGTGATAGGGATCGTCGTCGCAGAAGATCCAGCTCTAGGGATCGTCATGACCGGCGTCGACGCAGTCGCTCTCGATCTACAGAACGCAGGGACAGAAGAGAACGGTCCAAGGATCGCGATCGCAGCGAGAAAATGCCCCCACCGACCACAGCTATGACCGATGATCCGGAGGCAGGGAAAATCTATTCCGGTAAGGTAGCGAATATCGTCCCCTTCGGTTGCTTTGTTCAGCTCTTTGGTCTGCGCAAACGGTGGGAAGGATTAGTGCACATCTCACAGCTAAGAGCAGAAGGTCGAGTGACGGATGTTACCGAAGTGGTTAGCCGGAACCAGACGGTTAAAGTGAAGGTGATGTCTGTAACGGGCCAAAAGGTATCGCTCTCCATGAAGGAAGTGGACCAGGACTCTGGTCGGGATCTTAATCCTCTGTCTCACGCTCCCGAAGACGACGAATCTCTCAGAGATCGCAATCCCGATGGACCCTTCAGCAGCAGCACTTCCATGCTGAATTTGCAGGGCAATGGCTTGGATGGGGATGAGCACGAGTCCAGGAAGCGTGTGACCAGGATATCCAGTCCGGAACGTTGGGAAATCAAGCAGATGATTAGTTCCGGCGTGCTGGACAGGAGCGAGATGCCAGACTTCGATGAGGAAACCGGACTGCTGCCGAAAGATGAGGATGATGAGGCTGATATTGAAATTGAGATTGTGGAAGAGGAGCCACCCTTCCTTTCCGGGCACGGTAGAGCCTTACATGATCTATCACCCGTAAGGATTGTCAAAAACCCTGATGGCTCTCTTGCCCAAGCTGCCATGATGCAGTCGGCTTTATCAAAAGAACGTCGCGAGCAGAAAATGTTGCAGCGCGAACAGGAAATGGAAGCTCTGCCCACGAGCCTTAATAAAAACTGGATCGATCCGTTGCCAGAGGAAGAGAGTTCTCGAAGCCTGGCGGCCAATATGCGAGGGATGGGAGCCGCTCCCGCTGAAGTTCCGGAATGGAAGAAGCATGTTATTGGCGGTAAAAAGTCCTCCTTTGGCAAGAAAACCGATCTGACGCTGGTCGAGCAGCGCCAGTCGTTGCCCATTTACAAGTTGCGAGACGATCTGATCAAGGCCGTCACGGACAACCAAATTCTTATTGTCATCGGAGAAACTGGTTCCGGCAAAACCACACAGATTACCCAGTACTTGGGCGAATGCGGATTTACTGCCAGAGGGAAGATAGGCTGCACACAACCCAGAAGAGTGGCTGCCATGTCGGTGGCCAAGCGAGTGGCGGAGGAGTATGGTTGCCGTTTGGGCCAGGAAGTTGGCTACACCATTCGTTTTGAAGACTGCACCAGTCCGGAGACAATAGTGAAGTACATGACAGACGGTATGTTGCTTCGTGAGTGTCTAATGGAGGCGGAGTTGAAAAGCTATTCGGTGATAATGTTGGACGAAGCTCACGAACGAACAATCCACACTGATGTGCTCTTTGGTTTACTAAAGACAGCCGTGCAAAAACGGCCTGAGCTGAAGCTTATTGTCACATCGGCTACCTTGGATGCGGTGAAGTTTTCGCAGTACTTTTTCAAAGCGCCTATCTTTACAATTCCTGGAAGAACGTTCCCCGTGGAAGTTTTGTATACTAAAGAACCTGAAACTGACTATCTGGACGCATCCCTAATCACAGTGATGCAGATCCATTTGCGCGAACCACCTGGTGACATTCTGCTCTTCCTTACGGGTCAGGAGGAGATCGACACTGCCTGCGAGATTCTGTATGAACGGATGAAGAGTTTAGGTCCAGATGTTCCCGAGTTAATTATCCTGCCTGTGTACTCCGCCTTGCCGTCGGAGATGCAGACGCGGATCTTTGATCCTGCGCCTGCTGGAAGTCGCAAAGTTGTAATAGCCACCAACATCGCCGAAACTTCTCTGACAATTGATGGCATTTTCTACGTGGTGGATCCGGGTTTTGTGAAACAGAAGGTGTACAACTCAAAAACTGGCATGGATTCGCTGGTGGTCACCCCAATTTCACAGGCGGCTGCCAAACAGCGAGCGGGAAGAGCCGGCCGTACGGGTCCTGGGAAAACCTATCGCCTCTACACAGAGCGTGCATATCGAGATGAAATGCTGCCCACTCCAGTGCCGGAAATTCAGCGAACAAATCTGGCCACCACTGTACTGCAACTTAAAACAATGGGAATAAACGATTTGTTGCACTTCGACTTTATGGATGCCCCGCCTGTGGAATCTTTGGTGATGGCGCTGGAGCAGTTGCACTCTCTGTCAGCATTGGATGACGAAGGATTGCTAACGCGACTTGGCAGACGCATGGCTGAATTCCCTCTCGAGCCGAATCTCTCTAAGATGCTCATCATGTCGGTGGCTTTGCAATGTTCTGATGAGATCCTGACTATAGTTTCAATGCTCAGTGTGCAGAATGTGTTTTACAGGCCAAAGGACAAGCAAGCGTTGGCGGACCAAAAGAAAGCTAAATTCAATCAGGCGGAAGGTAAGTGCAGCCTCTAAATTCCATTTGCTCCAAATTCCATATGCTGAAAATAATTAATTCTGGTTTACAGGTGACCATCTGACCCTGCTGGCCGTCTACAACAGTTGGAAGAACAACAAATTCTCGAATGCCTGGTGCTACGAGAACTTTGTACAGATCCGAACCCTGAAACGCAGCCAGGATGTGAGGAAGCAACTGCTAGGAATTATGGACAGGCACAAATTGGATGTGGTATCCGCCGGAAAGAACTCTGTTCGAATTCAGAAGGCTATCTGCTCCGGATTCTTCCGCAACGCAGCTAAGAAGGATCCGCAGGAAGGCTATCGAACCCTGGTCGACTCCCAGGTGGTTTACATCCATCCGTCAAGTGCACTCTTTAACCGTCAGCCGGAATGGGTTATCTACCACGAGTTGGTGCAGACCACGAAGGAGTATATGCGTGAAGTAACCACCATCGATCCCAAGTGGCTGGTGGAATTTGCTCCGTCTTTCTTCCGCTTCTCGGATCCCACGAAGCTCAGCAAATTCAAGAAGAACCAGCGCCTGGAGCCACTGTACAATAAGTACGAGGAGCCCAATGCCTGGCGTATCTCACGCGTTCGGCGGCGTCGCAATTAATGGACTAAAACCGATTATGTGTGTAATCTTTTTGTATTTTAGACGCTTAGAAATATAATTTAAGTTTAAACTTCAGTAGCCTTTGCGACCGCGAAAACGCTGCCGGTTGTCCAGCTGAAAGGGGGTAAAGAGTTAACTAAGTATTAGTTGATCTGCTATAAGAACCTACCAAAGAGCGCTTGCACTCGTAGAATGTGTTGCGCAGCACCTGACATTCTGGTGGAACGCTGTTGTCCTGGAGACACTGGCGCGGCGTCTTGCCCATTTTGCAGCAATCGCTTTCCAATAGGCACATCTTTAGATCCGCTCGCACTCCCGCACACGCCGTCTCATCCGCCAGCCTTTCGTTGCCTTCGTAGCGCATCATTTTAAATACTTTTGTGATATTTTAATTATTATTTTAAATAAATCTTGGATCAGTTACAAAACCAAAAAACAGCTGATAAAACTATCTGCCGGAAAAGTGTTGGTAAACGGTTCACTGACAACCCTTAAAAAGTTTTTGGCAGCGTCTAACGGCGGGTACTGGGATAAAAATTTATTTAATAAAAAAAATGTCTTTCCATAAACAATTTTTTTTAATTACGATAACCTATCAACTTTTCTATTTACGATATTTCCGTGAAAATATCTTCTTCAAATCCAATGCAACGCGGGGAAAACTTACATGACGTTTCCAACACTACAGTTGATACATGTTGTTGTTTTCGCCCAAATGAATACATTGCAGTCGCCGGAAAATATTTTTTGAAGTGATTCCAATGTAGCTCCCTGTCGGAAGACCCGAAAAACAACAAAAATCGCCTCGAAATGGCCTACGACGAACGTAGTAGTGATGGCAGCAGCTCTAGCGAAGCTCCTGAGTCATACGCCCACTTGCTGGCCCCCAAATCAGGACAATCGCAGACGCCGGCCACCGCCATGCCGAAGCACATTCCCTTTCCAGAGCACGCCACCACATCCGAATGGCTCAGCGAGCTCATAATGTGCGCATTCACTATGGGCTCGGCCATCGTTCAGTTTATCAACATATATAGAACCAACTGGTGGCTGCCCCAAGCCCATACAAGGCATATGGTGGTGGGTTTAATCAGCTTGCGTAAAGTAAAACATTAATGGAACCTCTTTTGCATACCAGAACATAGAGCTCATCGATCCGTATCTTCGGTACCTCCTCCTTATACTTAACACCCGAAGACTAATTTACTGCTTACTGCTGGTGAGACTTAAAAAGGGCAACGAAAAGAGCACTCACCTCATTCGACTGGGCATCAAGTACGGATTTGGAGGTCTGGTGCAGCTGGCATTGGGCTTCTGCGCTATGAAACTCTACCAGAAGAACTCGTACATTCTTCTGCTCTTCCTGTCTTATCCGTAAGCATAAAAAGTCTTTCAGTCTTTCATGAGATACTTTAATAACTCTTCCTCAGAGTGGTCATCTACCTGTTGATCTTTGGCTTCCAGCTGGAGCCCTTCCTGCGCACCAGATTCGAGCTGCCTGGCGTTTATATCAACGATATGCCCGTCCACAGCTGCACCACTAATGCTGTACACATTCGGGACGAAGTGGAGACACTGCGGCATGACTTCAACAAGCGCTTCAAGCAGCTCATATTCACCTCCATGCTTAATGCCTACTACAGTGGGCTGGTCCCCTGCTGTCTGGCCATCAGTGTCCAGTATAACGTGCTCCGTGCTGCTCAGCACTGCATCATCGTGTGCCTCGGAGCCTTTAGCCTGTGTGCCGTTTTTCTGTATCCCGCCAAGTACAGTGATACCCTGCATCGGGCTACGTTGCATTTAGGCTGCTGGCAGCGCATTGACCGAGAGCCTGCGCCATCGCAGTTAATAGTGGCGGCCAATGCGCTCGCTTGGTCAAAATACTCCTCCTACGGCCATGGTACCGTGGTGAAGCACAATGGGGGGCTTTACAGAAGCCAGGGTGTTGTCACGGTGGCCACACCGGGCAACGCCAGCCATGCGAGATTTTATGTAAGTTCATTAGATTAGAGTTTTTCATTTAAATGTATTCCCTTAAAAACAAAAACAGATACAATTTTAACTATATTTAAATTAACATGTATTTGTGTCTTTTTCAGAAACTCTTCCACAATCCCACCATCATTTACTCCACATTGGCCATCCTTCAGGCGGCCGTGCTGTTGGTTGAGATAGGTTCACTAAGCGCCGAGAGCGTCGAGTGGCACTTTGTGCTATCCATTAGCTTCGTGGCCTTCACCAGTATGGGAGCCTTTTTTAAGCTAGTACGAGACTACCTTATCACCAAGGACCTTTACAAAGCGGAGCACGCAGTGGCGCCTGATCAACCATTTAGACTACGCATGAGAGATGCATTTATGTAATAAATATCCCAAAGAATAACATATTAAATTTTATTCGGCAGAGCTCTTGCTCTTGTCATCGGGCTTTTCACAAGAGACGGCGAAAACCCAGGAGCTCCCTTGCTTGTGGTCGCGCACCTGTATGCCGTGCTGTTGCAGCAGACTTCTCAACTCATCACATGCGGCCAGAAGCTGGGGGTTCTTTACATTTCCAGCTGTGGCTTTTTCCCGCATCCTCCCTCGAACGCTTATCACATCGTCTACTAAGAGAGAGGGATCTATACTATGTTCAGCGGATGACACCTTCTCCTGCAACGACTCTCTTTCCTGTAATTCGGACACACCGAAGGTGGTTATCGCTCGGCTAATGAAGTTTCCTGCCGCTAGCAGAAGATCCATGCAGTACGCCGGCTCCTCCTCGGCATCTACTTGCTGCTCATTAATGCAGCGACTGATGCTGCTCATCTGATCTATCAACACGCTGATGGCTCGTGCGGTATCAAAGTCATCGCGCAGGCATCTATCGAACTCAGTGACCGTGTGAGTCAATTGAGCCTTTAGCGCACCCTCATCCAATAGGTGGACAGGCTTTAGGAACTGTGTATAGGCCCTCAGATCCGCATGGAAGTTCTTGAAGCGCTGCAATGTCTGCTGAGCAGTGACCATTAGCTGATCGCTATATGGCATGGCGTTGCGGTAGTTTGACAACAAACAGGCCATCCGAAACTCGTCAGCAGTGTACTTCTTAAGCAGCTCCGAAACGGAGATGGTATTACCTAGGGATTTGGACATTTTCTGCTCGTCCCCCACCATATGCAGCTGACCTGTATGGAGCCAATAGTTCACCCACTGATCGGTTTTGTAGCGGGCACAGCACTGGGCCTCCTCATTTTCGTGGTGCGGGAAGCGCAAGTCCAAACCACCGGCATGGAAGTCCAACTGGCGGCCAAAGAACAGACCAGCGATGGCGCTGCATTCAATGTGCCAACCGGGACGTCCTTCGCCGCCCCAAGGAGCCTCCCATGTCGGCTCGCTTCCACTATCGCGCCCCTTCCACAACGCAAAGTCTGCGCTATTCCGTTTGACCGGATCTGACTTCTCCTCCGTCTGGACAAAATTTAGCAGCTTTCCATAATTTCCGCTTTTGGAAACATCGAAGTAAACAGAGTTGTCCTCCGTAACGTAGGCCTGCTTTGCTCTGATCAGCTCCTGGATGAACTGGATAATAACAGGCATCGTGGTAGTCACATGGCTGCGCACATCCGGTGGTAGGACATTGAGGCGCAACATATCCTGGCGGAACTCCGCCTCGTACGCCCTAGCCATTTTTTGCCAGTCGAGTCCGGCAAGTTGAGCCCTCTTAATAATCTTGTCGTCAACGTCCGTGATGTTCATGGCGGTGACAAGGTTGATTTTGAAGTAGTCCCGGAGTATTCGCTGCAGTATATCAACCTTTACGTAGGTGCTGGCGTGACCCAAATGTGCAGAGTCGTAGACAGTGGGTCCACAGGTGTACCAGGTGACCATTTGTGGATTTCGCAGGATCAGGGGCACCTTCTGTCGCATTCCGTGATTGTAAATGTTGATACCTGTGTGTTGCCCGATTGGTTTTCGCCATTTAAAGGACCGCTCTATTTGGGTTGAATCATCCGAAATGCTGCGCCGGCAAATACGAACAGGTCCTGAAACCATCCGTCCACTGATAGCCCGGAGTGCCTCTTTGCTGTGGTCAAAAAAGGCGGTGAACATAAGTCCAATTACTGTCAATTTAATACTTACACTCCGAGCATCGTCCTTTCCTTAAAATTTTGACTTAGGTCACAATTAAAAGCTATCAGTTTTATAAAATAATAAAAACATATGGTTGAAGGAGCGGTGGTTGCCAGACCTTAGAATTCCAGCTTAATAGAGTGGAAATAATGGATTGAGTAGAAGTAATCAGAAAATTTTTTTTCTATAATCATAGTTTATAAGACAACTTTGAATTGACAATATGATATAACAAAGCCATGAAAACTAGATAACATTTTTGAATACACAGATCCCCCTAACGAACAATGCTGCCACTCGGTCAAAAAAAAAAAACGAAGCCGGCAGAATGCAGTGGCTTAAAATGAAGCTCCGCTTTGTAAATCTAATTTTACTTTTAATCAGCTCAGCATGTGCCCAATTAGGAGGCGATCCCAACGGGTACCTTACTTACTGTCCCTGTATGGGTAAGTTTCTGCTTAAATCATTCAAAGCGCCCCTTAAACCTTGCTTTTAAAAGGACGCTTTGGCAATCAGGCGGATCACTTCCTGGGAGCATTGGCGTTTGCCAAAGCCCTAAATCGCACTCTTATCTTGCCGCCGTGGGTTGAGTACCGCAGGGGTGAACTGCGATCCCGCCAGGTGCCATTTAACACATACTTTGAGGTCGAACCACTGAAGGAGTACCATCGCGTCATTACCATGGCGGATTTCATGTGGCACCTGGCCGATGATATTTGGCCGGAATCAAAGCGTGTTTCTTTCTGCTACAAAGAACGCTTTAGTCTGCATCAGGAAAAGAACGATCCGGAAAAACCCAATTGCCACGCCAAGGATGGAAATCCATTCGGCCCGTTTTGGGATACTTTCCACATAGACTTCGTGAAGTCGGAGTTTTATGCTCCGCTGCATTTCGATGTCCACCACAGCAACGAGGCTGTTAAATGGCAGGCCAAATATCCGGCGGAATCCTACCCCGTACTCGCCTTTACCGGTGCTCCTGCTAGTTTTCCTGTCCAGTTGGAGAACTGCAAACTCCAACGTTATATGCAATGGAGCCAGAGGTACAGAGACGCGGCAAGGGATTTCATCGAGGAACAGCTGCCACGTGGCGCCTTTGTAGGGCTTCACCTGCGCAACGGCATTGATTGGGTAAGGGCTTGCGAACATGTCAAGGATAGCCAGCACCTCTTCGCCTCGCCGCAGTGTTTGGGTTATAAGAACGAGCGAGGAGCCCTCTACCCAGAGCTCTGTATGCCCTCCAAGGAGTCCATTATCCGCCAGCTAAAGAGGACTATCAAGAATGTGCGCCAGACCCAACCAGACAACGAGATCAAGTCGGTTTTCGTGGCCTCTGATTCAAACCACATGATAAGCGAACTTAGCACGGCGCTTAGTCGCATGGGCATCAGTGTGCACAAGCTTCCGGAGGATGATCCCCACCTAGATTTGGCTATTCTCGGACAGTCAAACCACTTTATCGGCAACTGCATCTCTTCTTATTCGGCTTTCGTTAAGAGGGAACGAGATGTGTACGGATTCCCTTCATATTTCTGGAGCTTTCCCAAGGAGAAAGAGCGAAAACATTCCAACGTGCACGAAGAGCTGTAATTGATCATCAGAAAGCAATACTTAAATACTCGAACAGGACAATTTTCGGTTTTCAGTTTCAAAGCTAAAAATCTTTATCAAATTTAAATAATTTTTCTGCCTATTTAAAATAATTTGTTTTATATATCTTTGTCAGTATGTAGTTAAGAATTATTTTTACGTCACTTTCAAAGGATTTTAGTTCTCAGTGTCTAAGCAAAATGTTCCATTTCACAAACTTCAAAAGAATTTAGTTTAAAAGTAAGTCTGTAAGCTTAACACACATAATAAAACAAAAACGAATTTAATTTAAGGATATATTAGAAAATTGTATATCAGAAAATTTGACATTTATTTTTTTAGCTTCAAATCCTAAAAATTTGTTGAAAACCGTTAAATGCCTTTATAAATCTAAACATACATATAGAATATTAAAGTATTCCTCGCATTTATCTAGCCATGTCAATCGTTTTTACTTATAAATTTATTCAAGTGAACCAATCCACACACTCTTGAAAATAATTTAGGTCGTAATTCCATTGCCCCGAGGCTAGCATTTGTTCATCAACTTTGCCGAAACGAGGAGTAAGTGCGCCTAGTGTATCAGCTTTTGGGATCGCGCCAAATCCAATTGCGCCGAAGAGACATTTGTAAGGCCCTCTCGCACGGTGCTAAGGTTCTCCTTCCAGGCCTGCAGCAGATCGCGCAGTTGCTCCCACTGCGGGGCTCCAAAAGTACGGTGCATTGTGGAAGAGATGTGAACCTTGTGGTTGGCCTGATCGAGACGGGCGCGCACCAACTTCGTCTTGAGCACCTCGATGACGAAAGGCTCCACCTCGTCCTCGTTTATCTGCAACTCCTTAGTGAGCGTCTCAAAGGTCATCTCTGGGCTGCTCTCGGCCAGTTGCATGAAGGTCAGTAAACGCATTTTCTTCATGTTCTGCTCATGGTTCAATCCTTGTGAGTTGACAAACTCTCTGTGGTCCTCGTAAAACTGCACATACGCTGGAAGCTTCTCGGACACAAAGATAGACAGCAAGTCGTGGATGAGGTCGCCCTCCAAAAACCGCACAGGCTTCAGCGCTAGCAGAGGATCCAGCAGGAATGTATTGGGGTCGGCTAAGGCGGTCACAATGCACTTCATGGCATCCTCGCGGGCCACACAGGCATTGTCCGCCGTGTAGGTGCCCAACAGCTCGATCATTACCTTGGATGACAGCTCTAGATTAGTATCCTTGGTCACGTCGTGCAGCAGGCGGTACAATTTCTGCATCTGTTCCGACGAGGGCGGGCAGTTGGCAAACTGGGACCTAAGCTGATCCACGCCGGTGAAAACCTCCAGCACCTGCTCGCACTGCTTGGCCACCTGGACCAGGTGGTAGTACACATGATAGCGCAAAGGTGAAGCCGTGTCCAGGTTGTTGAAAAGACGCCACAGCGACTGCAGGCACACCTTGCCCAGAGGAAGATTGGGAGCCTTGGTCATCTTCTCACAGTAGGCCAGAACAATATTTTCTCCGCGATCCAGGGGTATCTACAAAATACAATATCGAAGGGGTTTTTGAGGTGTTTGTTCTGTTTCATCAATTACTCACAGTGATCATGATGGACACAATGCTGTTGAGAATGCCGTCAATCTGCGAGGGCTCCCCATCTTTAAAGCAAACGTCGCAGACGCCGATGATCTTGTGCAAATCATCCTCCACTCCTTTGTTAGACTTTTCGGATGAAATCTCGGCTCCCAGTTTCTTAAAATACTTGCGCAGCTCTTGCACCTTTTAATAAATATTGTAAAATATTAGTTTTGTTTTGCAGAAAGAGGAAGACATAACCTCAAATTAAAAGAGGGGCTTTTCAAAAACACAAATTACATCGTGTACTTTCACTTTACCTGCTCGTCCAAGGACAGGTCTATGAAAACTGGATGAGAAGTCATGCTTTTGATTAATGTTATTCCACTTTTTTAAGCAAATGCAGCTGAAAATAACACGCACACACGTCTTCGGCGCTTTGACAGCTCGAAAGGAAAGAGAGCGACCGGTGCTGACGGTCTGGCGCTTTTCCCGCTAACCAGAGATGCTCACTCAGAGCACCGAAAATGATTAGTTTTTGATCTTTTTATTCCTTTATTTGGAGAAATTTAAAATTAGATTGTTTATCATTTAATTTTTAAATTTGCATTAATTTGTTATAAGATAATTCGTTGATATACAAGTGTCACTAAACTCTTAAAATGTTTTGAATTTTTTTAACAATCTGGCAGCTTTATGGGTCCTCAGCGCCGGGCACACTGAAAATAAAAAATTCCACATTATATTATATTTGTATAACGGGCAAGGGGAGCACAGTCGTGCCTGCTAATCGCGGCGGGGAATTATGAAATACACGGCAGATACGCAGCGTGCGGCTTCCTAGGGCCCGAGATTCTGCATCAGGCGGCACAAAATTTTCTAGTCAAACTCGTCCCTCAAGTTGAACTCGTGATTACATGGCCACCTCGGATTTCGTGCTGGGCGGCCTGGCCTCAGTCGGCGCCACCTTCTTCACCAATCCCATAGAAGTGATCAAGACCCGGATCCAGTTGCAGGGCGAGTTGGCGGCCCGGGGGACCTATGTGGAGCCGTACAAGGGAATTGTACATGCCTTCGTCACGGTAGCCAAAAACGATGGAATGCTGGGCCTCCAAAAGGGTCTGGCTCCCGCTCTGTACTTCCAGTTTATCATCAATTCCTTCCGGTAGGGATTCACTATACTTTTGTAATTAATATCAATTGCCAATATTCTTTTTCCATGCCACAGACTTAGCATTTATTCGGAGGCCATGGAGCGGGGTTGGATGAAAAACCAGAAGGGCGAGGTGTCCTACGGATTGGGACTCATGTGGGGCGCCATCGGTGGCGTCGTAGGATCCTACTGTTCAAGTCCTTTTTTCCTGGTACGCCAAATCTTGAAAAAGTCGCGGGGGAGATTACATAAACAGATAACTTATCTAAATGAGCCGCGTGGTCATCAGCATTTTGGACCTTCCAAAGATAAGAAGTTCTATTGACACCATAATATCTATATCTTACTACCACAAGATATTTAATAAGAAAGAATCTTATAAGCTTATCGGCCTGCTTATGTTTTTTTCAGTAATACCCACAAATGAAAGAATTATTTGCGTTTATTTTAAATCAATTTTATTTAATAGATGTATTTAATTTTGTGCATTACCTCTTATCCTCCTCTTATTTCAGATCAAAACTCAGCTCCAATCGCAGGCTGCTAAGCAGATTGCTGTGGGCTACCAGCACGCCCACACTTCCATGAGCGATGCTCTGCGGCAGATCTATGTCAAGAATGGCATTCGCGGACTGTGGCGAGGATCGGTAGCTGCGTTGCCGAGGGCTGCCCTAGGGTCAGGTGCCCAGATAGCCACCTTTGGCAAGACCAAAGCTCTGCTGGTGGAGTATGACCTGGTGACACAGCCGACGCTGAATTCGTTTTCAGCGGGATTAATAGCCGGCTCCATTATGTCGGTGGCCATAACGCCGCCTGATGTGATCACCACCCGACTGTACAACCAGGGCGTGGACGCCGAGGGACGGGGACTACTGTATCGGGGCTGGCTTGACTGCTTCGTCAAAATCCTGCGCTCCGAAGGGGTCTACGGAATGTACAAGGGCTTCTGGGCCAACTACCTGCGCATTGCGCCCCACTCAACGCTGGTGTTGCTCTTCTTTGACGAACTCATCGCCCTGCGCAAAAAGTATAGCCGTCAATGACCCCAAGGAGCCTTGTTTATCTAGTTTTACATTAAGTACAAAGTTTTTCGGCTCGATTGTAAAATCCACACTAATATTTGTTTGAGCCATGTTCGGACCGACAAAGAGATAAGTTAGTTGAAACATTTTGACTCACTATCAATAAAGATAGTTGAAAAATTTCGCATGTGCGAACTTGGCTCTTGTCTGTAGCGAGTAGCTTAACATCCTAGTTCCAATCTCTTAGCTTAGCAAAGCCCAAGAACCAATTTGTGCCTTCAGTACGCTTAACTTAAAGCTGTTCCTGTAGTCAGTAACTGTGCAATATTTTGGTCAAATAAACCAGTTAATTTGTTACTTTTTAATATACTTTATTGCAAGTCTCCTGCTTATCGCAACTAAAGCGTTAGTGATCACAAGATTGTGAAGTAGAACGCACGTCGCATTGATGGCTACGTCAGATTTTGTACTGGGCGGTGTGGCTGCCATGGGAGCTGGTCTGTTTACCAATCCCGTGGAGGTGATTAAAACCCGCATTCAACTACAGGGCGAACTAGCCGCTCGAGGGTCCCATGCTCAGCCCTATAAGAATGTCTTCCAGGCCTTTGTCACAGTGGCCAAAAATGATGGAATTCTGGGCCTTCAAAAGGGATTGGCTCCTGCTCTATGCTTCCAGTTTGTCATCAACTCCTTTCGGTGAGTGTTAGCCGTCATATTACACAAGAAACTCTTAAACAATTTATCCTTTAATCACAGATTAAGTATTTACACCCACGCTGTGGAAAAGGGTTGGGTGCACAACAGCAAGGGAGAGATTTCCTTCGCAAAGGGCATGTTTTGGGGAGCCTTAGGCGGCGTTGTTGGTTCCTACTGCGCCAGCCCCTTCTTCCTGGTAAGCGATTATGTAAATCAAACATTGGAGGTGTCTGGCTGTGGCAGACATTTGACAATGTCAAGCACAGATAAGATAAGAGCTCTGATTGCTGATAGCTACTTTTCCGTTTCAGATCAAGACGCAACTTCAGGCGCAGGCCGCCAAGCAGATCGCCGTTGGTTATCAGCATCAACATACTTCAATGAGCGATGCGATAAAGCAGATATTTCGAAAGAACGGAGTTCTCGGTCTCTGGCGGGGATCCATGGCCAATGTGGGTCGTGCTACAGTGGCCTCAGCCGTTCAAATCGCAACTTTCGGCCAGGCCAAGTCTTTTTTAAAGGATAACGGCCTTGTATCTCATCCGACGGCTTTGTCCTTTTGCTCGGGCTTAGCTGCTGGGTCCTTTGTTTCAGTGGCAATCACTCCACTGGATGTGCTTACCACTAGGCTTTATAATCAGGGTGTGGATGCCCAGGGTCGTGGGCTTTACTACAAGAGCTGGCTGGACTGTGTGCTCAAAATCCTGCGATCTGAGGGGGCTTATGGCTTGTATAAGGGTTTCTGGCCCATTTACCTTAGGAGTGCTCCTTACTCCACTTTAGTGCTTTTGTTTTTTGATGAGCTTACAGCATTGCGAGAGAAATACCATTTTCATTACTAATTTAATGGAGCATTGAATATAAAAAAACAACTATAATTGACCTATAAACTATAGTTTTGGGTTTTGAATTTCTGAAAAAATTCTTGGAAATGTTGTTGTCAAATATAATAAAAAAATATTTATGTAACGTTTAAAATATTTTTTGAAGTTCCAAAAAATAGAATCACATCGCATATGTTTGGAGTCCGATTACAATAGATCAGTGTTTCCCAAACTTGTCGGGACCGCGACCCATCTACACAAAAAATTGCAAGATCTATATGGCAATTAGTACCCACCAAAAATCTACCCGCGACCCACCAGTGGGTTGCGACCCACACTTAGGGAAATACTGCAATAAATATTTTAAATACATAATCCATATATAAATAATTTTTTCTGTTATTTTCTTATCGATAATATCGATATCACGTATATAATTTATGTGTTTTTGTTCACAGTTAAAAAATGTGTTTTCCAAAAGTACAACAAGTTTTACTTGCACAGTCCCGGTAAAAAACTTTCGTTGCGGAAAGAATTTTATTTATTATTGAATATTAAAGCGTTTTAGCATTTTTAAACTATAAAATTAGTTTCTAATCAAAAATATTCTATTTGTTCTTAAGTTGATGTTTCTGCTTAATCTAAGCGATTTTTACTTAATTTTATGTAAAGTAAGCTTTCGATACTATCGGCTGTGGTTACAACTCTGTTGACCGCTAATTGGACGACAGTAAACAAAATGATAACATGACATTTAAATCAAAAATTAAGCTGGAAATATGACGAAGTCTGATTTTGTGCTGGGCGGCGTGGCTGCGATGGGTGCGGTGCTTTTCACCAATCCCATCGATGTGGTCAAGACCAGGATGCAGCTGCAGGGAGAGTTGGCGTCCCGAGGAACCTACGTGAAGCCCTATAGACATCTTCCTCAGGCAATGCTCCAAATAGCTAGGAACGACGGTCTCCTCGCCTTGGAAAAGGGTCTTGCTCCGGCGTTATGTTACCAATTTCTCCTAAACTCCATTAGGCGAGTATTTGTTGATGCGTGTGGATTATTCTTCTTATAAAACCCCAACTTGACCATATGATTTTGACAAGTAAGGACATTTTTAACAGTCATCTAGGCACTTTTAACAGTCACTATTGACAGGATTAAACAATGTATAAGCTGTTACTTTTTGAATACTTTAAAATATTTGCTTATTATATAATACGAAACTATTACATCACTTTAAGAAATGTTGTTCAGTTTGGTGAGGTTTCAACAAAAAACAAGACAGTATCTCAGAAATTTATCTTATCTATAACAAAATTTGAAGGAGTAATGTGAAAACGATTTTAGCATTTTGTTTTATATATGTAACTTTTTTCTTTTCTTGTAGGCTAAGTGTTTACTCAAACGCATTGGAGCTAGGATATTTGCAAAACAAGGATGGCTCGATATCTTTTTACCGAGGAATGTTCTTCGGCGCACTAGGAGGCTGTACTGGCACCTTACTCGCCAGTCCCTTTTACATGGTTAGTTTGCATAACCTTTAATGAACCTGCTATCTAGTTTTTGCGCATTTTAGATAAAGGCACAACAACACGCCCAGGCTGTCCAGTCGATTGCTGTGGGATTCCAGCACAAACACACTTCAATGCTTGATGCCCTGCAGCAAATTTATAGGAAAAGTGGCGTTCCGGGATTTTGGCGCGGAGCTTTTGCCAGTATGAATCGAACTCTAGTAGCCTCCAGTGTCCAAATCGGCAGCTTTCCCAAGGCGAAGTCGATGTTGAAGGACAATGGATGGGTCACTCATCCTGTGCTGCTTTCCTTCTGCGCTGGCTTAACTTCGGGAACCCTTGTTTCATTGGCCAACTCACCCTTTGACGTGGTTACGACCCGAATGTACAATCAACCTGTAGATGAAAATGGAAGGGGCCTCGTCTACCGAGGGGTAGTAGACTGTTTCACCAAGATCCTGCGAACAGAAGGACTCCACGGAATGTACAAAGGATTTTGGCCCATTTACCTGCGTAGTGCTCCGCATACGACGCTTGTATTTGTCTTTTTTGATAAGTTACTTTACTTTCGCGACAGTTATATTTTTCCCCAGCATACAAATTGAAGGTCTATTTGAAAGAAGTTTTTTTCTGCGGCTTATGTTCTATTAAAAATACAATGACAGTATACAGCAGAGAATAAACATTTTTCCCATCTGACTTAAATAAAATAATTCAACTCTTGTTTTGTTTATGCTTTTACTTTTTTCTTTCAACTAATTTCCAAATAGTGCTTATTTAAATAAAAATAAGGGATATTAAACTCGTTGGTTTGATTAACCGCCAATATTGCCATCAAAGTACGACCAGCTGCTGGGAGGGTAGTTGGTATGGACTCTGGTATTCTGTTCTGCGCTCGCGTTGGGCACACTGCATCCGAATAAGTTGGGAAAGTCGGCGGCGTCGCATATTTTTGATTGACAAAGTACAAATTTAAAAAAGTAATGGCGGCCCAGGTTACTCAGGTGCAGCAGCTCTTCAACGGCTACAAGCAGAACGTAAGTCAAGCACTACGCGATGCTTCCAAACCCTGGACAAAAGCGTTCGATACTGTGGAAGAAAAGACCGGCGTGGACAGAGTCAATATTTTCTTCGGTGAGTTTTATCCTGGCGACGTCATCGCATGTCCTTCTGGGAATACCCTTCGTGATATTCCCGCTTGACCCCGTGGTAATTGACTGCGTAACCAGTGGCTTTCTTCGAGATGCAGTGGAATTTTTCTAGATGCTTATAAATAGCAACCTGTTATATATAAATGTAGCTATGCTGTATTGGCAATCAAAAAGGGGGGGCTTAATCATTGCCCGGTGACCAATTAGGAAATTAATCACTCGACTTAAAACCGAATAAGTCAAATTATATAGTTTTTGTTTTATCACCAGGCGCTACACTACTACACCCAACAGTTTAGTATTTAAGCATGTGATGTGTGCGTGTAAGCAGCTACGTAGGCAACTGCCGAAGTGTGCGTCTGTTATCCACAAAAGTTTCGCGTTTTGTGCTTTTCTTTGTTTACTTCAACGAAAGTACATTTTCTCAGTACGCGGTGAGAAATCCATTTCGCACATTCCATTGCCATAACCTCAGACCGATCTGTGGAAGTTCAGCTCTCGGGTCAAAAGGTTTAAAGTTTCAAACGTGAGACGTGGCGAAAGGCACACGTGGAGAAAATCCACATACCTGTGTGCGTACTAGATCAATAGAGCTTAAAGTTCGGTAGCAGCTCTCCGGAGTTCCCTAATGTGGCTCTGGGAATATATTATGCTAATCAGACAACGACGGGAGACAAGGCGCAATGTCAGAGTTCCTTTGGTTTATTTGGGCACAGGTGAGAATTTGTTCGTACTTACGAAAGGTAGAATACCCTCATTACAAAACTTAGTTTTATGACAGAAACATTTATTAAATAGATTTAATTTAGGCAAAGTTGGCAATCAACTGAGTGTTCAGAAGAGTAGCAGAAGATGGTAAAAAAAATTAGTTCAAATAAATATATAATCTTAATCAAATATTTTATTGGGTCATTTATGTCAACCTTTCATAGCAAACTTCAGGTCAAAATTATAGTACCCACATCTAGTATATAAATATAATTAGCCGTCATCTATCATGAATGACATCATACGTTTATGGCTAAACAACAGGCCGTAGTCCGTTCATCTGGGCGGGCAAAATGCAACTGGCCGGGATCAGACGCAGGTCGAGACATCTACTGACAACAGCTAAGGGTTTATATTTAGCCGACGGCATGGGGCGGTTTAGGAACCCCAGAGATCCGCGAAGGGGCGCCCTCAAAAAGTTTACAGATATCAGGCTAACCCCCTTTCAAATAGTTGGCCTTATCACTACACTTTGTAAGTTGAAAATCCCTTTTGACCACCCTGCGCCCTTTAAAACCGCCCCTGGCTTGGACCTGGTTATAGCCTAAGGGAAAGCACGACATTAGGGCAGTTGGTCAACTAGACGGCAAGCATGACAGTCGAAGAATTGGAGAGCAAAATAATCGAGTTGTTTGTGAAGAACGCCCGCCTGGGCTATGGTAGAGCTCTAAAAGTTGTTAAACTATTTGATTTACAAGTCATAAATTAATATTCTTAGGTGCTGCTGGTTTTTGCGCCCTCTACCTGATCTTCGGCTCTGGCGCCCAGCTGCTGTGCAACATCATTGGCGTTTTGTACCCCGCCTACATTTCTATTCATGCCATTGAATCGAGCACAAAGGAGGACGACACCAAATGGCTAATCTACTGGGTAACCTTTGGCATCTTTACCGTGATTGAATTCTTTTCGGGTGTGCTGACTTCAGTGATTCCCTTCTACTGGCTGCTAAAGGTGGATTTTGAGTGCCCTTATTTATGTGTTCTTCAGTAAAAAAGGTTTTTTACCCTTTGCAGTGTGCTTTCCTCATCTGGTGTATGCTTCCCACGGGACTTAACGGTTCCAATATTATCTACGCTAAGCTGGTGCGACCTTACTTCCTGAAACACCACGAATGTGAGTAAATTGTGCGCTTAAATTCTTAAGTTTTCTTAATAAGAATCCTCTTTTCTCAACAGCCGTCGACAAATTTATCGACGACGGCATGAAGAAGGCCGCTGGAGTGCTGAAGCGAGACTAAGATGCGGAAGTGCCGTAGTTCCGCCCGTTGCTCGCTTAGACATGCATTTGGTTTAGGGCCTGGTCATTACCCTCACCTCGTATCGGTTACGTTTTGCAATAAATTTTAAATCTGTATTCATCTTGTTGTTAATAAGAGCACCAGTGATCGCTGAAGAAAAAAAATCTCCGCTTGTTAAACGTAAAAACAAAAACGAGGTTTTTTATTGAGGATCTACGACCCCTAGGCGGTGGATTCCGCTTTTTCTGAAGTAGCTTCTGCCTCGGCAGCTGCTTTTCGGTTTCTCCAGGCAGACATGTAGGTGCGTGGGTGGATGGGCAGTAGTCCAGCGATTCCCAGGAGTTCAGCAGCCGGCGTGGACAGATGGGCACCTTTGCCCAACCAAAAGCGGATTCTTTCGGTGTTCAGAGCCACTAAACGCTCGTTATAATCATTGGGCAGGGGGTCATAGGAGCCAACTTGTTCAATCACAGGCTGATGCTGGTTCTTGCGCCTCTAAAATTCAATTTTTTAAATGATGAGTTATAAATACTTTTTTGGAAAATAATACCTCCATTACTACAATGTGATAGAAAGGCCGGTTGGTGCAGCCCAGGCGCACGAATCGTATGATTTTAGCCGACTTTGCGTAGAAGCGCCCAATGCCACTTGCTGGCGAAAGAGACATATTTGTTTTTTATATAAAGTACGAAAGTTTTATGAAAATAAAGATCGGAAAATGTGAATTGTTATGCAAAGCGTGACCGTCGAGGAAACTTTAAAATATACCAAAATCAACGGTCACACTGATAGCCTTAAAAGCGTTGCCGGACTCCCCATCAGCGATAGTGGCGGTCACCTGACAACCCTGGGCCGCGCACACACAAGATGGCGTCAGAGAACGAGAAGCACGAACACTAAGGAATTTGTTCAGTGGTGTCTGTGAATTATATTGAAGGAAAAAGAGTGTTTTGTTTATAAATTTAATTGCAAAAAACTGCACATCGTCGGGGGCGCGTGCACACACATGGACGCACACGCACACCCACGCCCACACGTCGCAAGAAAAAACGGAGAGTGTTATCAATGGAGTGCCAGTGCCCCAACGCCAAGTGATTTTTTTTAAGAGAAGACCGAGACCGAGGGACGGAAAAAAATGGCGCCCGCAGCCAGAGCAACTTGACTTTCTTTTCGGTCTATATAGTAGTTCGCCCCCGTCTCGTCGTCGGCGAACGAATGCGGTGATTTTCGTTTTCGTCGCAGTGCGATAGCCCAAAAGGAAAAAATAAACCTAGAAATAGACAGTAAAAGTGCGCTTAAAAATCCCCAAAACGATTTGTGTATATTTTGGCTGCGAACACAGCCGCAAAAATACCATTACCAATTTCCACTTACTACTACTAGAGGAGGCTAGTATTTTGTACGTGCTTTAGAATACATACATACATACCTACATATACCACAAGCAAGCGAGAAGTGCAATTACATTTGCGTTTGGAAATTTTGCGCTTTTTTCTCTTCCGTCCCCCCCGAAATCCCCGTTCCCCACTCTCTTTGCCCAAATATAATGTGCGCCGCCCAGAATCCGCCGCCCTTCGGCTATACCTGGGGTTTTGCGGACAACGGCAGCCGCGCCGCCGAATCGGTACTGGAGATATCGCCCAACATCAACTATACGGTCAGCGGGGGAGTCGGTGAGTTAATATAATATCTAACTCCTTAAGTAAAACTTTGCAAGCTGCCAGGATTTTACCCCTTCCTTTCCCACCCCCAAGTGCGTAAGAGTGTGTGTTGCTGTTGCTTTCCCACACCGAATCGTATTGTGGCATACACACAAACGCACACACGCACTGCGTTACACTCGCTCATTCGCCTCACCAACACTCGCTGCTTTCGGCAACGAACTGTGTATGTATACGGTTCGACAGGCATTCACGTACGGTATACGTGGAAAAACGAGCGACTACTGCGACATATATACAGACATACGATGTATATATGCATACGCCATCACACTTTATGTAACTGCGTTGTCATGCGAATATACGGGAATGGAGCGAATGTGTTAGAATTCTTTTACCATACATCCATAGGGTTTTTTTTCGTTTCCATTTCATTCGTAAACATTCATAATTTTGTATTTGTAAAGCGAATGCGTACACACATTTATGTAGCCCCGTGTGCAGAGAAATTCCCAAAATAAAAACACGCCGTGCACCTGGCAAATAAGTAAATAAATAAATAGAGCCAAAGTCGAAGTTCCCCCATCCAATTCCGCCCAATTAATTAGCGGGAAGGTCGTGAAATTTTTAGCAGTCTGGCAGCTGGCAGAGGCAATCGATGCTAATCGATATTTTCGTAGACTACGTATCGCTAACCCAATTTTAGTTCTATTAATAATTATGGCTTCCCCCTCTACATTTTCTAGTTGAAAGTAGGTTTTGTTTTCTTTTTTGAGTGGCAGAAATTTCTATTGTGCAATTGGCAGGAGAAATTGTTTTTGTTTTTTTTTTGCGGGTAACTTACACATTTGCAAACACGTCTAATTCGCCGCACTTGCGCGCCCGATTCTCTATGTGTGTGCGTCAGAGGCGAATTCGCCGCAAGTGCTTATGTGTGTGTACACGCACGCATACACGGCCAGAAATGACGTGTGCTCTTTGGTGTGCGTTGCGTTTCTCGTGCGTGTGTTTTGATTACTTTTGCCGTACCGTTTTGGCGCCCACCACACACACTCGCAGGTCACGATGTCCAATTGCACTTATACCAAGAAGAAGTAAAAAAGGCGGGCTTTTTGCAAACATCCCCCTCTAGTCGTTACCCCCCTTCACGTCTTGACATTGTTTATCATCTGTTGCCGCACTGCTGCCTGCGCAGGTGTAGCGTTTTAGCGTGGCTTTTGCTTATCAATCAGAGCGAGCAGCGCCAAAAACAACACCGCACGGTTAGAAGCAATAACCGCTAGCTCCAAGCGCAGTCTGCAAGCATAGCGAGTAGCAACTGTACTAGCCCATTAGGTTTAAGTTACTCAGCAAAAGCTTTATTCAAAACGTTCGCTTCATTCACACTTCAGAAATAGTGAAATATTTACATTTAGTTCAAAGTGGGTTTCTTAATTTAAATCATAGTCATAAAAAAATACTAAGCATATGTTATCTTTTCAATTGGATATTTCTTGGGATGGTTTTTAAAAGTAATAATATACATATGTAGTTAATAAAGTGAGACAAATGTATACATATGTATGTACATATGTAGAACAATATATATTTAGCCCGCAATCATTACTAATACTGTTTGTTTCAGATGCCCTATTTGTTATCGACGGATGGATCATTGGCTGTTCAAAAGGATGTCAAGGGCCTCACTGGCGGCAAAAATAATGTCGTACGCCGCATGTTTGTTGTAAACGATCCAAACTTTCCGCCTGGAACTCAGAGGTGGGTTTTGAGCTGTAACTGTACAACAGCCTTATTTCGATCATTTTCCCCTTTTTAAACTGCAGAGTAATTACCGCCGGTGGACCATCGACGGTGGTCAAGAAACAGGATCCCAATCAACAGGTCCTGAGCCTCGACAAGAACTGTAAGTGTATCGATTTAAAGCGAATCAAAAAACCCTTCGAATCAAATCAGTGTTGCACGTTATTGCTGTTACTGTGTTGTGATTATCTATATATTTTTTGGGTTTTCTGTTAATCGATTGTTTTTCTCTCTCTACTCCCGATTATTTATTATAATTATTTGTTTTATATTTTTTTTAATTCTCGCTCGATCTCGCTCGCCCTTGAATTCAACCCGAAAACCGAACCCCAAAATCCACCATCTTCTCCAAAACTCCCACTGTGCTTATGTGTTTGCCCGTATTGCTATTGCACCTGATCCACCACCGACCCACCGATCATCTTGCCAAACGCACCGCACAAACACAAAATCACTTCATCTCACACTCACCTCATCACTTGGCGGGCGGCGGGCGCGGGCTGATCGAAACTTCTGCAACCGAAACGAAATGAAAACATCGAATTAAAACAACAGATCTGCTGGTGGATCCGGCTACCGCTGCAGCAGCTGCAGCCGCTGCTGGTGGGGATCCGGGGCTCGCCCACCACCACACGTTGACGAACGGCAGCATCGTTGATGCCAAGACCGGACAGACGGTCCTCACCGCCGGATCTGCGGCGGCCAAGTCGCACTTTAGCTCGATCGGGGCGCTACATCTCACGCAAGAGGAGTGCAACGAGATCCTGATCAAGCGCGCCATCGCTGCCGGCCACCATCAGACGCACACGATCACCGCTGCCGACGGATCCCATCACCATGCGTCCGGCGGGACACCAAGTAAGCATCTAAAATCTGTGTTTGTTATCCCTGCTCCAGTCCCTCCTGCCACCAACTCCTCCACACACACAACAATCTGCCTGTCCCCCAAATTGAATTGAAGTAGTTACCACCACCGTGTACTACCTGACATATTGGCACATTCTCGGTTCCGGTTGCTTTTACCCGGTTGCGTGGGCATCATTACGTTTTAGTTGTAACTATAGAATTTTGCAGTAGTTCGGTTTGCCTAACGTAGCTTTAAGTTTGATTTAACCAGTGAACCCCCTAACTTGATTTGCATATTCAGTTTGTTCGGATATTTGATTTTTTTTCCTTTTGTTTCTTTTCTATTTTTTTGTATCTTCCTTTGAATTCCATTTGGCTTTTGTTCCGTTGGCGGTGCAACAACACTCTTAGGTGACATACTTCCTGGTATTTCAGTTCAAGTACAGAAAGTAATTCAAGGACTTGAGGATAACGAGGACTCGCAAGGCGACGCACCCAACTTAAAGTTGGAGCCAGGCACATTAGAGTTGTCCCCGAAGACCGAACTACAGGAATCAATGCATTTCAGCGAAGTAAGAGAAATAATTATTAAACTAATGCAAATGGAATAATGGATTTTCTCCAAATAGACGGACGCCACTATCAAGAAGGAACGCCCGTACAGTTGCGACGAGTGCGGCAAGTCCTTTCTGCTCAAGCATCACTTGACAACCCACGCCCGCGTGCACACAGGTGGTTGTTCTTGTTCCTGGCAGATTATTATAAACTTCGGAGCGGGCCTAATCATTGCCTTTCCTTCACAGGTGAACGCCCCCACATCTGCACCCACTGCGGCAAGAGCTTCGCGCACAAGCACTGTCTCAACACTCACCTGCTGCTTCACTCCACGGAGAGACCTTATCAGTGTCAGGAGTGTAAGAAGAGCTTCACCCTTAAGCACCATCTGCTGACCCACTCGCGGGTCCACAGCCGCGAGCGACCGTTTGTCTGCCAGGAGTGCGGGCGCGCCTTTCCGCTCAAGCGGCACCTGGTGACGCACAGCAAGTTCCACGCCGGCGAACGGCCATATGTCTGCGAGGAGTGCGGGGAAAGCTTTGCCCAGGAGAACCACCTGATTATGCACTCACGGTGAGTTGGAAATTACTTCAAAACTATTTTTATCTAGCCTGACCCCTGGCCTCTCTCCCCAAACAGCTTTCATGGCTCATTGAATCCATTTGTTTGCGCTGATTGCGGAGCCTCGTTTCCACGCAAGTTCCAATTGGTTAACCACGGACGTATTCACGGCAAGATTCCCCATTCGTGTACGGTGTGCGGCAAGGAGTTTCTACAAAAGCGAACGCTAGTTTCCCACATGAGGTCAGCTTAGATATTTGGCTTTATTTAATCGTTATCTAATCATTAACGACTCTTTCATAGACGCGTACACACTGGTGAGCAGGCGCATCCTTGCGTCAGCTGCGGCGAGGGTTTCCTTACCAAGGCCGAATTACATCAGCATGTGAGGACGGCGCATAATGGCGTCAATCCGAATACGAGCAGTGCAACCATTATAGCTAATCAACAGGTATGTGGCATAATGCTTTTCTGAAATTCAAAAGACAGAGATTGATTGGTTTCAATTTAAAACTCAAGCAGCTGCAACAGGCCCATCATCATCAGTCGGGACAGCAGACGCATCCGCAGACCATAACCGTGGTTAGCAATCCGGGTAACTCCACGTTGCTGACTGTCTCCACAACGGATGCCAATGGTGTGGCTCGTCCACAGTTTGTGTGCCGGTAAGTTTTGGTTTAAAATTCGCTGGAATCTCCCTACCTCTATCTTAACTTTATGCTTACAGAGAGTGCGGCAGTGCGTTTAATAGCCGAGAGGCCTTGGCACTTCACTTGCGCCTTCACACTGGCGACAAGAGCCTGATGACAGATCTGTGTGCCTTGACCGCCGCGCTGCCGGGACACTTCTTGAGCACGGCCAGCCTGAATCCAGGCACGGTGGTAACGGCCAATCCGAATCTGGTGGGCCAGAGTCCAGTGCCAGTGCAGATCATATCGTCCACCGGTCAGGTGATGTCGCAGACCACGCTGGTGCAGGCCGCCAACTCGACCCATCCGCAAGCGGTGGTCACCGCGGTGCCTACAATGCCCGTGCACGGCCAACAGCAGCACCTGCAGCACGTGGCCCAGCAGCAGCAGCAGCAACAACAACAGCAGCAACAGCAGCAGCAACACATCGTCTCCGCACCGCCGGCCAACAAGCCGAAATCGCATTTCTGCGCCAGTTGTGGCAAGGGATTCGCTGCGAAGCACGGACTCATGCAGCACAATCGGCGTCACCCGAACGGTGGATGCACGGTGCGCACACACGTGTGCGAGTGCGGCAAGGCCTTCTTCCAGAAGAACCACCTGATGCTGCACCAGCGCCAGCATCTGGAGACGAAGCCCGCCATATCGCAGCAACAGGTATGCTAGACTCCAGTCTCAGACCAGTGCCTCTCCGATAGCCCGATAGCCCGATAACCAGTTAACCCAGATCCATAACCTTATATTCCGTCACCAAACGGATCCGATCCGAACCGCTCTGCTCTTAAATGCTTTGATTTACACATCTTAGTTAGCGTTAAGTCTAATTCTAGTTGGGAGTAAGTTAGGCAGCCGTATCGTTCATGTAAAATACTAAGCATTTAAGCAATGTTACCGATTCCAAAATAAACGATTCTTATTGGCATCCCCAAAAGGCTTTGTCAGTCAGTCGGGCAGCGGCCATCTGTTTTAGCTTACTCTTATTAAATTGTTTAAATGTTTTTCGTGTCCTTCTATCTGCAATGCCCGCCCCATCTAACCCACCAATATATACCAATGAACCAATGAAACATAATCGCATTACCTTTTCCAATACTTTGCAGCTTGTTGTACCAACTACTTCTTACTAAGAATTAAACGAAACAGAAAAACTGAAAAAAAGTTAAATAAAACCACAAATGAACGTTAAAACCTAATCAAACGAAAACCAACTCGAGCGACATCCATTCGCACAAGCACACACGCTCACGTTTAAAGCTATATGTTCGTATTCAGATTCGACAGGTATTGAAGTCCGTGGACCGCACCGATCGGATCTGATGTGATGTGATGTGATGTGTGTGCGGGTGTGTCTGCCTATGTGAAGGTGTGTCTGTCTATGCGTGTTCTCTCACCAAATCTATAAATCAAAAGAAACCCATAACTCTGCAATGAATAAAATCCAATCGTATCGTATCAAATCGAATTCCATTCAAAGGCTTCAGTTTGCGCGTTTAGGTGTGTATGAAATATCAAAATTATCGCTAATTGTCTATAAGTGTTCCTATATATCATGATATTTTGTATGTCTTCCGTTGTTTAGCTGTTTTGTTGTTGTTTTTTGTCGTATGCTTAGAGATAATTTTAGTCGACTGCCTGCGTCTGTCCTGTATCTCCCTTATCATCTTTTAATGATTTGTGTGCTCTCTCTCTTTTTTCCCTTTCCCCGAAACTTGCAACACGTTGCTTGCCGCCTTTTTGCCTGAGCGTAATCTTTAGTTTAGTAAAAAATAAATTTTGCATATTAAGTCGTCAAGTCGAGAGGCTGACACGAAAAAAGACCTTCTCGGCTCGATTTAAATCTAACTCATTTTTCAGGAAGCCTCTGCTCAGCAGCAACTGGCGGCTACAGGCGACCAGCAACAGGTGCAGGTGCAAATACTTCCCGATGGCCAGCTTCACGGCAAGGTGATTAAGTACGAGATGTGCCGCAATGTGTTGCCGGAAGATCAGCAGCAGGACCAGGCGGACTTGAGCGCAGAGTAACCGAAAGCGGTTGTAAATACGTGGCAAGTGCAACAGCAACACATTAGTAGCGACCAGCAGACCAGCAGACCACCAGCTGCAACACCATCAGCGCAGGGCAGAACACCATCGCACTCGGAGAGACACAGGTAGATCCCTCCCAGAGGAGTCCTCGGAGTGTGGCGCAAGCGTCGTTAGCGATTCCCTTAATTGTAATATTTTAGTTAGTCCTAGGTTAGCGGCTAAGAAATCGCATTGTACACATGATAGTTGATTAGCGTTACCGACATGAACACACACCTTATATAATATATATATATACAGACATATATAGATTTACGTATATAGAGTATCTGTTAATTTTTGCGATGCCTTGGTCGCATCTAAAACAACAACCTGTATGAGTTGCAAGTTTTAAAGCGTTACGTTCAATTGGTTTTATGCATTACACGAGTTTTAATAACACAACTTATACAAAAACTTATATTCAACTAGACGACAAATATTTATGCCTAAGTGTAACCTGTATACATATTAACACGAAACATAGACGACTACGGATAGTTTTAGGCACTAGCAAGCGTTGCACTTGAATACGTACGTAACCAGCGGCTCCAATCCAGACGTGGCGTGGGCGTTTGCGTGGTCGCAATCGTGGGACTGGTATGGGTATTCCTGTCCAGAATCGCGTTGGTGCAGGCAGCACATTTCGAATGTACATACAGAAACCGGAGCCCGCTGCAAGCCCAGGTAAATGAAGAACAGGTCTACGACTCCAGTTGGAGTCTGGGCGAAAAAGGAATGTGGAGTAGGTGCCTGGCACAAAAACTAGCTAACACAGATATCCAACACGAACAGGGAGAGAAATCTCCAGCGTAGGTGACTGCAATTGTTTGACAACCCAAAACACACAGCCTAGCAAACGAAAAACTTGACACAAAATTATTCAATGAAATTAGTACACATGAAGCAGCTACAAGAACAGACACTCTTATAACCGACCCACATCATCCAATGCACGCTTGGCGACGTATATCACACTGTAAAAAATCGAAGTTAAGTCTTAGGGACGCGTTAAGGCGGACGGAACATAATTGGTAATTATCGTAATCGGATAAATGAAACAATAAATAATAAACCTACACTAAGCATATATTTTAATATGTAAGCCTTAAAGAAATACAAACGGAAGATATGAATTATAATAAACAAAACAATGTGTAATTGCAATGCGGGACGGAGACTTTTTACCTTGCACCTAAATACTTTTTAGGGGGTCTTATCTTAACTTTATATATATATCTATATTAGCCCGGCAAACAGCGATCTTTGGGTTTTCCAATCGCTGATAAGGATAGCGCCACATACAGTAAGTTTTGTCATATTGGGCTTATTCGGATCGTGAACTCATAATCTTGCTCACGATTGATTGGAAAATCAACAGTGTTCGATTAAAATTTCCCTGAACTTGATATGTAGACCCTGAACCCATCGGCTTTATTGTTTCGTCTCGCAGCGTACTGCTTAAGGAACTTTCTTTTGACAAAAATGAATGAATAACTTATTTATAGGTTGGCTGATTAAACAAACAAACGCAAATATTTGCCATATGGATTGTGAGTCAACTCGATTGCAATTTTTCATTAGTAAGTCGATGAGATACTTGTGGTTTGAGTGTGGGGAAGAAACTAACTGAGTGTACAATGTTTGTATGCAAATTCTGTAGAATTCCAAGGCAAAAGTAAGGTCAGATAAGATAACGCTAAAATATGTAGAAATTCAACACAAATTGTTGTTTAATTGTTTTGCCTAAGCGAAAATATTAGGCAAATGTTCACAGGTGGCTTTAAATGGAGTCAAAAAAGCTATAGGCTTTTGGTTTCCTGCGCAATCAAGACGGATAGGACCGAGCACGTTGCCGATGTCCAACATGCGCGGCTAACCGTAGTCATTACAATTCACTCAACACAACCATAACTTTTAATTGTTTATAATTTTTGAGATACAAGTGAATAAAATATTCGCCATGCTACGTGACTGGGCCTTTCCATGCCCATATGGACACCGGTTGAGTCAGTTGGATAAATCGGAGGTAGGAGAATGTCGTTTGCAAGTCTGCCCTAAAAGTGCATTGTGCGATGGATGGGGTTGAAGGCAGTAAAAAAGCACATTTTCGGAGATCTCGACATTTCGGCCAACTGCCAAATAAGGGCTGACATGGACACGTTACCTTGATGTGCATTTCGGCTTATTGTTAAATTAAAATTAATTGAACTTGAGGCTACGCGACAGCCGAAACTTGCGCATAAATTTCGAGCACGCCTCTGTCGTCGTTTCGATCTCAGAACTCAATTTCAATTCCAAGGAAACACTGTGAGCTGAGAGATGTCATCATCCGAACACTCGATACAGCGATCTGCGTAAATGTGCCTGCCTAATTAGTCGGTGGCCATGTTTTCCCGACGCACTGCACCCAGTGGCACAGTTCCCAATTGCCATTTGATCTGAATTGCATCGTGTTCCAGATCCAGTTGCAGTATTTATGCCCGTGCCCATGTCAATTTTGTGTGCCATGAATCGCTAAGCAGGTTTCACTGTGGTCGCTTTTATATTCCACTTTAATTTTGCATTTGTGTCTTACTTCTATTTGTGTGATTTTGTTTTGTGTACCCCGGCCAGCAAACAAGTTTTGATTGCTTTTGGCTTCGCATGAAAATGAGTTTCGGTGCTCGTTGCTCATACGCCGCGTATGACGTCAGGCTCGAATTAAGCAAGAATTTGGGCTTTGCTTTTCTTGATAGCTCGCTATCTGCTTAAATTCACCCGGTATACACACTTGGTTTGGAGGTCACTGGGGGCTCTCTTTCATTATGCAGCTGATCTATTGCACGCCCCATTTGGACATATCCACTTCTAGATACTTCGGACTTGCACCCACCCAAAGGCCGTTATAAATCAATTGGGCTATTGAACGTATCGGGGCGGCGTTATGGCGAATAAATCTTGATCTTAGCGTGGCTTACTCAGCTCCGGCGTTGACGCCCACGTAACGCCGCTGCCGCCCGGCTAGACGATCTCTAAAAAAGTATCTACAAACATGGCCAGCATGTGCTGACTAATCAGTCTCCGCCGAAGCCATTCAAATTTAATTGTGCATCCGACAGACACAGCCGTTAGCCCGGCCTAATTTGGTTTGTCAATTTGGCTTGGTTTTGAGCCAATATTGTTTTCCGACACTGTTTGCTACGCAGGCGCACGCCCTGCAAGTTCGTGCTGCTCTGTTTTGCGTACCTGGCAAGCTCAAACAAAAAGACCGCCGGCATCGGGCATCAAACATCAGACATCTGTTTGTTTTGTTTTTATTGGCACTTTCACAAAAGATCGATGCGGTCGGTGTGCGTGCGGTTTTTATTGGCTTATTGAACTCGGTCTTCGTGGCAGACCGGCCCAGGAGCGGTTCTAGAGTAATATTTTTGTTTAAAATTTAAAGTAATAATACTAAACCAAACGCTCATAAGGTTGAAGGTGTTTGGGTCACCGAGAGTTGACCTTTGTTGAAATGATTATGAAACTATTATGCGGTGAATGGCTCTGTTGTTCAGCCTTAAGAAAACTGCTCTCAGCGTTTTTTAATTTTAATTAAACTTCTTAAATTACAGTCTTTACCCAAGGTTAAAGAGGTTTTTGGAACACGAAGACTTCACTTCGGTTAATTTTCCGACTGAGATTGGTGTTAATTTTGTAGGGGACCTCTCCCCGAATCCAGACCCTCCGAATCCACGCCTGGAGCGGCCTACGCATCCGTCGGAATCCGAAACCTACGCTGGCCGGGCTCTAACTTTTTGCCTTTTGCGAAGGCGTCGCTGCCTCTCGCTCGCGCCAACGGCCGAAAGCCCACAAAAACGCTTCTGCCGGCGCCGCTGCTGCCGCTTTCAGCCGTTTCTGCCGGCAGCGCACAGATAGTCGCTCGAAAGCAGCTCCAGACGCGATCAGTACGTTTTGAGTTGTGCTTCGCGACGGTTGGTGATCTTAAAAGTGCTCCCGAATACGAACAGTGGCCGCAGTCTCTCGGTTTTGGTGATTTTTTTTGGCTCCGCATCTGTATCTGTATCTCGATCGGCTCCAAACCGCTGCATCCGCGACTCTCTCCCCACCTTGGAGCGAGTGTGTGTGTGTGTCCGTGTCGGTGTGAGTGCGAGTGCTAAGCTTTTTGCTCACACGTCTAACGGCTGAAAGTGTGTGCGTGTTGTTGGTGCCTTAACTTGAACTATGGCTCGCTTGTTCGTGTGCGCCTAATAAATATATTTAAAAATAAGTATTTCGACATTCCGTCGTGGAAATTATGTGACACACCAGTTCAGATCCCAAACAACCACGTACCAGTCATTCGCGCAATAATATTAAAAAGCCATCCGAGTGCCAAAACAACGAAGCAACGAAGCGAGCAATAATTGTGATTAATAACAACGAAACAACCGAATACCGACCGCAAATTAGCCCCATAAGGCCATTCAAATAGCAATAGTCCAGCCAGGTGCATTATTCACGGCTCCCGAACAGTGATTACCTCATCTGTGTCAGCGCTCCGCCAGCAAAATGGTATCAAAAAGCAATAAAAAGAAACAAGTGTCTCAGCAGCAGGCGTCGACGTCGACGTCGCAGTCGCAATCGCAGTCGCTGCCACCAGCAACATCGACCACAACATCAACGTCGTCGGCCGAGGCCACGAAGTTAACCAAAAAGCTGGGACCCGATGCGTTCGCCACTCTGACCACCAGCAACAGCTCCAGTTCCATGCAGCACGAGTCGGTGACCTACGGAGAGCCTGTGGCGAGCACCTCCGCCGAATCCGCATCCCTGCCGGCTGCCGGAGTGAGGAGCTACAGCAGCCGGAGCCAGAGCCAGAAGGCCTCCCAGTCGCACTCCTCCTCCTCCTACACAGAGAAATCTCAGCAATCCCAGCAATCCCAGCTGCACAGCAGCAAGATCTCCCGGGACTATGCCAACCAGAAGATCATCTCATCGATCGATCTGCTAGAGAGTGAGAAGAAGGAGCCAGTATTCTCGGTACCCATCGAGGTGGTGGAGATCACAACGCCCACGCTATCCGTCTCCGCCAGCGGGGGCAGTGTCTCGAAAATGTTCACCTCCTCGTCGATGTCTTCCAGCCAACAGCAACATCATCAGCAGCAGCAGCAGCAAGCTAGTAGCTCCAGCTCTTACTTCCAAGCCACAACCAGTTCCAGCCGAAGCGCCAACGAAACGCTGATTGCGAGCGAGAGAGCCGACTCTGCTACCGGTATGACATCATCGTCGGGTCTGAGGAAACAGGTTGGCTTCGATACCGACACCAAGGCAGTGACAAACACCAGCAGCAGTAACATCAGCAGCAGCAACATCAGCAGCACAAATACAAACACAGTCACAAGCACAAACGTAAACATCAGCGGCGGCGGCAAGAGCAACTCGAGCGAATCTCAGAGCGTGCCAAAGCTGAAGGCGGGCGGAACAGCTGATGTTCCCGCATCGGTGACGTCGCAAGGCTACGCCGAACCGGTTGCCGCGACGTCTGGCGCGACTACAACAAAGGCGACGTCATCGACGCGACGCAACGATAAACTGGAAGTGGCCAGCACAGACACAGCTGTTGACAGAGCTACGTCATCGACCCAGAGGACCAGCAAAGAGGTCAGCGAGAGCTCCGTGCTGAAGAGCTCGACGAGCAGCAAACAGTCGAAGACCTCGTCCAAGAAGGAGGTGTACGACGTGAAGACCAAGACCTGGACGGAGTTCAGCGATGGCAGCTCCCAAGGACCCAGCAAGACGCGGCCCACCTTCGAGCGGTACGTCAGCAAGGAGTCCGACGGCACCTCCAAAGTAACGTACAAGAAGAAGATATACGACAGACGCAACAATCGGTGGCGCGTGGTGGACGAACGGACGGTGGACAGCACCGCCGACACGGGCTATCCCGAAATAGTGGATGATGTCATTAACACAACAAGAACCACATACACCACCAAGGTATACGACACGAAGCTCGGCAAGTGGACGGTTGTGGACGAGAAGTCGTTCACTGATACGAAAGCTTTTGTGCCCAATGACATTGCTCGTGAAATCGAGAAAGATAATACCGATGTTGCAAACATAACGACTACAACGGAGGTAACGAAGGTAAGTCGTTGATTGTGCGTGCGGGCGTTTAGTGGACCCTCCCAAAAGCCAAAAGCCTCTGGGTGTGTGCTGTCGTTGTTCGATTCTAAGAACTTTTCCCTCAGATTTTCGATGCGAGCATCAACGACTGGCGCGTTTTGGACGAGAAGGTGCACACGGATGTCATTGAGAAGATCGTAGAGGCTCCCAAGAAGACCATTTACGTGGACGAGTTTGTGGAGATCGAGAAGAACACGTCGATTTCGGAAAACAATGAGAACATTACCCTGAACCTGAATGAGACATCGAAACACAAAAATATTACCGAAAATATTTATGATGAAATCGATTATGTGCGCACTGATAAGCAACGCCTAGACGACTCAAGAACCGTAAGTTGATTAGCTAGGCATTTTCGTTTAGTACTAAACTAAAAATTGTAATATTTATCACCAGCGGGGAGTTGCCAAGAACAAGTCAACGACACATAGTGAGAGGTGCATCTGTGAGATCTGCACATGCGGGTATGATTAACTGCTTTAAAGTAATTAGTTTGTTGTATACTTAAGTCCAAACCCATATTTTAGGCGACATCATTGCTCAAGCAGTACAACGAAATCCTCAGAAAAAACTATTATTCAAACGGATGGTAAGTGAAATACTTTAAATAAACTAATTATTATGAGTTGACCCTTTTAAATTTATACAGACAGCGTCGACGAAGCATATACTAGGATACGTACAAATACATGGTCGAAAAAAGATAAAGGAAACATTCCCAAGCAAAACGAAGACATTTTAGTGGACTACATAGTCATAAAGAAACCAGAAGACAACCTACGACCTGAAGGAGAGTTTATAGTTCCTCCTAGAGAGCCATACAAGCCGGGAGAAAAAAGGGAGAAAATTGTGCATACTGACAACCTACGCACGGAGGGAGAAATGACTTTTGTGGAGAGAGAGGAATATCAATATACCGTCCGTCCTGGATATGTAAAGCCCACAGACAATCTTAAGCCCGAAGGCGAGTTCTACAGTCCTGAAAAGCCGAAGTACCAACCGGGAGATAGGCCTATTCAAGTGCGGCACCAAGACAATCTTAGACCAGAAGGAGAATTCTACACCCCCGAGAAAACAAAATACACTCCAGCCGACCGCCCAACACAAAAGAAACCCGTGGATAACCTTAAGCCGGAGGGAGAATTTACGTCACCAGAAAAGCCAACGTACCGACCTGCCGAGAAACCTGAAAAAATAATCCGCAGTGATAATCTGCGAACTGAAGGGGAGATGACCTTTGTGGAAAGAGAGGAGTATCAATACGTTACTCGCCCTGGACAAGTCAAGCCAACTGACAATCTAAGACCAGAGGGGGAATTTTATAGTCCCGAGAAACCGAAATATCGTCCAGGGGAACGTCCATCTCAAGTTCGTCCTGTTGATAATCTAAAGCCCGAAGGTGATTTCTATACTCCCGAACAACCAGGATTCAAACCAGCTGAGAGGCCAGTTCAAAAGAAGCCGGAAGACAATCTAAGGCCAGAAGGCGACTTCGTAAAGCCCGAGAAACAAGTTTATAAGCCTGCCGATAAAACGGAACGAATAATTCGAACAGATAATCTTAAGACCGAAGGCGAAATGACATTTGTAACAAGAGAGGAGTATCAATATGTGGTGCGTCCTGATCAAGTTAAGCCAACGGATAACCTGAAACCTGAAGGAGAATTCTACAGTCCCGAAAAACCGAAGTATAAGCCTGGCGAGAGGCCTTCTCAAGTCAGACCAGAGGATAATCTCCGACCAGAGGGTGAATTTTACACACCCGAAAAACCAGGCTTCAGACCAGCTGAAAGACCCGTACAAAAGAGGCCAGAAGACAACCTGAAACCTGAGGGAGAATTCGTAAAGCCCGAGAAACAAGTCTACAAGCCAGCAGAAAAAACTGAACAAATTATTCGGAAAGATAATCTTCGCACAGAAGGAGAAATGACATTTATCGAAAGAGAAGAGTATCAATATGTTGTTCGTCCTGACCAAGTTAGGCCTACGGACAACCTGAAACCTGAAGGAGAATTCTACAGTCCCGAGAAACCGAAGTACAAGCCAGGAGAGAGACCGTCTCAAGTCAGGCCAGAGGATAATCTCAGACCAGAGGGTGAATTTTACACACCCGACAAACCAGGATTCAGACCTGCTGAGAGACCAGTACAGAAGAAGCCAGAAGACAACCTGAAACCAGAAGGAGAATTCTACAGTCCGGAGAAACCGAAATACAAGCCAGGAGAGAGACCTTCTCAAGTCAGGCCAGAGGATAATCTCAGACCAGAGGGTGAGTTCTACACACCCGACAAACCAGGATTTAGACCAGCTGAAAGACCAGTGCAAAAGAAGCCAGAAGACAACCTGAAACCTGAGGGAGAATTCTACAGTCCCGAGAAACCGAAATACAAGCCAGGAGAGAGACCTTCTCAAGTCAGGCCAGAGGATAATCTCAGACCAGAGGGAGAGTTCTACACACCGGAAAAGCCAGGATTCAGACCAGCTGAAAGACCAGTGCAGAAGAAGCCAGAAGACAACCTGAAACCAGAAGGAGAATTCTACAGTCCGGAGAAACCGAAGTACAAGCCAGGAGAGAGACCTTCTCAAGTCAGGCCAGAGGATAATCTCAGACCAGAGGGTGAGTTCTACACACCCGACAAACCAGGATTTAGACCAGCTGAAAGACCAGTGCAAAAGAAGCCAGCAGACAACCTGAAACCTGAAGGAGAATTCTACAGTCCCGAGAAACCGAAATACAAGCCAGGAGAGAGACCTTCTCAAGTCAGGCCAGAGGATAATCTCAGACCGGAGGGTGAGTTCTACACACCGGAAAAGCCAGGATTCAGACCAGCTGAAAGACCCGTACAAAAGAGGCCAGAAGACAACCTGAAACCTGAGGGAGAATTCGTAAAGCCCGAGAAACAAGTCTACAAGCCAGCCGAAAAAACCGAACAAATTATTCGCAAAGATAATCTTCGCACGGAAGGAGAAATGACATTTGTTGAAAGAGAAGAGTATCAATATGTTGTGCGACCCGACCAAGTTAGGCCTACGGACAACCTGAAACCTGAAGGAGAATTCTACAGTCCCGAGAAACCGAAGTACAAGCCAGGAGAGAGACCGTCTCAAGTCAGGCCAGAGGATAATCTCAGACCAGAGGGTGAATTTTACACACCGGAAAAGCCAGGCTTCAGACCTGCTGAAAGACCAGTGCAAAAGAAACCTGAGGACAACCTGAAACCTGAAGGAGAATTCTACAGTCCGGAGAAACCGAAATACAAGCCAGGAGAGAGACCTTCTCAAGTCAGGCCAGAGGATAATCTCAGACCGGAGGGTGAGTTCTACACACCTGAAAAGCCAGGATTCAGACCAGCTGAAAGACCCGTACAAAAGAGGCCAGAAGACAACCTGAAACCTGAGGGAGAATTCGTAAAGCCCGAAAAACAAGTCTACAAGCCAGCCGAAAAAACTGAAAAAATTATTCGGAAAGATAATCTACGCACGGAAGGAGAAATGACATTTGTTGAGAGAGAAGAGTATCAATATGTTGTGCGACCCGACCAAGTTAGGCCTACAGACAACTTGAAACCTGAAGGAGAATTCTACAGTCCGGAGAAACCGAAATACAAGCCAGGGGAGAGACCTTCTCAAGTCAGACCAGAGGATAATCTCAGACCAGAGGGTGAGTTCTACACACCCGACAAACCAGGATTCAGACCTGCTGAAAGACCAGTGCAGAAGAAGCCAGAAGACAACCTGAAACCAGAAGGAGAATTCTATAGTCCGGAGAAACCGAAGTACAAGCCAGGAGAGAGACCTTCTCAAGTCAGGCCAGAGGATAATCTCAGACCGGAGGGTGAGTTCTACACACCTGAAAAACCAGGATTCAGACCAGCTGAAAGACCCGTACAAAAGAGGCCAGAAGACAACCTGAAACCTGAGGGAGAATTCGTAAAGCCCGAGAAACAAGTCTACAAGCCAGCCGAAAAAACCGAAAAAATTATTCGGAAAGATAACCTACGCACGGAAGGAGAAATGACATTTGTTGAAAGAGAAGAGTATCAATATGTTGTGCGACCCGACCAAGTTAGGCCTACGGACAACCTGAAACCTGAAGGAGAATTCTACAGTCCGGAGAAACCGAAATACAAGACAGGGGAGAGACCTTCTCAAGTCAGGCCAGAGGATAATCTCAGACCAGAGGGAGAGTTCTACACACCGGAAAAGCCAGGATTCAGACCAGCTGAAAGACCAGTGCAGAAGAAGCCAGAAGACAACCTGAAACCTGAAGGAGAATTCTACAGTCCCGAGAAACCGAAGTACAAGCCAGGAGAGAGACCTTCTCAAGTCAGGCCAGAGGATAATCTCAGACCAGAGGGAGAGTTCTACACACCGGAAAAACCTGGATTCAGACCAGCTGAAAGACCAGTGCAGAAGAAGCCAGAAGACAACCTGAAACCAGAAGGAGAATTCTACAGTCCCGAGAAACCGAAGTACAAGCCAGGGGAGAGACCTTCTCAAGTCAGGCCAGAGGATAATCTCAGACCAGAGGGTGAGTTCTACACACCTGAAAAGCCAGGATTCAAACCAGCTGAAAGACCAGTGCAGAAGAGGCCAGAAGACAACCTGAAACCTGAGGGAGAATTCGTAAAGCCCGAGAAACAAGTCTACAAGCCAGCCGAAAAAACTGAAAAAATTATTCGGAAAGATAATCTACGCACGGAAGGAGAAATGACATTTGTTGAGAGAGAAGAGTACCAATATGTTGTGCGACCCGACCAAGTTAGGCCTACGGACAACCTGAAACCTGAAGGAGAATTCTACAGTCCCGAGAAACCGAAGTACAAGCCAGGAGAGAGACCTTCTCAAGTCAGGCCAGAGGATAATCTCAGACCAGAGGGTGAGTTCTATACACCGGAAAAGCCAGGATTCAGACCTGCTGAAAGACCAGTGCAGAAGAAGCCAGAAGACAACCTGAAACCTGAAGGAGAATTCTACAGTCCCGAGAAACCGAAGTACAAACCAGGAGAGAGACCTTCTCAAGTCAGGCCAGAGGATAATCTTCGACCAGAAGGTGAGTTCTACACACCCGACAAACCAGGATTCAGACCTGCTGAAAGACCAGTGCAGAAGAAGCCGGAAGACAACCTGAAACCTGAAGGAGAATTCTACAGTCCCGAGAAACCGAAGTACAAGCCAGGAGAGAGACCTTCTCAAGTCAGGCCAGAGGATAATCTCAGACCAGAGGGAGAGTTCTACACACCGGAAAAGCCAGGATTCAGACCTGCTGAAAGACCAGTGCAGAAGAAGCCAGAAGACAACCTGAAACCAGAGGGAGAATTCTACAGTCCCGAGAAACCGAAGTACAAGCCAGGGGAGAGACCTTCTCAAGTCAGGCCAGAGGATAATCTCAGACCAGAGGGAGAGTTCTACACACCGGAAAAGCCAGGATTCAGACCAGCTGAAAGACCCGTACAAAAGAGGCCAGAAGACAACCTGAAACCTGAGGGAGAATTCGTAAAGCCCGAAAAACAAGTCTACAAGCCAGCCGAAAAAACTGAAAAAATTATTCGGAAAGATAATCTACGCACGGAAGGAGAAATGACATTTGTTGAGAGAGAAGAGTATCAATATGTTGTGCGACCCGATCAAGTTAGGCCTACGGACAACCTGAAACCTGAAGGAGAATTCTACAGTCCCGAGAAACCGAAGTACAAGCCAGGGGAGAGACCTTCTCAAGTCAGGCCAGAGGATAATCTCAGACCAGAGGGTGAGTTCTACACACCGGAAAAACCAGGATTCAGACCAGCTGAAAGACCAGTGCAGAAGAAGCCAGAAGACAACCTGAAACCAGAAGGAGAATTCTACAGTCCGGAGAAACCGAAATACAAGCCAGGAGAGAGACCTTCTCAAGTCAGGCCAGAGGATAATCTCAGACCAGAGGGAGAGTTCTACACACCGGAAAAGCCAGGATTCAGACCAGCTGAAAGACCCGTACAAAAGAGGCCAGAAGACAACCTGAAACCTGAGGGAGAATTCGTAAAGCCCGAAAAACAAGTCTACAAGCCAGCCGAAAAAACTGAAAAAATGATTCGGAAAGATAATCTACGCACGGAAGGAGAAATGACATTTGTTGAGAGAGAAGAGTATCAATATGTTGTGCGACCCGATCAAGTTAGGCCTACGGACAACCTGAAACCTGAAGGAGAATTCTACAGTCCCGAGAAACCGAAGTACAAGCCAGGGGAGAGACCTTCTCAAGTCAGGCCAGAGGATAATCTCAGACCAGAGGGTGAGTTCTACACACCGGAAAAACCAGGATTCAGACCAGCTGAAAGACCAGTGCAGAAGAAGCCAGAAGACAACCTGAAACCAGAAGGAGAATTCTACAGTCCTGAGAAACCGAAATACAAGCCAGGAGAGAGACCTTCTCAAGTCAGGCCAGAGGATAATCTCAGACCAGAGGGTGAGTTCTACACACCTGAAAAGCCAGGATTCAGACCAGCTGAAAGACCCGTACAAAAGAGGCCAGAAGACAACCTGAAACCTGAGGGAGAATTCGTAAAGCCCGAAAAACAAGTCTACAAGCCAGCCGAAAAAACTGAAAAAATTATTCGGAAGGATAATCTACGCACGGAAGGAGAAATGACATTTGTTGAGAGAGAAGAGTATCAATATGTTGTGCGACCCGACCAAGTTAGGCCTACGGACAACCTGAAACCTGAAGGAGAATTCTACAGTCCCGAGAAACCGAAGTACAAGCCAGGGGAGAGACCTTCTCAAGTCAGGCCAGAGGATAATCTCAGACCAGAGGGTGAGTTCTACACACCGGAAAAACCAGGATTCAGACCAGCTGAAAGACCAGTGCAGAAGAAGCCAGAAGACAACCTGAAACCAGAAGGAGAATTCTACAGTCCCGAGAAACCGAAATACAAGCCAGGAGAGAGACCTTCTCAAGTCAGGCCAGAGGATAATCTTCGACCAGAAGGTGAGTTCTACACACCCGACAAACCAGGATTCAGACCTGCTGAAAGACCAGTGCAGAAGAAGCCAGAAGACAACCTGAAACCAGAAGGAGAATTCTACAGTCCTGAGAAACCGAAGTACAAGCCAGGAGAGAGACCTTCTCAAGTCAGGCCAGAGGATAATCTCAGACCAGAGGGAGAGTTCTACACACCGGAAAAACCAGGATTCAGACCTGCTGAAAGACCAGTGCAGAAGAAACCGGAAGACAACCTGAAACCTGAAGGAGAATTCTACAGTCCCGAGAAACCGAAGTACAAGCCAGGGGAGAGACCTTCTCAAGTCAGGCCAGAGGATAATCTCCGACCGGAGGGTGAGTTCTACACACCGGAAAAGCCAGGATTCAGACCAGCTGAAAGACCCATACAAAAGAGGCCAGAAGACAACCTGAAACCTGAGGGAGAATTCGTAAAGCCCGAAAAACAAGTCTACAAGCCAGCCGAAAAAACTGAAAAAATTATTCGGAAAGATAATCTACGCACGGAAGGAGAAATGACATTTGTTGAGAGAGAAGAGTATCAATATGTTGTGCGACCCGACCAAGTTAGGCCTACGGACAACCTGAAACCTGAAGGAGAATTCTACAGTCCGGAGAAACCGAAATACAAGCCAGGGGAGAGACCTTCTCAAGTCAGGCCAGAGGATAATCTTCGACCAGAAGGTGAGTTCTACACACCCGACAAACCAGGATTCAGACCTGCTGAAAGACCAGTGCAGAAGAAGCCAGAAGACAACCTGAAACCTGAAGGAGAATTCTACAGTCCCGAGAAACCGAAGTACAAGCCAGGAGAGAGACCTTCTCAAGTCAGGCCAGAGGATAATCTCAGACCAGAGGGAGAGTTCTACACACCGGAAAAACCTGGATTCAGACCAGCTGAAAGACCAGTGCAGAAGAAGCCAGAAGACAACCTGAAACCAGAAGGAGAATTCTACAGTCCCGAGAAACCGAAGTACAAGCCAGGGGAGAGACCTTCTCAAGTCAGGCCAGAGGATAATCTCCGACCGGAGGGTGAGTTCTACACACCGGAAAAGCCAGGATTCAGACCAGCTGAAAGACCCGTACAAAAGAGGCCAGAAGACAACCTGAAACCTGAGGGAGAATTCGTAAAGCCCGAAAAACAAGTCTACAAGCCAGCCGAAAAAACTGAAAAAATTATTCGGAAAGATAATCTACGCACGGAAGGAGAAATGACATTTGTTGAGAGAGAAGAGTATCAATATGTTGTGCGACCCCACCAAGTTAGGCCTACGGACAACCTGAAACCTGAAGGAGAATTCTACAGTCCGGAGAAACCGAAATACAAGCCAGGGGAGAGACCTTCTCAAGTCAGGCCAGAGGATAATCTTCGACCAGAAGGTGAGTTCTACACACCCGACAAACCAGGATTCAGACCTGCTGAAAGACCAGTGCAGAAGAAGCCAGAAGACAACCTGAAACCTGAAGGAGAATTCTACAGTCCGGAGAAACCGAAATACAAGCCAGGGGAGAGACCTTCTCAAGTCAGGCCAGAGGATAATCTACGACCAGAAGGTGAGTTCTACACACCCGACAAACCAGGATTCAGACCTGCTGAAAGACCAGTGCAGAAGAAGCCAGAAGACAACTTGAAACCTGAAGGAGAATTCTACAGTCCGGAGAAACCGAAATACAAGCCAGGGGAGAGACCTTCTCAAGTCAGACCAGAGGATAATCTCAGACCAGAGGGTGAGTTCTACACACCGGAAAAGCCAGGATTCAGACCAGCTGAAAGACCAGTGCAGAAGAAGCCAGAAGACAACCTGAAACCTGAAGGAGAATTCTACAGTCCCGAAAAGCAAAAGTACAGGCCTGGTCAGCGTCCGTCGCAAGTTCGACCGGAGGATAATTTGAGGCCCGAAGGCGATTTTTACGCTCCTGAAAAGTCAGGATATAAACCTGGAGAACGGCCTGTGCCCAAAAAGCCTATTGATAATCTTAAACCTGAAGGGGACTTTGCAAAGCCAGAAAAACAGGTTTACAAGCCTGCCGAAAAAACTGAGAAGATCATCCAAAAGGACAACTTACGAACTGAAGGTGAAATGACTTTTGTGGAGAAAAAAGAGTATCATTATGTTACAAGACCTGAGCAAGTAAAGCCCACTGACAACTTAAAGCCTGAAGGCGAGTTTTACAGTCCCGAAAAATCGAAATATCAACCAGCTGAACGAGTTACTATTGTAAGACAGAAGGATAACCTAAAAGTGGAAGGGGAGTTTTACGTCCAGGAAAAGCCTGAATTTAGGCCTGTTGAAAGACCAAAGCAGAAGAAACCTCATGACAACCTGAAACCTGAGGGTGAGATGGTGATCCCAGAAAAAACGAAATATAAGCCTGCCGACAAGGTCACAAAGGTAATTCATAAGGACAACCTTCGCACTGAGGGAGAAATGACATTCACTGAAAAAACAGAGTACCATCATGTCGTACGACCCTCTCCAGTTAAGCCAGAAGATAATTTAAAAACGACTGGCAAGCTTTACGTACCTGAAAAGCCAACTCCAGCAAATGGAGAACGTCCCGAGCCGGTTAGACCTGTAGACAATCTCAAACCCGAAGGCGTTATGTACACCCCGAGCAAACCGAAATATGAGCCGGCCACCCGTCCAGAACAAAAGAAATATAGTGATAACTTAAAGCCGGAAGGTAAGATGCACATCCCAGAAAAAGAAGGCTACCGCCCAGCGGACAGGGTAAAGACGGTCATTAGGAAAGATAATTTAAAAACCGAAGGGGAAATGACTTTCACCCAGAAGGAGGAATACCATCATGTCAGACGACCAGATCAAGTAAAGCCAAGCGATAACCTAAAAGTGGAAGGCGAATTCTATACACCCAACAAGACTGCCTTTAGGCCTGCGGAACGACCCGTTCAAAAGAAACCTAAGGACAACCTTAAGCCGGAGGGAGAATTTTATAGGAGAACCGATCGAACTGAAACCGATAGCACTACGGTGACAGAAACCATTAGAAGGGAAACGCCAAAGCGTCCGGTTGACAACCTAAAGCTTGAAGGCTCGATGACAGTTACAAGAAGGGATGACTATAAGAGTACCGCAAACAAAACCATCGTTGATAAGACTCAACGCACTCAAAAAATCAATCACAACAGTTCCTCCATTACTTTGGGAAGTGACACTGCAATACTCAAGACGACCAACCAGATGAACTATGTGTCCGGCAAGGACGCCGTCAAGCAAGTCGATTCCAATAGTAAAAATCCAGTTGACGGTCTAATTGTTGTGTCCACAACGAAAGTGACCACTGTGGTAGGAGGGCGTCACAAGAAGGAGCCCGAAACCGAGTATGTCAAGAGGCCGGCCAAGATTAACGTTATTGAAAATGTTGCCAAGAATACAACGACGACCAACATCGAAAACATTCAAAACATTCACAAGGAGACCACGTCGATGCAGAGAAACCTCAACGTAGTCCAAAACTCTGCAGTGACCACAGAAAATATCAGAGGATCTGATGTATCTACCAGCGCTATTGAATCGAATCGCAGACAAGTCACCGGTAACATCACAGGGGACACTAGCTCGCGATTGGTGTCAGGTGGCACAACAACAACGAACATTGTAACTGGCGATAACTCATCTACTCGCGTGGTTTCTGGCAGAAACGTTACCAGCAATGTGACAGAGGATTCTTCAACGCGAGTTGTCTCAGGAAGAAACGTCTCCAGCAATGTTATTGGAGAATCGTCAACAACCACCCGTACGGTTTCCGGAAGAAATGTGTCTAATAACATTGTTGGAGACACCACAAGCCGAGTGCTCTCTGGCAGCACAGTGGGCCACAATATCACCGATGATTCTACATCGCGAGTGGTCTCCGGAGGCAGAAGCTCCACCAACAACATTGTGACCGGAAACACAACCACTTCGCAGATGAGCACTTCGAAGCACTTCCATCACCGCAAGAGCGAGTTCTCCTCGGAGGCCGACGTCTCGAACACGGTCTTCCATCGCAAGAACGTAACCAGCGACTTGAACGCGGCCAATGGCAGCCTGACCTCGAACGGAAAGATGCAACGCAAGAGCATACTGAATCTGCACGAGCAGCCCTCTAGCACCACCATCCATGGTGGGGAGCGACAGAGCTACAGTAGCATTCACCGCCAGAATCGGGAGTCTGACGCGAACTCCACCTTCACCAGCGAGCGGCGCACCTGCAATGTGCACAAGGATAACAGGGAGCACAACGTGAAGAACTCATCTTCCATGTCCCGAATCATTTCTGGCGGTTCCGCCGGAACCGACAGCAGATCGAATGTCGAACGGTCGACGGTGACGCGCACCCAAGTGATTGGGGGGTGGTGGCATCGATTTTCCGTCCCAATCTCACTCGCACTCGCACTCGCACTCCGGAAGCCTGACGACCCGTCACCGAGGAAACCAGCATGTGTCCAGCTTGGGCGGCGGCATCGATTTCCCCTCCTACAGCAGTGCCCACGGCGGACACACCGAGCGTGTGGTCACCCGCCGCGGCAACCAGTCCTCAATTAGTCTCGGCAACGACAAGTTCACCGGCTCCAGTCTGTACAAGAGCGAATACATTACTGCCCCGAAAACGACGTGTGCTGTGCATAAGATTAAGCAAGGTGCATTCCAACATACCAGGAGTACTCAAGAACACAAGTTCTTCAAGACCTCAAACTAACAGAGCCCCCCTACGGCTATACAGATATCTTTTGCTTCACTAACCCACATATCCCACATTAATAGTAAGCTAAGCTTCCATGACAATATATGTTTTATACAATATATACAAACCAATTCGCAAACGAAGATTAACAATAAATATATCAAATTTTTGAAACGAACTTGCATTTCTTTTTTTGGCCGAAAGTGGGCTGGTTTAGGATCAACTGGAGATGACGTCTTTATTGAGTTTAAAAGAGGCTAGTGTCGTTTTAGAGGCTAGTATGTAAAGGTAACTGTATATTTAAACGTTAAAAAAATCCGCTCGGCTATATATAAACAATGAGTTCTATCTATAACACTCGTACATTTCGTTTTGTATTTGTATTTGTATTTGTATAATGGTGTACATATGCAGTTTATTGTTTGCTCTGTTCAATTTGTCTATAACTTATTTTGCATATCAACACAATAAATATTTCTCTTCATATTCGTACATATGTATATTTATACTTATATATTCATCGATTTACTTAGCTTATGTGTTGTATATATTATAAATCATCAATATTTATTATATTTTTGTTTGGAAGACATTTGTTCGCTTGTTTGGAAGACTTGCGTTTCGTTTCTTACAGACTAATATTATTGTTTTTACTTTCGTTTCGATAGCACGGTGTGCCTAACTGAATCTTGTGCACTTTGGGCACAGCCAAATGATGACGGAGCATCTGGAAGACTTGCCGCGCCCAAAGGTGCAAAGAATCACAAAATAAGAATCTTTTGATTAGACAGTTTACACTCGACTTAGAATGGAAGACCGATCTCAAATGCATTTATCAGGGCATTGCCCGAATCGTAGATGCCAATGACGCCAAAGAGCACGCCCAGCCCGATGATGAGGTAGTCTTTGGCTATTTCCTTCTGGTCGAGCAGGTGGCCCTTGATCTTGATGTGGAAATAGCAGGGCCAGATAAAGCTGAGCATGGTGCCGGTGAAGCTGCCAATGAAACCCATCAGAATGGAGAAGTGGGGAATGAAGATGGCCATCAGGATGGTGGACACAATCACGCCGACGCGAAAGCCCAGGCCCCACACCTTCAGTTCCCCGTCCAGGTTCCAGATGGTCGGGAACTTGGTCTTCGGCGGACCGCGGAAGAAGTTCCGCTCGAGCAGCTCGCAGGCCGCGTAGTAGGGCAAGGGGTAGCTGAGCAGGGCCTTAATGACCAGGAAGAAGTTCACCATGCCCTTGAAGCCCTGCGAGTGCAGGTTGTTGGTGATCACCTGCTGCGTGTCGTTCTGGAAGGTCAGGAAGCAGATGTACCCGAATCCCGCCTTGAAGACGGCGGCCGCGATGTGCGACCAGTCCAGCATCCAGTTGAACTTGGAGCGGTCGATCATGTTGCCCTCGAGCGTGGGCAGGAAGATCTGGGAGGTGTACGAGAAGACGATCACGCCCAGCGAGATGGGGAAGTTCTCCATGTCGATGCTGAACCGCACCTTGGACCAGCCCCAGTCGCCGATCTGCAGCAGGCAGTAGCCCAGGATCACGGCGTTTATCACGATGTGCGACATGGTGCACCAGAACGACAGCGTCGAGACCATCTTCAGTGACTTGAGGAAGCCCATGGGCAGCAGGAAGATGCCCACGAACAGCATCCAGGACCGCGAATCAAACGATCCCTGCGGATACGTTCCGGCCAGCAGGTCGCCGCAGACCACCACGTACAGGATGCAGGTCATCAGGAGCTCAATCAACTGGGCAATGCTCACGGCCCGGGCGCCCAACTTGGGCCCAAAACATACCTTGGCAATGGCCACATAGCTGTCGCGCACTCTCACCATCTGTCCCGTGGCCGGATCCGGTTCGTAGAGGCACTGCACCAGGACCTTGCCCGTGTAGCAGCAGATGTGCGCGATGCCCACCATGGCGATGATGGCCCAGTAGCCGCCGTGGAGCACGGCGAAGGGCAGCGACACGATGAACATGCCCTGGATGGCGTTTGTCACGTTCCAGGCCGCCTGGAACTCGTCGATCTTGCAGCCGCCGCCACCTTCTCCCTCGCACACAAAGGAGCTGCCCTCCGAGGCGATGCTGCCTTGCCTGCAGAGAAAGTAGAAAGTATGGCTATAGGGATTACAGGGAATACTCTCTATAAGAACCCACCTAAACCCATCCGTTTGCTGGTACCTCCCGTCGTACTCGTTGAAGGATGTGCTCTGGTACTCGGTCTTGTACTCGCCAATGCCCTCGCCCTCGCCCTCGTTCGTCCAGCCGCCGGCGCTCCGGAAGGGATTCGAGCTCATCTCGGTGGTCTGCTCACCGTAGTCCATGCCCGCCTCCATGGCCTTGCTCTGGGCCTGCTGGCTGTGTTGCTGGTGCTGCTGGCTGGCGCTCCCCGGCGGCTGCTCGTAGTCCTTGCGCTCTGGAATTTGCTGTCGGGCCGTTTGCACGGCCACATTGAGTATGTTTCTCAGGGGCGGCAATGGCGTGGCTTTCAACTTGGCTATGAATGACATGCTGGATGCTGATGCTGGCTATAGACGCTCCTGATGATGGTGGGATGGCTTATGGTGGTGCTGTGGTGGCTTAGGGCGGTGGTGGTGGAGTTGGATGGCGGCGGCCGCGGTGGTGGTGTCAAGAAGTTGTGCGAAGCTTATCGATTTTAACTGAATTTGCTGTAACAATTTCGTTGGCCTCCAGATTCCGCAATCGTTCTCGAATTTCGCTCTACTTTTGGTCACATTGGGTTAAGCAATCTAGAAAATAAAACTGAATTTTGTCTCGGTTTTGGTCTCGATTTCTCGTCTTCTTGGCGCCCTTGTGCGAACGGAGCACGTAATCATGCGATTCTCGGATACTTGCACATCCTGCTCACTCGGATCTCGAAGTGCAGCTTAAGCGCAGCCAGAATAGCCCAAAACCAGTGCGGAAATTGTTGGAAAACGGCTTGTGAATTTTATGTAACGTGGGAAATCTGTGGCCGTGCGAATGTGAAAAGAAAATCTTTGCACTCCAACCTGATGGAACTGGCAGTGCGCAGACTCCGGTCGTGTATATATCGGGTGGCTGTGCCAGTCAGTCAGTCATATGGTCACGGTCCAATTTGCGTTCCACCCCCCAGAGAAGCTGTCATTCCACACTCGCTGGCATTGAAATCGATTATGCGATTCGATTACTTATGATTTACTTTATTTCGTTTCGATCTCCTCTCTCGTCTGATAATTGTACAATTCAAAGTGTTCTAGTTCTAGGTTCACGAAGGGTTGGAAGAACATTGTTTTTCGGGGGGGCGGGGAGCAATCTTAAGACTACCTAAACCACTCGCTAAACTTTATGGGTCAAAATTACAATCGTCCGATCGATCGATCGATCGGATCAGTTGCTGTAGCAGGTCTTGCGCACTCCCGCCAGAATGTTGCTAATCTCATCGTCCTTGCGCTGCTGCTGCTCGAATAGCATCTCGCCCACGCCCACTCCGACGCCCACGCCCACGCCCACCATTCCGGGTGCGGGTCCGAAGTGGTGGTGGTGCTGCTGCAGAACCGTTGGATTCGAGGTCGCCGTCTGGTTGGGAGGAGGAGCTGACAGGGAGGGCGGAGCCGAGTGGGAAGCCTGCTGCTGCTGCTGCACTGGCGCCTGATTCTGCGGCTGACCTTGGGTCATTCCCTCGTAGCCGCCGTAGTTGCCATAGTGCAGGTAGCCACTCTGCATGGGCTGGGCTCCATACGCACCGGATGTGGTCTGTTGGAACGCCGGCACCGCCAGCTGGAGCGGAAAGGTGGGCGGATACGGGAGCTGCGTGTAGTAGCTGGCCGCTGTCGCCGGCAGCATGGCGTTGCTGTAGGCCTCCGCCTCATAGTCGTCGTAGTTCTGGTTCGTGTCCGGGTACTTCAGGCACTTGGCCGCCTCCGGAGCGGGTTCCTTGTGCTCCACCGCCGACGTGGAGTAGTCCATCTCGTTGCTCTGGTAGCGCAGGAAGTCCTCGTACTGCATCCCATAGGCATTCGTGCTGGGCAGATACTCATTGGCGGCCAGCTCGTTCATGCTGAGCCGCAGGTTGCCGCAGTTGTCCGCCATGGAAACGGTGTAGCTGCTCATCTCGCTGGAGGGCAGTGGTCCTGCGGAACTGGAGGGCGTGCTGCTGGCCAGATTGCAGTGCTGCTGCAGCACACTTATGCTGTTTCGCATGGAGGAGGTGCTGTCCTCCTCGGAAACGGAAACCGGGGGGTAGAAGGTGCCCTTCACCGAGTGGCCATGATCCAGCAATCCCCGATTGTTGCAGGTCACGTACATTCCCCGGGCTGCCACCACGGCCACGGATGTGGGTGCCAGAGGATACGAGGCGGCATACAGACCCTGCTGCGATTGTCCCTGCGACTGCCCCTTGCCCTTCTCCTCCGACTTGGAGAGCTTTTCCTGGCGGGACTTGGTGGCTCGACTGGGCGGCGGTTTCGATAGCTTCTTGAGCAGCAAGGAGCTGTCGTATCCCCCGCCCGTGGGCGAGGACTCCCCCAGCAGGACGGGCGGACAGTTGGCGGTCAGGGACTCGATCTGCTCCGTGCTGTCCGCATTGCTGTAGCAATCCACGGAACTGGGCGAGTACGTGGGCTTCAGCGGCTGCTCGTAGATTCCGCCCGGAGTCGCCTGGCCGTGGTTCTGGTTCGTGGAGTTGCAGGTGCTCTCGTCGGTGGGCGAGGTGTAGCTGGAGGACGCGGTGGTGGCCAGCGGGGGCGTGGCCAGCTTTGGATTCGATTTGGTGCCGCCACTGGCCGCGTTGGGGGAGCTCTCGCTCTGTTCCTTGCCACCCGGCTGCATGGCCCACAGCTTGGACTGCTTGCGCCGCCGCGGCCTGTACTTGTAGTTTGGGTGCTCCGTCATGTGGATCACCCGCAGACGCTCCGCCTCCTCCACGTAGGGCCTGCGGTCTTGCGGCGTCAGCGATCGCCATTTTTTTCCTGCACGGGGAAGATGAAGACATAAATTATGGAGGGGGTAATAACTATATTACTGATCTTTATTAATTTAAATCAAGAAAGGAAGCTGTATCATTAAAATTAAAAAAATTGACTAAAAAATTCAATTAAATTATAATAACGTAAAAATAATAATAATATAAAAAATTTAATTTAAATAATGATGCAGTTCATTAGTTAGGTTGGAGAATTGAAATACCAACACTTAGAAATATGCCACTTTGAATTCGGATGAAAATTAGAAAAGTTATGGGCTTAGAAGAAGTGAATTTGGTCCATTTCAGCAAGCCCATTTTTTGGAAATTTAAATAGGGGTTCTATCATTAAAATTGAAAAAAATACAAAATCATCTAATGATGCAGTTGGTTAGAGAATTGAAATACAAACACTTAAATCGGATGAAAATTTGAAAAGCTATGGGCTTGGAAGTTGTGAATTTTGGTCAATTTTCAGCAAACCCATTTTTTGGAACTTTGGTAAGGGGTTGTATCATTGAAATTGAAAAAAAATCGTAGAAAAAAATACAAAATTAAATAATAATGCAATTCGTTAGAGAATCGAAATATATACACATTGAGGAATGCCCTTTCGAAATCGGATGAAAATTAGAAAAATTATGGACTTAGAATTAGTGAGTTTTGATCAATCAAATGAAAATATTTTCATAGACACACTTTTTAAAATATAGTTTAAGGATTTAATAAAAGCTTACCCAGCATCTTGCTAAGGTCGGCGTTATGCAGGTCGGGGTTCTCGTCGGCCAGCTTCTTGCGCTCGATCTTGGCCCAGACCATGAAGGCGTTCATCGGGCGGCGGATGCGCGATTCTTTGGCACTTTTTGACTGGGTTCCGCCGGGCCGGTACTTGAGGTCGGCGGGCAGCGGCTTGTGCCGCTCCAGATAGCCACAGTTGGGGGCGCACAGCTCGCCCTTGTAGTCGTAGCTCCACATGGACGCCGGTTCGATGGGCGAGTGCGACGTGCAGTCCTCCAGGGGACCTCCTCCTCCGGATCCCGCGCTCACCATTCCCGCGTGGGGATGCGAGAGGAATTTGTTGAGCACCGAGTTGCCACCGCCGCCCAGCAGCGGGATGTTGCTACTGATCAGGGATCCGGAGGCAGTGCCTCCGCCCACGTAGGCACTGGACACCATCGGCATGGGCGAGTGGCTGTGGCTGTGCGCCGCCAGGACCGCCTCGTTGAGGGAGTGCTCGTTCTCGTACCCGGAACTCTGGATGGCTGGCGAATGGAGGCTGGGCGAGGAGTGCTCGCTGCCCTGGCGCACGTGGTAGATCCCGGCATCGCTGTTGGTCTCGTGCATCAGCCGACCGTCCGCCAGGTAGCCACCGTGCTCCGGGTAATCGCTGCCCGTGGAGTGGCTGTACTCCGGAGTGCGCGACACGTGCGGGTACTTCTTGGAACTGAAAAAAGAAGTCAAATGTAGATATATTGTTATATGTATTTCTATCTATATATAACACACTAAATAATAGTTTATGTCTTAGGTAAATTGAGGTAAGCTTTCTTCTTTAACTTCTAAGAATTCTAAATAACATCGATCTTTTATTCGTGGCTATAAATGTAAGCAATTTTTTAGGCGATATTAATATGATTCAATTCATATCTGATCGTCGAAAGCTCTTTACCAGTTTATGTTTTATTTTATGTTATTTCCTCAAAATAATCAGTAAATAATACGATAATAATATCCATAAATGCCATATATACAATCTGAAAAGCCCAAAAACAAAATGGAGTTATCCCCTGAGTCGCATCCCCGCCTCGTATCACATTCATGCCCGTTGTTAATTCCTCTCCCAAGGGGCTACTGCTGGAAATTACGTACCGTCGGCAAAAATGTCCGACGCTCGGTTCTTTATAATGATATTTAAAAGGGCTGCTAAATACGTTGACAATTTTCGCGTCGCTGGCACGCACAGAGCGACACAAAAGCGAGGGGAGTGGGTATAAAAATCGGAGGGGTCCCTCTCCTCCAACTTTGCATTTATCAGACACCAGAGAGACACAAACTGGAACTGGAGATCGGAACCGAGCGAAACGGATTGGATCGGCTTGGATCGGATCGGATCGGCCGGGCTCCCTGCATCGGTGCGCTCCTTAATGTCAGCGGACATAAATGTAAATTGGGCGCGTGCAGCTATTGTATTATCAAAGGAGGCCGCTTCGAGTCCAACAAGCCACCGTCGCAAAGTCGGCGGCGGAGTAAGCAAAGAAGCTGGAGCAGAAGCCCAGGAACCCAGCAACCCAGGTCCAGACTCCCTCCAACCGAAACCGAAACCCAGATCGGGAACGAGAATAAGACCAAGACTGAGACTCAGAATGAGAATGAGAATGAGAACGAGGCTGGCCGCAGTCTGGCTGCTTGGCTTCTTGGCTGCCTGGTTGGACCTTTATGCATAACTTTTAAAACTTGCGACATATCGACACATTTCAAAGTAATTCGCCTTCCAGGAATTCAGCAGCATTGGGAGCACGGAACGACAAGTTTAAATATTGCCAAAGCTCCCGAGATCCCGATCCTTTGGGATCTCAAGTCGAGCCGCAGTATGCGTGCTCCTCCTGCGATCTCCCCGATTTGTTACCGTTTGAATTTATTGCTGCCCACTACACTTTTGGTCTATTGTGTCGGCCAGCCGCTTTGCCTGCCCACCGAAACCTACCAAAACCACTGGGCCTAATTGTTTGCCTCGGAACTGGGCTTCCAGCCAGCCAGCGAGTTAGCTCTAATTCCACTGGCCTTTCTGCCCAGAGTATTGAGTATCTTAACTCCAAACTCCACACTCCAGACTCTTGGCTAGGTCTTTTGCCAGTCCAAAGATCCCCTTCTCGAGTTCGAGGCGCTCTAGTTCCGGCGACTTTCTTCCTTGAGAATGCCGCCAAAGTTGCAAATTCAGCGCGACTTGGTCTCCAGTTCCCTTAAGAAAGCCCAGCTAACCCCTTTTGAATACTTCTTATGCCAGCCAGAAAGAATACCAGCCCTGGCTGAAGGCTTCGAGCTCGATAATTTATTGAGGGTTTTCGGTGACGTCGTTACGTTTTTGATATTCGGTTGCGGCTGCCGCTAAATACTTGGCCGCTGTCGATACGCCAGCTCTCGGCCAAAAGGGGTACACAAAATTATACCGTCCTGGTCTGCTCCGTCCGCCCGTCCGTCCCGTCCGTCCGTGCATTTCTGTCCAACCTGTCCCAACTGTCGACCGTCTGGCCGAAGTCGGTCTGGCTTTATCCTAAGCCCGCTCACGATCTGCTCGGCTTAGCCAGCTTCTTTAGCTTCTTTAGCTTCAGTTTTCAGTGTTCAGTGCTTGGCTCTTGGCTCTTCAGTTTCAGTTTGTGGCCGCCGACTGCTTAGCCATGGCCCTGATTTTAAAATAGGACACATACAGTGGCCGGTAAGTTGGCATTTTTATGCGCGCAAAATGTCAACATCTTTGCAAAATGCCACATATTCCACATTGCGGCCAAGCTGCCAGGCGATCCCCTTGCCTCCTTTTCTGTCCGAGTACTCGATGTCCGAGCCGGGGACCCATGGAACCAAGGAACGTTTTGTTTACGACAACATCGACTTCTCTGGTGGCTGCCACGGAGTCCCGGTAAAAGTGGAAAGGGGCCTTCGAATGTTGTGCGACTTGAGCGGGAGGGGACTCCCCGTTGCAGGCTGCCTGCCGCAAAAGTAGGCAACTCCTCCCTTTTAACAAGCCCCTTGGCTTCATTCAGGAGCCGCCAACTCGCAACCGATAAAAGCCGCATTGATCTGGAGAGTGTCAGGCGCTTTAGCATATTGTGATTCATGTGACGCTCTGCCGCGCTGCTCAAGACAGCCTTTAGGTTGGGTACCCCAACTGCACATCCCATCCAGAAAATCGGATGCACACACACACATAAATGGGGGACAATTGTCAGAGGAGTTGGCAATAAAGAGCGAATGTGGTGGCGGCTTCCCCTTAATCCATATTTTCCCCATATTCCTGGCTAATTTTAGAAAGCCTTTCGGGAGCCCCACAACTTTCGGTTGACAAACTGACATCCCAGCAAATAGGACAGTAATTAAGACAGAGCTGTCAATACACCTTTGTCTAGCCGTTGGCCCATTTGGCAGATGCGCCAAAAGAGGCCCCCTGAACTGCGGACAGGTATGTGACAACAATTGGGCAGATTTGTCTCGCATTCTAAACAATCACTGCTGCCCAGACTGAAGAACAATGGCATTCTATTATTCGGGAGATTTGTTAGACATTTTTGGTATTTCATAGACCGATTTAGACACTGATATGGAGAACTATTCGAGTACTCTTTAAAGGGATAACATGCGTGGCAGCATTCAGCTGATATTTAACTTGGATTTTCTCAAAGCATTTAAGAAATTTTATTGGGATGAGTGTACTATATGTATTTTGTACATATTTAAATTATAAAGTTGGAAAGAAATGCTTATATTCAAACCATTTTTATGTACCCTTTAATGTTTTTATATAGAACAACAGAAATAATAATATAACTATTTACCTTAAACTAGTTAAGTGTCTTATAAGGTGGCTTAGCCTCCATGATCTTAATTTCAACTTAATTAGTAGAGCAAATGATCTTGGGAAAGTGAAATTCTCTAATTAATTCTTTTATTTAGGTACCTACTCGTGAGAATTTTTCTGCTCAACTGAAACCGCCGTAATGTCCACTCTAAGCTTATGTTTAAGCCCTAGCAACCCAGTGAGCTCTACTTGCTAGCCCGATTGCCCTCATATGCATTTTAGAAAGCCATTGCCCGGTGACATGCTAATTAACAACCTTGGGGAATAACTTATATAGATCCGATTGTGATTGCAATATATAGCTTGGCCCCTTTGATCTGCCCACCGCAGATGCCTGATGCCTGCCCGGGATGGCAAATCATTTGGCGCCTCATCTGCGTTCGCATTGGGCCACATCGGATGGCTCTTTGCAGCTGTAAGCGGTGCGGCAAGGTAATAAAAGCCATTTTGGTTTTCGACCAAATTGCGAGGATGGCGGGCAGTGGGAGAAGGAGGCTGCCGGAGGCGCAGAGGTGGGTGTGGCCAGCGGCCGGCGAGGAGGCTCTCATCTGCCGCGGCTCTCCGTTTGCTCCATTTGCAGTCTATTGGCTGCCTGCTGCGGCTGCAGGCGCCCCAACCCGAGTACAAAATAAAAAGAAAAAAAAAAAAAAAAAAAGAAACAGATTTCCAAGGGGCTCCGCAGTAAGCAAGGCAGAAAACGAGTTTGGCCCAAACGACTTGGCACGACCTGGGCCCAGTTCCAGTTGGCGGCAAGGCAGAGGCGAGCTGGCGAACTGGCGGCCCAGGTGTGATGTACTTGAATAACTTAACGACGCAGGCCCGGTTATTCAGAGAAGCGCGATGAGTTGTCGGCCGATCGGATCGGCCATTTACGCATACATATGCATGACAGCAGCCCCACTCTATATAGCGACTCGAACCGAACTTCTATACATTGTGTGCACATGGCCGCATGTAGATGCTGTTGACCAATAAGCATAAACAGCCCAGCATCCGGGCCCAAAGAGCCGCCATCTTAGCTTTAATGAACGCGAACATGAAGGTGAGTTCAGTTGAGGCGAGGTGCGCTACCTGCTCCGCTGCGAATGGGATCGCTACGCACAATGGATCGGAGCATGGGTATATATGGTATATAAAGGGGATATACATATACTCGTAGACATACAGTGCGGCATACATAATTAAACTAATGAAGCAAGCGAAGAGCGAGGCATCATCATCACCATCCATCTTCGAGGGCCGAGCAAATCCGAAGTCGGTTTCGTTCGTTTCGGCTAATGAGGTTTATTGCGGCTGTCGACGGCGGATTGGATCCCCCTCCTGGGCTCTTTTGGGGTCCCCCACCCATCGAGGAAACGGCGAAGACCCAGTTCTCACACAAGCGATTTTAAGAGCATAAAAAAAGATACAAAAACTTAATGGATTTTAGCACGCACACCAGTACACGCAGATACAGATACAGACATGGACACACAGATACTCCCTCGCAGGTTGGGGCACTAAATTATATGGATTGCATGGAAATGGAGGCAGTGCTACATGCTCGTACCAGTAAGTGGAGTAATTGCATGTGGAGGATCTGTACTTAGCTGGTTGCCGGATTCGGAAAATAACTAGGCGGCAACCGGACTCCAATCGGGGTTGTTGCAGGGCCTCGTTTCCAACAGCAGTCCTGATTTCGGCCAAAGGGGCTAAGTGGTTACAGGGTGTTGACCACCTTAAATGTTTTCAGATCACTAATTGGCCATATTAAAATTAATTACCCAGAAAACTTTTATGTTGCTCATGCAAAGTATCTTTTATTTTGTGTAGCTATAAAAGGGCGGTTTACCAGGAAAATGTTTTGGTGGTCGAAAGCTATTTTTAATAAGGTACCCTTACTTTTGTTGAGCTTTTGTTTTTTTGTAAAACAATGAAGCACAAAAAATAGATGTCTTTCCAAGTTTAAACACAAAATTACTCCATCGGAGAAGGAAATTAGTTTTTTGTCGAATTTAATAGGCTACAAATTAAGAAATGCTTACGACATTCGATTTATTTAAAAACATTACCATAAAAATACCCCTCTTAATATATTGTTTAATTTGGCCAATCAAATCAGATTATTGATATATTTTAAATACTTCGATTATTTGTTTTTGATTATATAAAAATACAATATATAGATACGAAGAAATTCACGACATTCTCGGATGTCAATCGAAGCTTTCTTCTTGAAAATGAAAATGCAGGCTATTGCGTTTTTCTTACTCTACCCTCCAGATTCATCAATACAATTAACCAATTAAGCTGTCGACACACGATTTATAAGATTTGAAAAGATTTATCTCGTGCTTCCAAGAAGTTACAGCCGCTGGAATCTCCTTCTACGTCAATGAAAAGATTTAGTTCCTGTTTGAAGTAAGGGGAACTCCAGAATTGATCAAGTTTATGTTTTTATTGCCGGGAACTCGTTACTTATTCAGCAAAGTTATCATATTTAAGATATATAGTAAACAATTAAAAAATTTCAGTTGGTAATTGAAAGTCAACGAAGTTTATTAAATCTTAAAAGATTTTATACCCAGCTTAGTCACTCAGAAATCTTAATTAATTGCCAAACTTGATTGGAAATCCACGTATACCGACCGTTGTTTATTGGTCATTGAATTTTATTTTTATGTGGAAAACTATTTAGATTGAAACCGGAGTTAGCAAAGTTTAGGTAGATCGAGGCCTTGGCTTGATTTATGGGGGAGCCATAAAAGATCAAACTGAATGAAATCGCATCAAATCGAGTTGATTTGTGGCCCTGTCACGTGCTGAGCCAATCCCAAGCTGGAAGATTCGAAAAATGTGACGAGAAATGCGACAAGCTTTCGCCCATGGGATCTTCGGGTATTTCGGGTTTCGAATTTCTTACGAAAAGTGTGCGGACTTATCGGAGCTTTTCATCTGTACTTAATTTAATTTCATGGCTTCATTTCCATTCATAATTTCCTACAATTTGTAGTCGGGAAATTCCCGTCGGAAACTACGAAAGTCAGTCGGCTAGCAAAAAAAACTACATGGGGGTGTATACTATATATACTGATATTAAAACCTCATGCGTAGCTATCTAGCTGTCCAGATCGGAACTAAATCTTTTTAATGGCCAAAGCCGCATGACCTCTGGCCGAAATATACAGAAATTAAAATGAAAACCTCTTTCGGGGCTTCTATCGTTCTTGCCTCCGCTTTTTCCCAGGGTCTCCACCCCCGTTTCGGCCGGAGTCTTGGTTTACTTTCCACTTGACCAATTTCGAGCTGTGTCCGAAGACGAAGACGGTTCTTAAGTTATTCGCGGCCGACCATTTACATATTTTCATTTACGGAGAGCAGAGGAGCGAAGTGAAGAGGAGCGGGGAGGAAAACTCACACAGTGAAGCGAGAAGCGGATACGAATACAAGTGCAAGTGCTGCGGGGTCTGAAAACTGGGGCCACACCAAGGAAAATCTAAGCAAATTCCCAGGTACTATATACTATTGCCCCTATATGTATATATATACTCGTTTTTATGGTCGCAGCTCTGCTACAGTGTGCATTCGACATCCCCGACGGTGTTTCTCGCTGTCGTGCCCGCCGCCAGTATCTTAGTATCTGTATCTGTCTCTGACTAAGTCTTGAAAAGTCCCAGTCATGGGCCCATGTACACGAGCTATATACGTATATACGAGTATATGTATATATAGCTACGATCTAGAGAATTTCTTCACCACTACACGAGCGCCTTTTCCATTTTTCATTATGGTTATTATCTTGAAGATATGTATCTTCGCTTCGGTTGGATATAATTAAACAGCGAGAAAAAAATTTTAGCATGGGAAAAATGTAAATATTACTTGTAATTTGTTAGCAGATGATGTGGATGTTCGTGATCATATGAGGGTTCCATTTTATACGGCAACGGCGACGTTCGTGGTAACGGTGACGTTGATGTTGTTGCAGTTGCAGTTGTTGCTGTTGCAGTTGTTGCTGTTGCTGCTGTCGCTGATGTTGCTGTTGCCAATGTTGTTGTTATTGCTGTTGTTGTTTTTGTTGACGTCGGTGGTGGCAGGTTGAAATTGTTGTTGTTTTTGTTGTTGTTGGTCGGGGCTTTGCTTTAGCAGGGCCAGCAGCATTTTGCTTAATGTTGCATTATTCCGTTAGTTTTTTTCCCTTTGTCGGTGGATTGGTGGGTGGTTCGGTGGTGCTGGTGGTGGTGCTGCTGCTGCTACTGCTGCTGGTTGCCGGGCCTCGCATTTTGCCCAGTTACAGTTCCAACCATAAATTCATGTGCCGCAGCATGTGTGAATTTGCGTCCATTTGTTGTCAGATTTTGTTTTGTTTCTGGCTCAGACCCTAACCCACATTTTGGCCACGATTTCGCAATCGCCTAATGATGTGGATTTATTTTATTCTCACTCTTCACTGGTTGGCACTCGCACTTGGTTTTTTGCTAGGGGTTATTTTGAAAACTCGATTCGATTCAAGCACTGCGACACTTTCAAAAACCGATTCGATTGGCACTTGGTTTTATTTAGCTTTTCAATATTCGCTTGGGTCACTTGTAGGAAAGATTTTCCCGATTCTTCCCGAACCATAAGATACTGGCTTAATTGTGTTTAAAGATTGTGTTTATCCAGATTGAACTTGGTTGTTTTCCGTTTGGTTCTAGCTCTTAAGGAAAGCTTTTCGAATGGCCGTCGACTAATGATCGTATCGGCTGCCTAAAATCAAGGGCTTCGACATTTCACAAGATACAAACCGACAACAACACTCTTGGGAAAATGAGAATGCACGGCACAACAGCCACCACTGACTAACTAACTAACTAACTAACTGGGCCTATGTACAGCGGGCCAGTCTGTATGTAGATATATTTATGATTACAACCCGGGGACGCAGATGGCGATGTCAATGGAGAGCCGAAGCTAAAGCTCGATTTTAAGTCGGAGCCGCTGAACCACGCTGATGACGAACCGCAGGCCAACTGAACTCGGCGACCGATCGACGCTCTCTCGAGCTCGGAGATTGTGAACTGAACGCCGCTGAACGCTGGAAACTGAGGTAGGTAGGTGTCTCTGCCTTTTTTTTCAGAGACCCGATGCATAAGGCCAAAAAGCGAAAAGCTGAAAGCGCACGGTCGAAACCTTTAGCGCAGTCTTGGGCCAAAACGGCCAGAGAGCGGCGGCAGCTGCTCAGCAAAGCGGAACGAGCAAGTGGCCCAGGTTTCGGCCGAGACTCTGGCCCAGGTGACTTGGCTCCCATATACCAAGCCAAACCGAACCATACCGTACCGTACCATACCATGCCACACCACACCATTCCACTGCGATCTCTCTGGGTCCCCAGACCTCGAAGCACCGCGGCAAGTTCTTTTGAATCTAATGAAACAAACCTTATTTAATATTCGTTCGCTCGATCATTCGTTCTCTCTCGATCGCCAAGAGACCCCAGTCTCCGTCTCAGTGGCAGTCTCACTTTCGGAAATGGAAAACCTGTTTCCCGATCCATTTGTTGTGGGAGAGACGACTTTGCATTTGGTTTGTTTCAATTGGTGGAGGCCCCAATGTCGCTGGGGTCTATATATACACAAGCTGGCGCGCTTGTGTGTGTGCTGGCCACAAATACTCGAGGCGGGGAGCTCACCCATACAAGGAAGCGAGCGTATGCAAATATCGTAATGTGCGGGACCCCTGGGAAAGGTGTTATATGGATCAAATGGGGCATGGTCTTTAAGAAAGATTCACCGCAAATTTGGGAATATTTAAACAGGCAATCTTAGTAAAGGGAGAGCGGAGAAAGTCATTAATTAAAAGCTAAACTCCAAATAGGATAAAACGGAGGTCTTTACTGTTTTCTGTCATATTTACAAATGTTAAAAACAGCATAGTAAATAAATTATTAATTGGCCTTTTTGGCATTATTCATTAGAAAGAGGCTTCTAGAGGGTTTACATATAAGTTTATAATAAAATGCAAAACAAAGGAATAGCACGGTTTAACAGGAAATATCAATGCTGATAAGTCTTGTACTACAGGAGTTAAAATTTGTATCTAAATAGGCGGTCCATCCCAATAATAAATCTAAATTAGCACAAGTTCCAATAGAAATAGCTAATACTATTATCAAAATCGAAGATTTAGATTTTTTTAAGTTCTCCACCATTATCCCCCCAATAAGCATTCGCCCTGTGTGCCCAATAAAATGCACTGCCTGCAAAGCGGGTAATATTCAAATAGAGCCATATTTAATTTTTATTTCACTCTCCACCCACCGAAGTCGGGGCCAAGCTGATTGGTATCCAGCTGGAGATAAGCAGCCAAATTGCATATTGCAACAACTGCTGCCAGCGAACCGCCGCAGCCAAGCCCAAATAAAAATCTGAGGAAAAAAGCGACGAACCTCCCAGAAGACGAGTCAAGTACGAGATGGCAGGTAAAAGTGCATGCGGCCACGCGCAGGGCATTTAATAAACTCGTACTTGGTTGGGGGCCCACCGAACCGGAGTTCATAATTAAGCGCCAGAATGCCGGGAAAGCCTTCTTGCCATAGATGCAAAATATTTGTTTATCACATCGCGATAATTGCCGCCGGCGAAGTGAGGACCGAGACTCTTAGTGGTCGTGGCGCTGGATTTATGTGCAGAGGGGCCGAGCACCGGGCAAAAGGTTCCAAGCATCGGTCAGACCAAAAGAAAGAAAAGCCCAAAAAAAAAGAGGGGAGAATCGCTGAGCCAGCGTGTGCCGATCGAGGAGACTGAAGACTGGCGACTGAACACTGAAGACTGAGGCCCAAAAGACTAAAGACTAAAGACCAAAGACTAAAGACCGAGGCCAAGAACGAAAACGGAATCGGGATCGGGGCCGTGGATAAAGATTGCGAACGAGGATCGGATCAAAGCGTGCCTCGGTGGTGGGTACAAGTTTATTGGCGTGGCGTATGTGCAAATAGCCGCTCCATCGACTGCTCCAAAAATGTGGGCGTGTGACACTTGAGCGGCTATCGCCAGCGAATCTCTGCCTAAATGCTGCAAAAGGAGAAAAACAAATTATTGATAAGCAGATCGGACTGAGGGCACTGCAAGAAATCTCCCTCAGCCAGCCGCAAATCAGACTAGTTCGTGGCCTTTTACTGAAGTGATCCGGTTTCTCGCAGTGCAACCGCCAAGTAGGAGGTGCAGTTTGCGAGTCCTTATCGCTGATGAAGCCCGGCACACGTTGGTTTCGGCCAGGTCCAGGTTCGGGCCTCATGCATTGATGGCTGTCTGTTTCCGAGGCTCTTGCCGTTCTGTTATGTAAGCTAAACCTTGCTAAAACAACTGCGGTAGGTACGAAAACCTGGAGATCGTCGAGTTTGCAACAAGGGAGTGTTCCGGCATTGCACAATTCGGCTGCCAAATGAGTTGACGATGAAGTTATTACAGGTTTATATAGATTTTCACATTAAAACCTAACATTCTTATGCTTTTTTAAACTTGATCTAACCTACTTTAAATTTGAATTCTCGCGGTTAAGTGTTGTGCGACAGATGTGCAATTACGCTTTGCAACACTGATATGGTTGCCAGGTAGTTCGAAAAACCAATTCTTTTAAAAATAACTTAAATAATACAAAAAAATGAGACGCAAAAAAAAAGTTTGGTTCATATTTTTATTACAAGAGATATATATGTATTACCGATACTCATGTAGATATGGTTTACATGTTTCTTAAGCCCTACCAAGTCAATATGCCATGGTCTAATTATAAAATCGGCATCAGTCGACATATTTAAGCCTGTTTTGCTGCAATTTCCTCATCTTATATTTCTCCAATATTAATTATACAAAACAAAAGCTAGATCAGCAATATCGTTTCTACTCGGCAAACCAAAAACATGCGAACCAGAAGTATTCAAAAATCACATTTAATTGAAACATTAACAGCTTTGTTTCTTTTTTGTTTATTTAGATTTGTAAAACCCTAACTCTGCTTGTCTGGAAAAAGATTAGATGCGTAGTCATCTAAGATCTTGGGCGTTCCTTCTTCTCCTTGTAAAGGGCCAGCAGGGAGACGTTGGCCACCTTGACAACCTTAAAGCGCACACCGGGAATATCACCGACGGCATGACCCTTACGACCGAAACCGGCGACCAGGACCTCGTCGTTTTCCTCAATGTAGTTCAAGCTACCGTCACGGGGCACGAAGGCGGTGATCTTCTTTCCGTTCTTGATCAGCTGCACCCTCACGCACTTGCGGATGGCAGAGTTAGGCTGCTTGGCCTCGACGCCGCTGTGGATAAAAGAAAAAGATTATTAATTTTTGCTGCAATAGAACGCACGAATTTAATTCCAAACCGTTTTAGATTTCTTTGGTTGCTGGCACGCTTGTCAGCTCACAGTATAATCCTGTGATTTGAGTTCCAAAACCAACAAAACACAAAAATATACTGCGAGTCGTCGAGACGTGGGTTCTCTTCGGGATGTGGATAACACTTCTTGGGACTGTACTTACACCTTCTCAAGGACGATTCCCTTGGCGTGGGAAGCACCTCCGAAGGGATTGGCCTTCCATCTGGTTCCCAAATGGGCCTTCTTGTAGTCCTTGTCGGCCCAACGCTGGTCGCGACGGTGGTTCACATGCTTCCTGGCAGTGCGCAGACCTCTTGGCTTGCCTATAATTTATCAAAATATTATATTACATGTTCATAATCTATATCTGAAGTGCAACAACACAATGTAAACAAATGGCAGCTTATGCGGCTTCGGTATTGAGGTTATACAGAGGCATTGAATTCAAAACACTGTCAAATGCAATTTTCTCACAAATATTACTAGTATTTTGTGCAGATGGCTTGCTTTTCCGCAGAAAACATTATATTTGCTCACAGCAATAAGTGATTTTCTTGATTTTGTTAGATTGTTGGACAGCTGAAATCGCAAGTCTCCGACTTGTTTGCATTCGCCAGTATTTCGACACTTTCAGCGTAAATTCACTTACTCTTTCACCCGCGCCGCATTCTAAGCTTCGTTTGTTCACTGTTTAGCAACGTTTGTCGTTTTTTTCGCACAAAAACTACGCTTTTCAGCAACTCACCCATGATTTTCCAACTTCCTCGGCAAACGGCGGAAATAAAAAGAAGGATGACAGAGTGACCATTGCAGAGCGTTTCAAAATACCAGCGGGATTGTTGGTGTGACCAAAGCGAGGCCGTTCCAATATACCAAGCAATGATGGGTGTAATAGGACTTCTTCGCTGTTCTGTCCTTTGGCCACACTGTTTTCGGAAGAGCTGCTTGTACAATGTGACCTTTCTTTTATACTATCGAAATATCGAAGGGTAGTTCCTAGATTCAAGCCCATAAGACCTTCAGCCCTGGTTTTCAAAAAGTAACTGAATTCTTAAATGTTACCAAAAAACTAAACTAACCATATTTTCTTTAAAAAATAAATTTTTCGCATCACTTTAGACGTAAAACCTCACATTTTTGAATGTAAATCCCAAAAACTGTTATTAACCCAAATTAAGCAGAAATGCGTCATCAATTTTTTTGGGCTTGTTAAATTTTGTGTCAACGAATTAACGAATATATGAGTCATCCTGTTGGCATTTGCTTCGAGGAAAACGGGATATGCTAAAGTATTTTATGAACAAACATAAAATACGCATTTTTTCCTGATTAATGCTCACATGACTGAAATTTCTAAGCAAAGCTTTCATTGCACTGATAAGAAAAAATAGAAAAATAGAATAAGTTAAGAAAACAGCGAAACGTCACAGATGCTGCGTATATTGATAATACATTTGGCTCTGAATGAACTGGGAAATCTCTAGGAGACTTTTACATAACAATCCTGCTTTAAATATATTACACGTATGTTTTTATTGCACCCAGCCGAGACTGAAGTACATATTTATGTCCTCCGTATTAATGCGATTAGATTAGGCACTAAATCCGGCCAGGTTAGGTAAGAAGTTGGCTGCCAAAGCTGAAAAGAATTTAATTTCTCTAATCTAATATGTTTTTATGACGTGCCACCCATGGTCATATAAATTTCGGGGGCTTATCGCTGCAGCAAGGGGTTTTCGGGGGCCAGAGCAGCGGCTTATCAATCAAAACTCAAAGTTAGCGCACGGCTCGTCGATTGGTCGAGGTGATAGAAAAGCTAAGGAACAAAATTGACCTGAAACGATATCGACACTGAAATGTACTTAAAAGAATTCATTAATAAAGCACCCAAAGGGACCAAAGTTCGAGAGTCCCCGGAAGATAAAACCGAAACCACCAAAACCGGATAAACGCCAGACTGATAAAAACGTATTTCTACTGGGGCTACTTCAACCATTTAGCACTTTTTGAGTACTTACAGTTCAAGGCCCCTTTAATGAATTCGAATCAGCGCCTGGCTTTCGTTTTTGTCTACTAATTACCCACGTCCCGGTTTATCTGAATTACCAGTGCCACAATTTCATAACTTCTGTTAACAGTTTCAAAATGCCCTGTTCTGTGTGTTTTGGGCCATTACGAAGCAGAAAGCCGGTAACCTGCTGATGAGCAAACAGAAGCCCCAGATCCCTAATCCCTGTGAATGAGACCCATTCACATTTTTGAGTTTATCTCTTTGGTAGTGGAAAAAGCCAGAGGCCCACACACCAATAGAAATAGCCACAGCACGAGGGCAAACACTCACACACGGGTTATCCAACTCTTGATATTGTTCGGGAACACAAAAAAGTGATATATATTTTTGTGTAGTTTCTTTTCTCTGGAAAAAAGTCCCAAAAAAGAAAGAGAACCGCCGGGGCAAACACTCCCAAAAATTCAAGTCGAAAAACGGAGGCAAAGTCAACAGCAACAACAGAAATACCAACAGCAACACAAGCAATACCAACAGCAAAAACAACAACAACAACAACAGCAACACCAGCCTCTAGTTCTCATTGCGTATACGACGGAGTGTTCCCGAGCCATTTTGAATGAGAAGAGCGATGGAGCGCACAAGATGCCGGCCACTCTCACTGGGTTTTCCCTCTCGCCAAAGGTGGTTCAGGAGCTAGGGTTTCCTAGACCGAGCAGATCCGATTAGTTCGGATCAGATCCAGGCGATTCCATTCAGAACAACCAGCAATCCGAGCAACCAACGCACACACACACTCTCCCGCGGCGAGACACACAGATACTCACGCACACTGAGAGCCGTGCCGTTGGTGTTGCTGTTGTGTTCTGCTGTTGCTGCTGCTGCCGTGCTGCTTTCTGCTGCGCGGTTTATACTGCCAACACATTCTGATTTCCCTTAGTTATCTTCAGTCCGTCGCGTCGCTCGCATCGATTCATGAGGCGATCAGGCGTCCGTAGCGGCAACCGCAACTAAGTGTTTCAAAAAACGAATAGCTCTGAAAAAACGCAGAAAAAAAGTAAAGCAAATAACACAACTCGCACCGAATCGAATCGCGAAGAAAGCAACAGCAACGGCAACAGCAACAGCAATAGGAAGAGCAACAGCAACAGCAACAGCAACCGCAACGGCAATAGCAACATCGGCGCAGGAACGAACTAGCCGCGCGCACTTTTTATGTGCTCCCCGCATATATACATGCTGCTCTCCTCCGCTCCGTTCCGTTCTGCCCCGACTATATAAACATATGTATAATCAGATACTGATACATATAAATGCTAGAAGTATTTTTAAGCGTGTTGTTTCGCTTCACGCCGATCCCGCTTCCTCGTTGCCGTTTCGCCGTTGCCGTTGACTTTTAACTTTCGCTTTTACTGTGTCGGCGTACGCGTTCGATTGCTTTCGCTTTCTCACACCAGACCCACACATCAAATTCTTTGCAGCGCGCCAAAAATAAGAGCAGAAGTTGCCACAAAAATACCCAATAATACCCAACTGCAACACGCCGCATCATCAACGCCAGCAACATCGACAACGCGACAGCAACAGCAACAGCAACAGCGACACCGAAACCCAAACATATAGGTAAGCCAACTCCCAGAACCTGGAGTTCCCACTCCTCTTGGCCTGGCTGAAAAACGGGTTTTGGCCAAAAACACACGACCAACGACCAACGCAGCGACATGCGGCAAAACTGCGCGCGGCGGGCTGAAAAATTAACCATGTTCCCACTTGATTGGCGGCCCAAAAGGGAAGTGCAGGGAATGGTCTAAAGCCCCCGGCATCGATACCAGGAAAAATATAAAAAAGGCAGCGGCAAACGGCTTTCGAGTCGCAATTTGCAGCCGTCTTTGTTGCTTTGTTTTCCTCCCTGAACTTGAACAAAGAACGAAATCAGCTTACGTTAGATCGATACTAACTAAGCCTATGTTTTTTTTTCCCTGCTCCCGAGCACGAGTATCAATCAGGTGCTACACGGAAAACGTGATCTCGAGTTATGATTCTGGGACCATGAATTTGATATTTCTAGCCACAGTTCTTATTTGCTTTGAATCCAAAAAAAAAGTCGTTGCTTTTGTTTGAAACCCGCTAATAACATAAAAATTATCTCGGAGAAAAAATATAAAAAGAAACTTAATTTGAATCAGAGAAAAGGTTGAACTGATATTAGTTGAGTTTCTTCTTAATCCACTACCTAAAGTTTTGATCTAAATGTGACTCTTGAAAAACTGGTTATGATGAACGAAAATTAAATAGAAATGTGGATATTACAAGCACAGCGGTTGAAATGCAGAAGGTTGGGGTAGAGTATCTGACGGATAGCAAAGTATCTATTGGCACCTGCCAGCTATGCAAATGCAGATCCATTCTGCCCGCTTTTGCCATCATTATCCGCACATTAATTACGGCCAGTAATTTCGCATGCAAATCGACCGGGTAGTTTGGCTTTATATTTTCGATCCCAGTGGATTCGATTCGATTGGATTCGATTCCGACACGCCTTTCGCCATCGGAGGTGAGTCAACGATCGAATTTTTTTTTCGGCATTTGCCCAAGGCTCTCTTTTGGGCCTTACGCGTGGCTTTTGTTGCGTTTTATCTTACAACCGGTTGCCGGCAAAAAACAAACAAAACAAGCCGCAAGCCAAGTGTTAATGGCAGATCCCACAGCTGTCGAGCAGTCAGAAGTTGAAAACACCCAGCTGAAACCGAAACCAAAGTCAGACATCGACAGCTACATCTAAATCTATATATTCATATCAATGGGCCGTGACGTGCGTTGGAAGCATTAGAACTGCAAGATGCCAATGACCCAATTTCCCCCACTCCACCACTAATTGCTCTGCCTTGGCAATTAATCAACCAGAATTCGAATCTAAATCTCAAACTGAAACTGAATCAGAGTCGGAGTCGGAGAGACTGGCTCGCTTGAAACTACTTTTCAATACTTTTCGGTTAATTAGGAGCCGCAAGCTGAAATTAGAAATCTTAAATTCATATTAGCCAGGCAGCAAACATGTTTGCTGCATTCACAATGGCCCCAAGTCATTGCCAAATAAATGGGGTTTTCTCAACAGACATTCTTGCGACTTGGGTTTCTCATTCTTCGGCATGGTCGAGTGCGCTTGCGTGTGGACTGCAGACGGTGGTGGATTGGAAAATCCACACCCATCACCTCCAGTCTTCAAACTCGAATCTTCGCTCTCGCATCTCGAATCTCGCGACTCGAGCCGTGGAAAATTTCCCTCAACTCGGATCGATAATCGCCCTGTAAATATTTACAGCAGATTAAGCCAATTTTAGAGTGCAGTTGCAGTTTGTTTGTTTCCTTGATTTGCTTATCAGATCAACGGCGAAAACAACAATAACAAAACGAACAACAACAACAGCATTTTGGCGCCAATGTCGGGGTCGAAATACATAAGTCGGGGAAATCGGAATCGTTTGCTTAGCAGCTCGCTTTGCTCCGGGGTCGAATCGAGTCGAGTTGGATTGGAGGAGGCAGAGCTCGGGATGTGGAAACTGGGAAACTGGGGCTGCGTCATGAGACAATGACATTTGGTCGATGGGGAAGTGACTGACTGACGCAGCCACGTGCAGATAACCCAATAATAATAAGTGAACACTCAAATAATAAAATTACTCGCCAGCCCCATAGGCAAACAAATAAATCACGACTCCTGCGGTCGATTCCCCTACTCTCGATTTTCAACTAGCAATAATCGCGCTACTTGCACTTATTTTCCATGATTTGAACATGTTAATTGATTATGAATCCATGCTCCACTTCCGACAAAAGAGAGCAGAGACCCCGGCGACCATTGATCATCGCTCCACTAATTGTCGAGGCCTTTGTTCGTGCCGATAGTGGTGGTCTGGTCAACACCACCACGCCAGAAGAGGAAAACCCAGCTGATAGTGCCCCGCATGAGATAGCTAACTGTGTCACTCGCCAGCCGCCTTTCGAGAGATACAAGATACTTCCCTTCTATACCAACCATAGCCGTATCACGCTCCTTGGCTTGGATAACCCGGGTAGCGTAATGTGGAGAGCTCCCCAGGGTGAAAGGCCGAGCGATGAACTTGAGGTGACAGCTGCCCTCGAGTGTTGGCTATTCCACCCGGAATGGGGGCAACTTGAAGTGGCGACACGAGTGCGGAGTCGTGCAGAGCGTGTTCCCCTCCGGAGAAAGCCAGAGATCCCAACTTGTCCGGTGACGAATTCTTTTCCGGATATATTTTTGGATCGTTTCTCCCGGTTTTCGGGGAGGATTGTCATTTGGGGAGGATTGAAATGTGTTTTTTGGAAGACAAAATGAATGGTGTCTGCAGCTGTTTGCTCATATTATTTGAAATTTAACAGAAACTCACTTGTATTTCAATCCATTCACTTTCCTTTAACCAAATGAAACATATAGAGAGTATTTTAAGTCTAATTATTCAAGTACGTTTATGATTAGTCACCAAAATTAAAATATAATCAACTTTTTATGGAAAAATTCCAGAGCCCTATAACATACTTTCAAGATAAATTCTCGGTTGATTAATCTTGACCACAACTCCCTTGGGCTTGCAAAAATATTTGAAAATAATTACTATTCAAAGAGCAGTCATACATTCTCGAAAGACCTTTTTATAAATTATGAAACATATGTAAGCAATCCACTTCAGAATCCTTAAGCGTAGAGCACCCCGCATTCGGTGTTCACCAGCCGAATAATTTCAGCTCACTGCAACCTCTTGGCCAGACTCGCCTTCTAGGGCTCTCGCTCCATTTTGGGGCCGGCTTAGCTAATTAATATTTTGAGCATAAAGTCGTTTAACGATTGCTTCACTTGTACCTACAAATTGCGGCGCTGAGATATGGCTCTCGGAACCAGTCCGAGCGGCCAGCTACCGCCAGACAATCTAAATGGGGCTAAAAGCAACAAGGGGAAGGGGAGGGGAGCAGAGGGAGCTAAGGAGAAGGACGCCCGGACGCGTACGAAGAAGAACCGGACGCCCACTGTTGCACGTTATAAATAAAAGAGCCATGTACTGCACGGGACACATATGTGTGCGATTCGGAGGGAGACGGTCGCCGGAGATAAAGATACTCGAGCAAACAACTTGTAGATACATGTGCACGCTTAGGGAAAACCGGCGGCAGGAGAACGAACATCTTAAGAACTCGCCGTCTGCGTCTGCGTCTGCGTTGTCGTCTAGTCGGGGCACTTCCCCTCCTGGAAACCCCCCTCCTCCTCCTCCTCCTCCACGAGAGGTCCGTCCTCTTCTGGCCATATGTGTTTACCTATAACATTTATTAATTCAATCGACGGGCATCAATTTAAGCGCTGTCACCAGTCACAATTGGCGCGCTGACAAGTGTTCGCGACCCCCGATTCCCCCTTTTTCTCCCGAAAAACAAAAGCGATGGAGGGGGACTGTTTGCTCCCAGCGGGATTAGCTTTCAAAAAGCGGCAGGAGAAGGGATTCGGAGGCCACAGGAGCCACCATGTCACATTATCCACCGCTCAAGGGGCCAAACCCATGGGGAAGCAAACAAAACCGAGAGCGCAATAGCTAGATTTCCCCAGTTCAAAGTGGGAATACTCTTACGCAACAATACCAGGAAGTGATTAGAAATGTGGTATATCATATATGAGGACTTATAATAAATTCTCTTATACAAAAATAGTATAAATTTTATCTAAAAGCACTTTAAAGAACCTATATTTGAATATCCTTAGTTCAATAAATATTAAAGATTACAAATCTAAATATACTTCTCAGATAATAAATACTTTTATTTGCTTCTACAAACCCTTCAAGATACTTAATAAGCCGCTAAAGAAAGGGATTGAAGACCCTTTCTGGGTGCGTCCTCTAGCCAATTTGTAGCCCTAAGATGTCTTCGCCTTCGATATTGTTGCCACAATATGGGATCGGGGCAACAAGTAAATGCTAATGTCTATTTATACTTCTGCTGTTGGCAGTTGCTTTTGCTGTTTCTGTTTCGGTTGCAAGTCAGTTACGCGAAGGCGAAGGCACTTGACGGGTTTCCTTCGATGGGCCCTTTGGTTCCCGGCTCTTGATTCTCAATTCGCAATTCTCGATTCTCGATTCCCGGCTCTCGATTCTGGGCTCTTGGTGTCCCGGCCCTTCCCCAGGCCGGCGACGTGGTCATTTGGGCATGAAAATGAAAACAAAATCTGAAACACAATCGCGGGATGGGAAAGGGGTTCTTCCCCGCGGGCGAGTATTATGTTATTGTGTTTGGATTGGCTCGAGGATGGTTGTCGCAACACTTTCGATTGCACAATAAACAACAAACAGAAACGGGCCAGACCCTTGTGCTATCGGGGCGATTGGTCTTTATGGGATCCCATAAATTCGCATGGTCAATGATATAGCCGAAATTCGGCCATAAAGGAAATGAAATTATCAACCTAGGGCCCCTGTCACGTGGTGCAGGTAGTGGACTGCTCCGTTGCCAGGCGGTGATCCGTATCTGGTGGCCAAAAGCCATCGTATAGTATATAGCACATACTAGCCGGTTAAGCCGTTGCCGGGCCACAAAATCCCCCGTGATAAGGCCAAAATCTGGCGAAATAATCAATTAATTTATGGGCTGCAGCCGCACAAGCCGGCCACTAGAAGCCAGTGATTATCAGCCAGTTATCCGGCTATATCTCTGGTTAATCGCGAAATCTCGGCAACGTTAATCCCTGCAATTCGCACTCCGTGATGGTTACTATCTAGGTAAGTCTGGTGCTGTTTGCCCAGATCTGTGGTGGCATCATTTAGCAGATCAGTTTAGACTTATGGTAGTTACAGAAGATCACATCTCGGTGATCTCGGTGGTTTATGACGGCTTTCAGGCTCCATGTAAGCATCCGCTTCCAGGCGTCCGTGAGTTTGCTTAACGCCATGGCAAATTGCCCCTCGGCAGATCAGATTAGATAATGGCAACAAAGCGAGCGCTGGCCAAGGCCAAGAGTTTGTTAGCCGAAAGATGTGGACAAACAAGAAAGGCAATCAAAAGAAAAGGCAAAAGCCACCGTAGAATGTGTGTACTTGTGTGCCTGCCTGGCATATTGAGTTCTCTGATGGAAGAACCACTTCGGATACATAATTGCGAATTCCTCGCGATGTTTGTGCTTGGCCAAGACAATCGTTGACGCATTTTTGGCCCTGGCATTGGCCAAGATCTGACGTTTGTCAGACCACCACCCACCGAACACCGAACACCACCTGCCACCCCATTAACCCCACCCACCCACCAGCACCACCCTCCGCCACCCTCTTCGCCTCCCTGCGAGGTACGCCCCCCTGTCAATGCCATCTGCCGATTGACGTCGATGTGATAAACACCGCAAAGCCTTTCGCACCACGCACCTTCCTGCGGATATCTCACAGATACATTTGCATAGCCGGGGGAAGAACAATAGTACTCGGTGCCTGAAATCTCCCGAGCGATTATGAAATATGTTCAAATATATTTGTTAATCGCTTTATCAAGCAGACTGTGCGACACTTCGGCAATGTTTGTATTTATAAAAGGTGTAAACTATAAATAGCGTTGTATTTAGGCTCATAAAATGAGGAGCGACTCACCTGTGAACATAAAGATCATAAATAATATCGTCAGACCAAAAAAATTAACTAGTAAAAGCGTTAGCAAATCAAAAAAGATTAGTAACTTTTTGGTTTAAGAGTTAATATATTTAAAGTTCAAATGTTAAGCTAAGTTTCTGAAGCTAAGCTTATTCTAATTGCTTGACCCGCACTGTTCAATGGTGCGGCTATCGGGGCACGTGACATTTAAAAATAGTCTTATCCATGCAAAGTGGTGGGGGCCATGGGGGCGTATGCGCAATGCGAAGGCCACACGGTTTTCGGGTAAACACTTGCGTAACCCCCAAATCGATCATGCTGGGTGCACCTATACTGACGGGCTCTTCCCTCGACCCTTGCAGGAGATGGCCACGCAGCAGACGAAGTCGCAGGACGAGCTGGCCACCAAGGACCTGGTGTCCAAGCAGCCGGACAACATCAAGGAGGAGGACGAGACCGAGGAGGACATCGATGAGGCGGCCGTGGTGGTGCCGCCGGACAGCGGCTGGGCCTGGGTGGTGATGGTGGCCTCCTTCCTCTGCTGCACGGTGATCGACGGCATCGTCTTCTGCTCCCCGCTCATCCAGCAGCAGCTGATGGACGAGTTCAAGGTGGGAAAGGCACGCGTTGCCTTCGTGTCCTCGCTGCTCAGCGGCTGCTACCTGATGGCCGGTCCCTTCGTGAGTGCGATGGCCAACCGGTTCGGCTTCCGTCCGGTCACCATAGTGGGCGCCATCTTCGCGGCCGCCTGCTTCGGGCTGTCGTACTTCGCCACCAGCGTGGAGTACCTGTTCGTCATCTACGGCATCCTCGGCGGCATCGGCTTCTGTATGGTCTACATCCCGGCGGTGGTGATCATCGGCTTCTACTTCGAGAAGTGGCGTGCCCTGGCCACCGGCGTGGCCATGTGCGGCTCCGGCGTGGGCACCTTCGTCTTCGCCCCCCTCACCGAGATCCTGCTGAAGAGCGGCTGGAGGCACACCCTGGCCGTCCAGGGACTCATCGTGCTCTCGTGCGCTCTGTTTGGGCTGGCCTTCCGGCCCATCCAGCCGATCACGCTGTCAGTGACCAACGAGGAGGGCGACGAGCAGGAGAAGAGCAAGCTGAACGGGCACGGCAACACGGTGGCCCCCACCCCGCAGCTCCACCAGGCGGCCTTCACGAAGCCGCTGCCCGAGGGCAGGTTCGCCTACTCGATGCCCAACTCGGCGCACAACACGTACATGGGCGCCTCCCAGCGGCACCACTACCCCACCGCCCAGGAGATCTTCAAGGGCATGAACCTGGAGCGCCGGCCGTCGGGAACCGCCGGCCAGGGATCCAAGGGAACCGAGCTGAAGCAGCTGAGGAAGTCGCAGCCGACGACGCCGAACGGGGATCCCCAGCAGCTGACCTTCAACCTGCACAAGGAGCTGACCACCGTGGGCGAGAACGAGGAGGAGGCGGAGAACGACAACCTGCTGGAGACGGAGGCCAAGCCGGTGACCATCCAGGCACGCCGGCACACCGTTTCCGGACGCCGGCCCCAGGACATTGGCAAGCGATCGGCGGCCGCCGCCCACGAGGCGCACCACGGACAGGCACACTCCTCCTCGAGGCCCATGTACCGAGACGATATCTTCTTCACCGGCTCCCTGACCAGGATTCCGCAGTACCAGTCGCAGACCTCGCTGGCCTACCACATGTCCGTCACCCGGCTGCCCACCAAGCAGGACATGCTGGAGGACCGCCAGAAGGGATGCCGCATCTGCCCGGAGGCAGTGCGCCGCACCCTTGCCACCATGCTGGACACCTCGCTGCTCAAGTCGCCCGCCTTCATGTGCCTGGCCTTCAGCGGCTTCCTGACCATGATGGGCTTCTTCGTGCCCTTCGCCTTCCTGGTGGATCGGGCCAAGGACGCCGGCATGGATGAGCGGGCCGCCCTCGGCGTCCTCAGCGGCATTGGCATCGTGAACACCTTCGCTAGGATCGTGTGCGGATCGATCAGCTCGTTCCCGGCCATCAAGCCGCTCTGGCTGAACAACTTCGCCCTCACCGCCGGCGCCATCGCCACCATCTTCAGTGGCGAGGTGATCACCGTGGGCACCCAGTGGACCTTCGCCCTCTTCTTCGGCATCTGCATCGCCTGCTTCTCGGCCCTGCGCTCCCTGATCGCCGTCGAGCTGATCGGCCTGGAGAAGCTGACCAACGCCTACGGATTCCTTATGCTCTTCCAGGGCATCGCGGCCACCATTGGCACTCCAATTGCAGGTGAGTTAACGGACATTTTAAAAGCAGTTTGGGTCTACATAGGAAACATATTTAGATCACATTTCATGTTCACATCTCAGATCATTTAATTATGTTTTAAAGAAAGGGTCAATTACTTTAGATCTTTAGAGACTTTCCAGAAATCTCTTTCAGTTAAATTTTAAATTCAAATGAAGCTATTTTTTATTACTTAAAAGACATTTGTTAGAATAGCAGTTCCATTAGTTATTTGTATCAAGCTAAATCTATTTTTTTATTTAACCACCCACAGGAGTCCTGTACCAGATGACGGAGAGCTTCAACATGGCCTTCTACTTCGCCGGCGGCCTGATCCTGCTGTCGGCCTTCCTGTGCTACCCGCTCACCTGTGTCAGCAGGTGGGAGGAGCGGCGGAACGCGAAGCTGACGCCCCTGCCGGCGGCCTAAGGAGCTGCGGGAGCTGGAGCTGGAGCGATTGGAGGAGACCTGCCGGACAGCCTGAACACCTTGTCATCGCAGCCACGAGCACGTAACTCCGAGGGCATCTTCGGGGGTCTTTGGCCCCGCCAGGGGCCGATCATCAATCAGCCCGAGAAGGGGTCGGCGGAGTTCCCGATCCCGGAGAGGGGAGCGAGCGCGGAAGCGTGTTCCGAGTACTTGATACGTTAAGATTAGACTAAGCGTAATGTTGTGCCTTCAGCGATATCGAGTGCCTATCATACACAAACACCACATACACCAACACACACACACAAACACACCACCTTAGCCCAGAACACACGCATAACAGCCGAGTTGGGCGGGTGCAATTATGTTTCTATAAGCTTTAGTGGAGGAGCCCGGAGGCGGGGCTAGAATTTAGCAGCTAGGCTAAGCGGAGGATCGGAGCAGGAGGAGGAGGAGGACCGAACACATTATTAATATTATTATGTTAGCCGTAAGCAGCTCTATGGCTGGGCCACAAGTCGACTGCCAAGTTAGGAATCGTTTGTTGAGTTATTTAACATGATAGGGAACGAGAGCATTTGTTTACCTTATAAGACGTACGTACGGTACTGCACCGCCACCACGGACTTGTTACATAGCTAGCTAGATATACGTTTATCAATCAATCAATTAAACTAAAGACGCGGCCAGCCGATCCGTCGAGCGATCGCTTGGGCGGGGTTAATGCACCCGCCGCCGGTCCCGATGGGATTAGCCGATCGTGGACAAAACAAAACAAACAAACAATCAGACCCACGATGAGGCATCTGGTACGAGTGCTGTGCTCTTATGCAAACAGATTTATATATTACACGATTCAGATACAGATACAGATACAAATACAGAAACAGAAACAAACCACGGACCGCTACATACTCAGCACGTTGAGTGCGTTTCGCGTTTACGTTTATCAACTACAATTACATTAACACTGAATGAATAATTTGTATTACATTTAAATTAATGAGTTTACATTGCATTGCATGCGACATAAGGTTACACTTCATAAACAATAAAGACGATTCAGTAATACAAACTAACGATCTATCGGTTTATTACTTTCGCAGCACAAAGTAAGCTTAACTAAGGGGCTCAAGCGTGACTATGAACGAACATTTGAAATGTGGGCTTAGACTATCCAGTTAAATAAGTAACGAATCGGCTTGTGTCTTTGGTCATGGCACACTACTTTTCCTGATTCAGCGAATTGATGAACTCCTCCAGCTTCTCTTGAATCTGTCGCACTTTGACTGTTGAATTGATAACAATTAAATTGGCGCCAAATTCAATTAGGCATCGAAACTCACTTAGTTCCTCGGCCAGCAGCACGCGCTTGCCGGTGAGCAGGTAGCCCTTCTTCTCCTCGTCGTCGCTGAACTCGTCCAGCACCGCCTTGATCTCCTTGTCCAGGCGCCGCGCCTCCCGGTTGATCACCTGCTGCCGCAGCGCATTTCCAGTTATCTTGATCACCTGCTGGATGCGCCAGAAGAGCACGACATCGCTGCAGGAAATCTGAACGGGAACGAGCAAAAGCGTTTCACATTAATTGTTCCAAATAAGGAGAAAACCTTCCGGCTTACCTCACACTCGGCACCCTGTTGCGTGTAAAGATAGTAGGCTTTGCGGCAGTCCTTTGCCCGCTGCAACGCCTGCTGCAGGAAGTGTCTGAAAAGGGGGGACATAAATGTCACTGATTGGCCTAAAAGGATTCGAAAAGGACCACTCACTTTCTGTAGACTGGGAACCACGTTTGTCTAATGTAGTCCGTGTCGACGTCCACGTTATCACGTTGAAGGTTCTTGCGCACCGTCGTCAGTTCGTCGTGAGTGAGGGTGGGCAAATGTTTCTGCAATCAAAGCATGTTATCATTAAAAGGAACAAAAATAACAAGATAGTTTATTATGATTAAAATTAGTCAAGTCTAGTTGACACTATTATTGGTTGTCTTTAAGGCTGACAATATAATTGACCATGAATTGGGAAATTATTGGCGTTAGATTGATATGAATCGGAAGTTCTGGGGTAGCCTGAAGTATCGATTACCACTCACCGTATCGTTTTTGAGTATTTTGTCTAGTTCATTCTTGACGCTTCGCCTCTTCTGCTGATCCTGCGTCAGGTACTGCCAATGGGTGAATCTTCGGAGCTGACCAGGGCCAAACATTTGTGCGAGCGTCTCCTCCGTCTGCACGAGCTTGGCATTCACGGAGGTCTCCAGGAACTTGACCGCCGAGTCCCACTCCTGCTTGTCGTGCACGAAGCGATCCTCCAGCGTGTTCAGCTGGATCACGCGCAGCATGTCGATGGCTTTGTCCTCCCAGCTGTGCCGCCGAATGGCCTCGTCCACCACCGCGGACTTCAGCTGATCGAAAATGCCGTCGTGGTCCTGCGCCTTCTTCGAGCGCTCCATCAGCGAGATGAACTCCTGCTGCAGCGCCTCCCAGCCTGCTTCCACTGATTTGGCGGGCAGCGCCTGCTCCGCCCATTGGCGCAGCTTAATGTCCACCATCGTGTTGAAGGAATCTATAAAGAGCACAATCATTGCACGGAATTAGTTGGGCCAAATTAGCGCGGCACACAAACACTGGGGAATGGTAAACAAAGCCACAAAACACTCGGCTGCCTAACTTGATAGCTGCAATTTGATTCAATTAGACATTGATTTGGTTGAATTCATTGAGCAAATTAACGGATCTGTCATAAAATGCAAAATAAACACCCGCCGAGCGGGCCAAACTTGTTCGGCGGCCATAAATCTCTAATATCGCATACATTTTGGTACTGAGAACATTAACCAAAATCTGGTTTCGTTACAGGTGATCGTAAATCTCCGCCCATAACACTTTCCGGCACATGACTGCTACGCAGACCCTGTGACGATCCCGACTTAGTCACTGCACTTTCGGGGCAAAGGCAAACCGTGTTAATGGAGTCGAAATCGTCCGCCGGGGAGTACACATTAAATTTACACTCATGATTCAAGTGGATGTTCGTAGTCGCAGGAGGCTCAAACCGGTTTAGAAATCTTCGACGCATGTGATTCCCTTGCACGGGAATGGGAACCCAAAAGCGGGCCATGATAAATGCAAAATTAAACAAAACGTTTTAACGACGCGACATTTACACGCACACGTGAAGTTCGAGGCAGGTGCTTTCGTTCCAAGAACAACACACAATGACGGAGCACATGGCGGGCGATTGGATGGACGTGCCCCCAACGATGACGTCGGCGAAGTCTGCTTACAACCTACGACTTAGCACTACAAAATATTACTTTGAGAACCTGACTGAGCGGCGGGCAGGTAGATGGTTTCAAACACATAGTTCGACAGCTTCTCCCAGAGCTTTGTGTTGAGGGCGTCGTCCCACTTCTTAGCGGAGATTTGCGATAGCGTCACCACCTCGTCCAGTATCTCGCCCTTGGCCTTGTCGAACAGCTCGTCTCGTCCGGACTCGCGCAATCTGAATATATCGATTTTAGATGTCAGAAAGCTCAAATTATCTGTGTTAAATTTACCGACCTGGGGAAGTTGTTTTTCCATTCGGTTTCCAGATTGAACCTGGTCGCCTTAAATGCATCTGCCTGCTGCTCGATGGTTTCCCGCACCATCTTCCAGAAACGATCCGACACGGCCAAGCTCAGGTTCCGGCTGGTCACTTGATGGGGCATGATCACTCCGCGACGACTAAGTACAGAGGCAGGTGAAGTTTGGTTCTGACCCATCACATCTGCTCTATACTTACTGGAAAAGCTTGGAATTCTTGAAGAAGTCCTCCTCGTACTGCCTTATGGCATCGATGCTATCATCCTTCCGTCCACGACCAGTCACCACTGCATAGTAGCCAAGAGCCTTCATTGGGAATAGTTTGCCTGAAAGAATTTTCCTTATCCTGTCTGGATCGGCGAGCTCCTCGGCCAGATCCACCTTGGTGAGCACAAAAATGGTGCGTCGGCCCAAGGGATCACACTGCATGACCAAATCGGTGACGTTACTGCGCTCGGCATCCACAGATCCATCCTGAATGCAGAGAATGATGGCGTTTGGGTTGCTCATGTAATGCTTGGTCATCTGGTGAATCGAATCCTTGGTGTCCGAAGCCATGTCCACAGTCATGGTCTAAAAAAAATAGTTGTACATGGATCCAAGAATTAATATAGCTGCATAAATAGTTACCGAAATAATGCCGGGGAGATCCACTAGAACCATGCGCTGCAGACCGGGACCTTTAACAGTCATGGCGATGACTTCATTGCTCACCGTTTTGCCACCCCGCACCGAGGCCTTCATGCGGAACTCAACATCGCGACGCAGGTCTTGCAGATCAGACTCCTTGGTCAGATCGTACTCCCGATCCGAATCACGAAATTGAGCCACATGATAGGGTCCTTCGGCCAGGGTCACCTTGACGGGTGCTCTCGTCATCATCTCTCCACTGCCGCGGGGAAAGATGCGAGCCTTAGCAATGGATTCCAGGACAGAGGTCTTCCCGCTGCTCTGATCTCCCACCACCACAACGCGGGGCAGATGATCGGCCATCGTGTAGCCCGTATCATAGCCAGAGAGCTCATCCAAAACCTCAGAGTACATGTCGATCAGTGACTTCTTGATCTTTTTCGCTGTGGTCTTTTTGTTCGTCTTGAGGATAAGGTACTGCTGGCGCAGCTCACGATTCTCCTTCTCCATTTTCTCCAGCTCCTTTTGGTATTTGATCTGCACGTTCATGATCTCCGTCTGCAGCGTCTCCACTTGACTTTGAAGCTTTTCTGTAAGGATAACATTGATGAGAAATGCATTCCATTTTGGTGTACTAAATTAAGGTACTCACCATACTTCTTGCGACTCTCATCGGTTGTGATGCCCAGAGCGGCCACCGTCGTCTTGGCCTTCAGGTCATCTTTAGCTGCAAGATGTAAGGGATAAGTCTCGAATGCGGTGGGCAGGGTTCTCTCACTTTAAATTGGCCCAACGTTGGGAGTCTGTGTTTGTTTGTGTAACCTACTTTCGACAATCTGAACTCCTTGATAGTCGGCCGCCTCGATGGCATCGTCCAGACGACTGTCGAACCAGCTGCGCCATTCCGACAACTTATCCTCGCCCAGCTGCTTGAGCTTTGGATCTACAAGCAAATGCCCCAATAACAGTATCATTCAGTGCGAAAATCAATCGAAACGAAGTTTTAATGCGAGATTCTGCCCAAGGTGTATGACCATTTAAAGTGAGAGATTGATAGGGCTGTGAAAAGGTGCGCCGTAAGGAAACTTACCAACATCGATGGCATTCTTCACCAAGGAGCCCACTTCGATGAGATTCCGCGAGAACTGGCTCCACCGTTCGCCCTGCGGCATGGCATCCTCCAGCCACTTAAAGTCCGGCAGGCCATCCTTCCAGTCCTCGTATTTCTAGAAAAAAAAACAAATCTGTTTGTTTAGACTTCGGACCAAGTTATATAACTTGCGAAACTCACTTTACTCAGGGACACGCCCCCGCCGATGGCGCCGCCTAGGACGAGGTAGCGCAGCTTTAGGGCTCCCCGCAGGATGCGCACCACCAACATTCCGTAGCCGCGGGACGGCGGAGGCATCTGCCAACCCCTCGCCGGATTGCCGGCGAGCAGGAACTCCTCGTGGCGTTGATGACTGCCATTGGAACTGGAACTTCCAGCGTCCCGAGGACGACGTGGGTGGCTGGTGATCCCGCAGAGCGTGGAATGATTACAGCAGGCGACCTTGGTGGAGTAGACAACAGCTTTTCTCGCGGTGCGCCTGTGGACGAAACATACCGAAACGAGAGATGTGCCGATGACGAAATCGATCAGAAAAGGCCAGGCAACACATAGTTCCAACTCTCTTGGGTGTGGATTCTTACCGGTAAGTGTTCTGATAGATGCGCAACATGATTGCTGGTCAGGATTACAGTTTCCACTCAGTTTACTCTGTTTATTTACGAGAATTAATCAATTTTCCTGCCGCAAAAAACTCATCTCTTTTCGGGACCGATGCCGTGTGACCAGAGGCGGATCAGCTGGTCAGCAGTGTTGGGAAAGGTCATTCAATTCTGTACCTTGGTAAGGTACAAAAGTATGCACACACTGCTTCTGGCGCGGCCAAATTCGAAAAAGTAGAATGCTTATAATACAAACCGTATAAGCGCTAAATTCCGATCCCATTTCCCATTTCCCATTTTCTTGTGCCTAGTCCAGAAACTAGTCACTTTCAACTCCAATATCATATGGGCATTAATGTATTTTCACTAAATATTGCATTGAGTGATTAGACTTACAATTATACATAAATTAATATATTTAGAATAATTTAAGCGTAATGACGACGACAGACAAAACAATTACGCTACCACTAAATTTAAATATTCTCGCGCGCTTTCCTATATACGGGGGATAACGTTGACGTTTATACGTTTTAATTAATACATGCATATTTTCTACGTAGTTCGCTTAACCGAGTTTTTGTTTAATATTTAGAATGCACTTTGCAATGAAGTAACTGTGTCTATTAAGAGAAGTTCATCACGGGAAAGTATTTTCCCAGCCGTCGGATTTTCTTCATGGTGACAAAGCATTTAGAGCCGGTAACGTGTATTGCTTTGGTAAGGCTTTTATCCTCCAAAATCAAGTCGATCTGCTCGATTGAGTTTAGATTATAAATATCTTTTGGTGTTTCGTTGGACTTCTTGCCATTGGCTTTCTGGTTGCTAATGTGGATGATGTTGTTCTGGGTGTGATTGTTATTGTTGTGGTTGTGATTGAAGTTCCTACTAAGGTTGGTATTGTTATTAAAATATTGCTCTTGTTGAAGCGTAGCTTTGGCTGCATTCAAAGTATTCATGATTTGGTCCGTGGCATCTGTGGCGTCTGTCTCCTCGTCGTACTCTTCCTTGGTTTCGGCAACGGAGAATGTGCTGTTGTTCAGGCTGAGAAGTGAATACCTCTGATCGATATGTTGTGTGGACGAGGACGACGACGATGCCGCCTCGCTCTCCGCGTAGCAGCGGTGCCGCATCTCGTACTCCTGAGCCTCTGTGATGCGGTCCAGCGACTGGCTCTCCCGGATGCGCCTCCTCCTGTTTGTGGAGCTTCCGCTTGTAGCTGTGGTGCCCTCTGCCTGCTGTTTCTCAGCGTGGGAATGCTTATCAACATGATCCTTGTGCTGTTTCCGGCTCTTTTGTGTGTGAGATTTTCGATTTTCATCGGATTTGTTATTTGGCTAGCGATAAAGGAAGGAATTAAGGTTGTGTTACTTTCCTATTGGTAATTAGACTTTCTTACCTCTTTGTACTGCGATTGTCCTTCTTTTTTTGCCACTTACGGAGCCGCTTTTCGAGATAAAATTGCCCGCACCGCTGGCCGAACCGGGCGGCGGATAAAGTTGATCCTGCGAGTCGCTGGAGTCATCGTGCGAGTCCCGCCGATGCATGCGAAACCGCACTGGGGTGTCGCCCACAAACTTGTTGATTTTTTTTTTGTTGCGCGTCTTGGTGTCATCATCGGATGCTTCTGAACTGCTGCATGAAGGCGTCCGAATCTTGTTCAGCTTTGTGCGTCGGTGTGTGAGCACCGGGTTCTTGCTGCTGCTGGGTAGCGGCTTCAGCTTGCCAATCTCCAGCTCCTTCAGGCCACTCAGCGTGTCCTCGTCTATCTTGGCACTTTTCTCCATCTGCTTGAGCTTCTGAGCCAGCGTCGCATCAACGGAAACGACAATCTTTGTGCGAGAATGGCTTGGCACCCCACTGTTGGCAAACGGATCACCCCTTGTCTGATTTCCGGGCTCAGAGCTGGAACGCTCATGCAGTGACCTATTGAGGAGTCCGTCGGAGGTACCCTCGCGTCTCGACGCTGTTACCTTTAATTCATTGCCTATGCCTGAGCATTCTGTAGCCGACTCCTCCTCGTCCTCCTCCCGCACTATGCTGCACTTGCGACTGCGCTTGTCCTGTCAAAGCAAGCGCTTTAATTAGATTTGCTGCAGTTAAAATGGATTGCTAATTAACTTACTGGCTTGCCACCATCGTTTGCGAACTGACCCGCTGGAGTCACGTTAATGCTGATGGGTACTCCTCCCTTTGGGGCTTCTGTTGGACTTGGTTTCTCAGGCACGGGTTTGCGACTCGCGTCTCCCACTCTAAATATTACATTTACAGGTTAAGGCTGAAATTCCTTTTCCATTCTGAACTCACTTTATGCTGGGATCGTTGAGAAGCCTCTGTTTTTGGGCCTGCTCTTCACGCCGCCGTCGCAGACGTAATTCCGCCAGCAAAAAATACGTGGCTGTTATGTGATTGTACTTGTTCTTGTCAAGAGCTCTGCAATGACGTCAGTTAGGGTCAACCAGAAATAATTGGCTTAACATTTGCGCTCTACTCACTGTAATATCTCTTCCTTGGACGCAATGTTTCCGTTTATCATTTTCTGTATGATAAAGGCGTGATCCTCTTCGCCCAGTTGCTCGCGACTGACTAAAGGCAGAATGTGCTCCGTTGCGGAGGTGGTAGAGTCGGGCTCGTCGATTGGCTTTAGCCAGGCGGAAGAGGCGATCTCCTCAACGGTAGCCCGCTTCTTCGGATCCCGCACCAGCATCGAGGCAATTAAATGCCGGCAATCAGTGGACACGTGTGAGGGTACCGTGTACTTGCAGTCCATGATCATGGTCAACGTTTCCGAGTCGTTTGCCTTCTCGAAGGGCGCCTGACCACAAACTAGCATGTACAGGATGACTCCCAAGGACCAAATGTCTTGAAGAACAAGATCATAAGGTTATTTAGGGATTGATAAATCATTAAATTTAGCATACCAACTGCAGGTGCATCATAGGAGTCTCCAAGCAGAATCTCTGGGGCCGAATAAGCCAAACTGCCGCAGAAGGTCTCCAATTTCTGGCCCGGCAAGAACTTGTTGCTGAACCCAAAGTCGGTGAGCTTAACCAGGCCAAGCTTTTCGAAAAACACCACATTCTCCGGCTTTAGGTCCCTGGAAATGTGAGGTAAAAGTTACGTAAATCAGTGATCGACTCAGTACGACGTATTATCAGTTAGAATGGGCTCTCACCTGTGAACCACGTGCAACTGATGACAGTACGTGATAGCACGTAGGATTTGGCGAAAATACTTGCGTGCCAACTCCTCGCTGAGCCCTGAATCGTGCTTCATTATGTAATCGTACAGATCCCCACCGTCTCCCAGTTCCAAAACCAAGTACAGCTTGGTCTGGGTGTCAATGACCTCGTACAGTCGCACTACATTGGGGTGCTGCACCAATTTCATGCATCTGGAGAGGAGTGGGATATTATTTATGGTTAATCGATTATAATTTAGCATATACGTACCGCACTTCCTGGAACAAGTGTGCCTTAGAGACTTCGTCCAGCTTGGTCTTGTCCACAACCTTGACCGCTACCTTGGCGCCGGTAAACACATGCCGCGCCAACTTGACGACGGCAAAGTGTCCCGATCCGAGAGTCTCCTCTAGATCATAGAGCCCGGCGATCTTGCCGTCACTCACCCCTCCGACGGGCTGCGTCTCCAGCGTCATTATGGCTCCTCTCCTTGGCACTCTTCCAACGGCCTGCGTGTTGGGCACTACTATCCGCGTTTAGCTGAAACTATAATTATAGAGGTCTATCATTTCGGACACGGGATGTTCGGCTAGCTAAGTGTTGGCTTTTGACCGGAGATTGATGTAATGGGGTGTACTTTGAATGGTGAGGAAAGCAACCCATAACCCAGAGGCACGTGAGCTTCTGCCAATTAATGATTCATTCGAATGGGTCCTTTTCATTTTAGGTTCACAGCAGGAGCAGCGCAATTGCAGGGCTGTTACACAAGGGGATGCGGAAAGGCAGGGCTGCCTTACCTTTTACAGCGGAGGGGAAGTCGAATCTCCGCCAGCAGATGCAGGAAAAACTACGATGCGCGACCCATTCCGGGATTGGGGCGACTAAACCTGACCACTCACTGGCCGCTTGAACGTCTCGCACTGAACAATTGGCTCTTATCACACATGAAAACGCTTAGTTAGACTTTTTGTATACACATTTTCGACTTTTTTTCCTGCGTTTTTTTCTGAATTTAAAATAAGTGTGACCGACTTTTTGAAAAACCGATGGCACTCCAGCGATGGCTCGCAAACGATGTATCGTATTGGCCGTTCAAAAAAAATACTGTATTTGCATGTGATGTGCCGATTATTGCAGTCGTCTGGTGGCGGATTATTGCAAATACGGTCACTCAGATCCGAATTTCTACTACAAATCGTATCTTTAATTGTTAATAACAAAAAAACGGTGCAAAATTTTCACTCTCCGCCAACGGATTTCGAAGTTTTAGAAAAAAACACATCGTTTCCATATTTTACTTTTTTTTAAGCTGTATTACCCGTGCACCGCACTTGTAAACATTTACCGAAAACAGCTGTGTTTACTCTGTTAAAGTAACAGGGCGCAACCAACAGTAAGTATCGATATTTTTGGTCACCTGTGACGAAGCTTTCGCTTTGTTTTTGTTGTTGTTTTCTTGCTGTTGAGAACAAACTTTACACGTAAATAAATCCAATTGCCTTAATTAATTAGGCCCAGCTAAACAAAGAGCTGCAGTTGCAAGGATACTAGTGACGTTACCGAAGACCTGGACTAAGAACTCTCCTGAAAAGAGAACAATGCGACGCAATGCGTAAGTCAACGCCAACTCGACTGTTGCTTTTTCAAGTGAATGTTGGGTGATCGTCTATGTTCCCGTTTACAGGCGCCAGCAGCATCATAACCTGGAGGACATAAACCCCGAAGATGTAGAGGACATCTTTGCCCGTCCCGCCTACGATGACGACGAGTTCGATGATCTTCTCCCGCTGGCCAGAAGGCCGAATGGCCACGCTCGTCTGGGACGGTACGAGAACACGCTTGAGGTGAAGGTTCAGGAGGGCGACACGCTGCAGGCACTGGCTCTGCGATTCCACTCCTCCGTGGCGGATATCAAGCGGCTGAACAAGATCGACCGCGAGAACGAAATCCACGCGCACCGCGTTATTCGCATCCCGGTTACCGTGCACAATGTCCTGCTGGGCAACGGGGGCCTCGAAGCACTGCCCGCCGTTCACCGGAGCGGGAACAACAGTCCAAGGCACAACCTCGAACGGGAACCAGCTCCGGAACGCAATCCCCTCGAGGATGCGCGCCAAATGCTGGACGAACGACTGCTGGTGGCGGCTGTAAACGCTTCAGGTGTCGCGGATCCCGACCAGCCATCGACTAGCAGAGCAGCCAGGCAGTTCTACGAGGGAGCCCAGGGAGCGCCCAATGACGAAGGTGAGTAAAGAAGCTGAGGAAGAACAGAAAAAATATTGTAGAGGTTTTTGGTTACACCTAAAATAACATTAGTGGTAAAGTATTAAGGCTGCTGAAATTAGGTAGGAGTAATTTGCGAAAAAACATCGCAAAATCCAAAATTTAATTAATCAAATTTCGTTATAAAGAAAACATCAATAGTCAGGGAAAACATATTTAAGAATTCAATTTAAAAAAAGATATGTACCAGTTATGTTAAAAAAACGGCTAAGAACTTGTTGCGTTATTCATAGGCACTTTTGGAAATAATTGGAGTAACAAATTGCATTCACAAGTACTAATTCATTTATAGCTGCGTGTAAATGTAGTTGTTGGACTAGCACTAACAAATTTGATATTTTAAATATCACTTTTTTTTCGACGGTTCAAATTTTAACATTAGGTGTTAACAGTGGCAAACATCGATATTCTGCCACAACCGTCAGTGTTGAAAAACAAAAAAAACATCGGTAGTTCAATAGTGCCAACAGTGCTTCTCCCACCTCTATTCCAAATTGTTCAGTCATTCTCGCTGTAAAACAAAAGGAAAATATAGCTTAATCTCGCCTTTTGCACATTAAATCATACCAATTGCAATTGAACACGATGCCGGACTACCTGGGCGACGATCAGCGCAAGGTGAAGCACGACGAGAAGGAGGACAAGGAGATAAAATCGCTGGACGAAGGCGACATTGAGCTGCTGAAGACCTATGGTCAGAGCCAGTACCACAAGTCGATCAAGAGCATCGAGGAGGACATCCAAAAGGCAGTGAAGCAAGTAAACGAGCTTACCGGGATCAAGGAGAGCGACACGGGTCTTGCGCCTCCGGCCCTGTGGGACTTGGCCGCGGACAAGCAGATATTGCAAAATGAGCAACCGCTGCAAGTGGCCCGCTGCACCAAGATCATCAACGCGGACTCCGACGATCCCAAGTACATCATCAATGTTAAGCAGTTCGCTAAGTTCGTGGTGGACCTGGCCGACTCGGTGGCTCCCACCGACATCGAGGAGGGAATGCGCGTCGGCGTTGACCGCAACAAGTACCAGATCCACATTCCGCTGCCGCCCAAGATTGACCCCACGGTGACCATGATGCAGGTGGAGGACAAGCCCGATGTCACTTATAGTGATGTGGGTGGCTGCAAGGAGCAGATCGAAAAGCTGCGTGAGGTGGTGGAGACGCCTCTGCTGCACCCGGAAAAGTTTGTCAACCTGGGCATTGAGCCGCCCAAGGGAGTGCTCCTGTTCGGCCCCCCGGAACGGGCAAGACGCTGTGTGCCCGGGCCGTTGCCAACCGAACAGACGCCTGCTTTATTCGCGTCATTGGCTCAGAGCTGGTGCAGAAGTACGTGGGCGAGGGAGCTCGAATGGTGCGCGAGCTCTTTGAGATGGCGCGCTCCAAGAAGGCCTGCCTTATCTTCTTCGACGAAATCGACGCCATTGGCGGTGCCCGCTTTGACGATGGCGCCGGCGGTGATAACGAGGTGCAGCGCACCATGTTGGAGCTGATCAACCAGCTGGACGGCTTCGATCCGCGTGGTAACATTAAGGTGCTGATGGCGACCAACAGACCTGACACCCTGGATCCCGCGCTGATGCGTCCCGGGCGTCTTGACCGCAAAGTGGAGTTCGGCCTTCCCGACCAGGACGGACGCTCGCACATCTTCAAGATTCACGCTCGGTCGATGTCCGTGGAGCGCGACATTCGCTTCGATCTGCTAGCGCGCCTCTGCCCCAACTCTACGGGAGCTGAGATACGATCGGTGTGCACGGAGGCGGGCATGTTCGCCATTCGGGCGCGCCGCAAGGTGGCCACCGAGAAGGACTTCCTCGAGGCCGTCAACAAGGTTATCAAGAGCTACGCCAAGTTCAGCGCCACCCCCCGCTATATGACCTACAATTAAGTTTATTTTTATTGGCACCATTCTGTATCCTCTGCGAGGTAAACTGTAATACATCCTGCAGTTGGCAATTCTTGAAATAAAACGAAACCTATACCTTCATGAACTAAGAACCAGAAGGATTTTCTTCGATTTCATAAATATTGTTTGTTAATGCTGTTGCACTTAACACTTATTTCTTTTTGCCATCAGCTAATATGGAGCAGCCCTTCGAGGAAAACGCTGCACTGCTGTTGGACAGGCATACTCCGCTGGTGCGTCCCATTCCTGGACCATCCTTGAGTGCCATCGACTGGTCTGGATCGGACTGCGACCTGTCCTGGATCTGTCTACTGATTTTTATACTCGCCCTGTGCGTCGTTATACCGCTGGTTTACGTCATCTACTTGGCAGAGCATCCGCATCACAATCACAGCGCCCAGTAGTACAGACGACTCTCATGGTTAAGGCATGCATCCGAAGAGATCATCATTCCAAATGTGTCGGCCACTCCTCACCTCTCACTCTCTGCAGATCAGCCTTGGGCATTTAAAATGCAGCCACAGGCTACGGAATTTATTTTTATATCTGAACGTTAACTTTATATTGACTCTTGTCGAAAAAATTATATCTTTTTGTACTGTACTTTTTTAAACAACTACATTTTGGGTGCTTCCAAGTTGCATAGAATCGCATTCACTATGCTAAACATCACTCCTTACAAACTGAATTTAATGTCCTGAGAACCGATTGTGTTGTGAATATTCGTAGCCCCCGCAAGTTTTGCTTCACTGTATGTTTTATTGAGTACAATTATATAACATTTAAACTAGTACGGGTCAAGTGTAACATTATTAAGCTGAAATGAAAATCAGTTTCTCTTAGGCCTAGAAAGTACATACATAATACATATCTTAGAGATAAATAAATAGTATCCATGGATATAAGAATTATGTAATAGTAAATACAGACTAAAATTAACAATGGCGCATATCGAGTGCCAATTGAAGTTAAGTAGTTTGTTTAGTGAATTTTCGGGCTGGGAAATGGAGGCCATGGCACATGGTTTTTGGCGAAGATTTGGTTTGGATTATGGGCTGTGTGCCTCGCCATTATAGTGTATTTTCCCCCTCCGAGAAAATCAACCAATGGCCACACACGTACGAAGCTCCGGTCGCGTATTCACTTGAACTTTAAATTCTCAAAGAAAGCAATATTGCTCCGAAGGAAGCCATGTCGCACGGGTACAGGACTCGCCGGCGAGGCTATGGGTGGATTGCCTTCCGAATGGATTGATGGATCTCTGAAGTTAGAAGTGATTTAGATTAAAATTGAGTGAAATTATTTAGTGTATAAAACTAACGTTTCGAGAGATGACAAATCGGAGGCAATCGTCGACTCATCGGCAACTTCTGCCATGGAAACTGCATGCTCCAGTTTATGACGCTTCGTCAGTGAGGAATTTGGCTTTTCCGGCGTATCTGGCGGGACTGCTAATTTGACCTATAAGAGGGTACAAATATTTATTTTTATCAACAAGGTTTAAGGGGCACAACTAGTGTGACATTTCAAAAAAAAATATTTTTTTTTATATTTCGGTAGATTAAACCTTTAAAAATAACATATTAAAATTTCAAATCGATATTTCAAATAGTTTTATCTTTAAACCCCTTTTTATTTCGAAACAGCATTTTCCGAATTTGCTGCAGTGATTACTCCAAAACTAATGATCCGATCACTATCAAATTTTTTTTACATGTTCTATATATAGTTCTCCCTACAATGACCTATCGATTTTTTGATCTGATCAAACATCGAATTTTGGCAGGCCAAAAACGACCAAAATTTTTGGTAAAATTCTATTTTTTTTTTTTTAAATATCAAAAATTGACAAAATGCCGGCGTTTAAAAAAAAAAATCGAATTTTATCAAAAATGTTGGTCGTTTTTGGCCTGCCAAAATTCGATTTTTTTTTTTTAAACGCCAGCATTTTGTCAATTTTTGATATTTTTTTTTTATTGTAGGTCATTGTATAGACAACATTATCTAGTTTAACGAGAATTTTTTTTTAATTTTATCCACGGAGAAGGCCGGAATCAATGCAGCAGTTAAAACTGAGAGACTAGTTTGAAGAGAAACCGACAGACGGACAAACGGACAGACAGACAGACGGACAGACGGACAGACAGACAGACGGACAGACGTACATACGTATTTGGATTCTGATCGTGATGCTGATCAAGAATATATATACTTTATGGGGTCTGAGGTGTCTCCTTCACTGCGTTGCAAACTTCTGACTAAAATTATAATTCCCTTTGCTCTGCAAGGGTATAAAAAGAATGAAATTGTAAAAAACGAATCGTTAAAAAAGGTTTACCAATATGTGATATTAGTTTTTCAAAGATGCAATAATCTTTAAAGCTATCTTGCTGAAACTTTCCCAAAAGTTGTGTATAATAGTTATTGCACGCAGTATATAAGTCGGAATGAGCCGGATCGGCCGACTATATCGGATAGCTCCAATACGAGAGAACGAAATAAAAAATTCTCAGGCAGCTGTTTTTGATCGGATCGACTTGATTTCTTCCAGATGGCATTTTCTAACTGCTATTGAATTTCGGATTAAATTTTATAAAAATCAAACTCTCTATCATATAGCTGCCAGATCAAAAAATATATATTGTATATAAATAATGGAAAAAAAATTATAACATCGTTGTTTTTAATCCCACGAGCATGATTTTTGGAACATCAAGTTTTTTAAATACTCTTAAATCGAGAAAAAAATTTCATAAAAATCTGAGTACTTTATCATAGTATAGCTGCCATAGGAAAGATCGAAAAATCTATATAGAAATAAGGGAAACAAAATGATTACCTCGTTGTTTTTCATCAGACAATCATGATTTTTGGAACATTGAGTTTTCTAATGAGTCTTGAGTTTCAAATTAAATTTCATCAAAATCGGACGACTATATCATATAGCTGTCATATGAACAATATGGAAAATGAATATAAAAATCGTCATAGCTTCGATGTTGTTTAGCCTTTATGTATTTTGTTCGACATGTTTAATGACTGCAAGGGTATATAAGCTTCGGCTTCCTTTCTTGTTTTTAATATTATTTCCTATAGCGTCTTTATAAAAGGCAAACTTGAAAGAGCTCATCTACCAATAAAACGCTAAAATTTTCGAATAACTATGTCACTGGATGTTGTTTATGTCATGCTTTACAAACAAGAGCTGAGGGTTAACTAAATTTTCTTACCTTGGCCCGCCACCGTCGCTGGGGTTGTGTGTGCTTGCTGGTCAGGAGGAAGGCCTGAGCCAGAGCCTTAACAGATGGCATGGAGTGGGCGACTTCATCCTCGATCACGGGCTTTTCCGCCGCGGGAGTAGTAGGTTCGGGCTGCCAAAAAGGGATTATAGAGCCCGACCACTTGGATCAGCTAATAGTCCAAACTTACCTCGTCGTCTTCATCTACAGAGAGCACCTGACTGGGGTCGATGAGGCGGCGTTTGGGCTGCAGGAATCTGAAGGCAGGAGGAGTGGATCCCCGCGTTGGTGTTCCAGCTGGTGAACCTATTGTGGGCGCCGAGTCCCCAGGACCAAACTGAAGAACGACAGGCCGCTCCCGCTTCTTCGAGACCGACGAGTCAATGGAGGACTCCGAAGGCGGAGCACTCTGGGCGGACTCCATTGAGGAGGAAGTGGTGGAGGTGCTGGGCTGCTGCTCCTTTGGAACAGCCTTGATGACCGTCGTTTCCTGCTTATTAAAATCGTAGATGCGCACCGTGTCGGATTCGTCACTGGTATTCGTGTTCGTGGTCTGCAGCGAGTACAACGAGGGATTCGATTGGGAGTCCAGGGACTCGTCCAGGACCTGAACTGGCAGGGCTTTGTACACTGACTCCTGTGCCTGATCCTGCTCTTTGGCAGGTTCGCTTGCCTTTCGAGCCTTTTGAAGAACATTATGGTTTTGGTAGTTGGCAGTTGGTTTTCAGTTTTCATTTTTCGGTTTTTGTTTTGGGTGGGTTTGTGTTGTTTGTTGGTTAGTGTAGTTGGTTAGTTGGTTTTGATGGAAAGAAGAAGTGTAGGTGGTTTAGTATTTCAAATTAGTGTAGGCGTGGCTTTGTTCTACGGCTTAGCAGAGATTGATGGGGTGGAATTTTGCGGGTGAAACGCTCAGGCAGCGGCATGCAGGCAAGGTTAACTTAGTCACATTCACTTGCAATGATTTCGAAACAAATGCTGTTAGTCGGAACCAAAAGCGACCCAAACATAAATGTTACTATTTCGGGTAATACTCACCACTCGATGGGTTTTTGGGTTACTAAAAACATTTGTTTCAGAGTTTCAGAGTTTCGTTATTTGTTTTTCTTGTTGGCTTGTTTATTGTTTGGCTTTATTTGGAATTAACGCATTAAAGATATCGCTAGGCATATGTGTATGGTTGTTCATAAGAAAAGAGCGTTAGCGGTGTGCATACAGATACGGTACAGGAATTATTATATTATTGTTCATATAAAATTAACAGCGGTATAATGATTAAAAACAAACGTTGCATACTCTAGGGCATTAGCGATACGTAAGTGGTATTAACTAAAGGTACGATCAGAACACTAGCTCGACACTCTCGTTTGCAGGATGCTTAATTGGTGCAAGAGGTGGTGCAGTGGAAGGACTCGGAGGACCCTCCAGTTCGGGAGATTCTGTGCGCCGATGTTCTATATTCCCGCCCCTGTCCATCTCGCTTCTATTTACAGAGAAATTGGCTTTGCTATACTGACTAGTGTTTAACATCTGTTTGACTAAGCTATGCGTAATTTGGCAAATATCCCTAAGGGCTAGACCCAACCCGATCCCCCATCCCCGAATGTCCCTAGAAGAGCAGACTGTTGTTGCTGTACTTGCTGTCCGCACCGCTGATCCCGTTCAGGCAGCTGTCCACCCCCGAGTCGCCCTGGTCCTCTGCCTCTGGTCGCAGGGCCAGCTTCCCGCCCAGCGGCTCGCTCTCGAAGAGCGGGTTCATCACGAAGTCCTTCGAGGTGGCCGAAACGGCCCGGAAGCTGTTCCGCTTGAGGTCCTTGTGCAGCAGCTGCTTCTCGAACTGGCTGAGGACGCCGGCGGAGGGGCCGCCTGCCGCCGAGCGCCGCTTGGAAGCGGACGAACCGAAGGACACCCCACTGCCGTTGCTGTGGAGGCTCAGGGTCGACTGGGTGTGCCGCTTGGGCAGCGAACAGTAGCTGCTGCGCCAGGAGCGCTGGGACCGCATGTCGAAGTCCTCGTCGTCACCCAACCCCAGACTGGACTCGCGGTAGTGGGACGCGGAGGTCGAAGGTCGTTCGAGGGGCACCGCCCGCTCGTAGCCCAAGGAGAGGGAGGGGGACGGGGAGGGGCGGCTGTTAATGAACTTGAGCGAACTGCTCCGGCGCACTGGCGTCGACAAAGTCCAATGAGAGAGGTCGGCAGCGGTGCTCTGAGCGCTACTTGAAATGCGGCCATGCGGTGGATGTGGTTCTGGTTCTTGATTTACCTCGTTGATCACGATGTCCTCCACATCCTCGGATGAACGCTGCATCTCGGAGGTGGGGGCTGTAGGCTTTCCACTCCCCGTGCTGTCTGGTGGGGCATTGTTGATGTAGTAGTCGCGGCTATAGCTGTATTTGTTTTATACATATTAAGTGGAGTTCAGAAAGACACCATTAGGAAATTTATTTAGAAACCCACCGCTTGTAATCCGTTCGTGGCAATGGCGGATCCGGATTTTCCGTCAGTGCCGATGCCAGGGCCTTTTGCTCAGCACTCGGGCTGATGTTCGGCACATCCATGTACCGCTCCTGAGTGCCGCTGATGCGCTGCTTTAGGGCCTCCGGGGCGTATGGGTTGTTCGGCATCTCAACGGCATTGTACCACTTCTTCACCTCGCGCTCCGCAATGGAACCTGGAAATGTGTGTGGATTGGGTTGATTTAGAACGTTGTGCCTTAGCCATCATGTGGGTCGATTTATTTTTGATTGAAAATATTTTGCGGAATCCATATAGTCCATGGACTCTTTTGTTTACCGCTCAAAAACATCCCCATTTACAAAAGAAAAACTAAGGCTTTCTCCACAAAAAAACTTGTTTTGTTTGATTCCCATTAAAATTCGGTTCCATCTTCTTTATTAGTTGGTTAATATTATAAGCCATTTAATTCTATTATGTATACAAAGAAGAGTGAATTTTAATGGACTCAAAGAAACATCTTCATACCACAGAGATCAAGCTTTTCTTTTCTTTCGGGGAGTGATATTCACAGAGGAATCACTTTTTCACTCACAAATAAATCGACCCATGATAATATTGGGGATCAGCCTTCGCCGGGTCACAACACACAGAGAGGACAGTAGAGCCAGGCTAACACAAACACATATCAAAGCAAGACAACAAACACCGAGTGATGACAGTTATGGCCACAACCGTGCGTTACCTGGCACAAAGCGCCGCAACAGTACAACATCGTCATCGGCAACATCGTCTGGCGGATTGGCGCCTTTTGGCAGTTCGGTAGTATAGCTACCCGACCATCGAAGGGAACCATTTGTTAGTTTTCCGTTAGTGCGTCTACTACTTGGAGTTGGGTTGTTAGTTCGGGTTAGTGGGAGGTGCAAGTGGGTCTGCAGACTGCTGTTAGAGTTGGTGTTAGTGCTAAAGGATCGCTGGTTGTCCAGGACTAGAACCCTCTCGCTAACAAGCTCCTGTTCAGAGTCACCGTCTCCATTGAACGTCTCACAGGCTGTGGAGGGTTCACTCTCATCGCTCTGAACTGATTCTGAACTTAATTGATCTGAGAAGAGAATTTCGTTGATGAAGTTATAAGTGATTTCACTCAAACTAAATGCGACCATGCAGCCATTTTCTACATCTAATTCATCTGCCAAATCACAGGATGTTTGGCTGGCCGTGTCTAATCGTGGTATTACATGTTCATCTACTGTGACATCTTCTAAATTACCTAAATGATCCTCAGGCTTATCTTCAATGCTGCTCAAACATTTCGATGCATCAGTATCTGAACTGATTTCATTACCTATATCAGTTTCACTTTCTGAGTCAAAACATTCGAGATTGTTCTGGGACTCACTTTCACTTTCTGAACCAAGGAATTCGGATTTGTTCGAGGTGCTAACAATGTTTAGTGAGGAATCCGGTGATATACTACGTTCATTTATCCTAACTACTTTGGCTTTGAAATATTTTACTTTAGAATCAGGTACGTTTTTCTTACTAGACAAACAATGGGAGGAATCTGCTTTACTTTCTGATGCGAGAGATTCGGGTTTGTTTGTGGTTCTTACAAGGTTAAGTGAGGAGTCTGTTGATGTACTACCTTCATTTATCCTGTCAACTTTGCAAAGTCCATTTTCTCCTTCTGAGTCAAGACATTCTAATTTGTTTTGGGCTTCACTTTCTGATGCAAGAGATTCGGTTTTGTCCTGGGTGTCAACAATGTTTAGCGAGGAGTCTGTACTACTACCTTCATTTATCCTATCATCTTTGGTTTTAAAATCTTTAACATTAGATTCAGTTACGTGTTTCGTACTAAGCAAACATTGAGAGTGGTCTGCCTCCATGCTAAGTTCATCATCTACCATATCAGTTTCAGTCTTATCTGTATCAAATGCAAAACAATCATCTATCAAACGAATGGGATCTACTTCAGAAGTGGGAGTTTCTGCTCTCTCTGTTGGGGGATGCATACCCGTGGTGGACTCTAGGCTAACCTCGTTTAGTTCTCCAAAGGTAGTGGAATGGGAATCGAAGGAAACTTCATCTATGCTATCCTCCATGGAATCAAAGGAACTGAGGTACTTGTGCATGATCAAGGAGCGGCGGCGCCTGCGTTCGATTGTGGCCAACAGTCGTTTGTCCTTTATGTAAAACTTGCAAATGGTTCCCAGGAGGTTAACGGGCCCGGCTCTCTTGGGTGAGTCTCCATCGCTCGGTGTTGTGTCGGGAATGTTCGACTGTCTTCGCAGAAACTTGTGGGTCTTCATGGAGTCTATCGAGGCATGTCTTTGGATACCTTCTGCAACAGCATCTCCTGTACATTCATCTGAAGAAATTTCTGCGGGTTCACTCTCTTTATTGACTGGATGAGGGTCCTCCGTCCATATCGCTTCATGCTCTATAGAGGTTGACGTTGTACTTTCCGTTGTGCAATCCATAAGCGGTGTTTGTGGCTCTAGAGTTGCAGATTCAATCATTAAAATGTCTTCTGAAGATGGTGGTGGTTCTTTCAAATCCGTATCCGATTCCTCCACATTAATTACATTTTGTGGTTGAACAGATTCTGTATTAGAAATAACTTCAACTTTGGTGTCTGCTTGTGTTTCTGTGTCCATTTCCATAGAGATGACAGATTCTTCCAAAATAGATTGTGTTTCAGGAAGAACTTCCACTGTCGTTAGAGTTGCAATGGGAACAGACTCGTTATGTTCCGTTGCTACTACAGGTTGTACTTCTGAAGATAATGATGGTTCTTTGGCTTCTGTCTCCGATTCTTTTACGTTATCTGCATTTGGCGCTAGGACAGCCCCTGTTTTAGAAACAACTTTTACTTCTATGATAGCTGGTTCTCCTTCCCCAATTTTCTTAATAATTGTGGATTCTTCTACAATGGATTGTGTTTCGGGTGCAACTTCCACTGGCGTTGGAGATGGATCCAATTCGACAGAGGTTTGCTCAGAAATATTTTCATCACGAGCTGGGGATTCCACATCAGCAGGTTCTGGAAGAGCTGGTGGAGGTGGTTCCATATTATTCGTTGGAAGCCCCACATCGACAGCATTAGCTTGAGCAGTCATTGGGTCCACAGCTGCAGATTCTGTATCTAATATAATTTTTTCACAATTTTCGATTCCCGCATCGGCGGAGGGTGCTTCAACGATTACAGGAACTGAGTCTCCTTCAGGAACATTTGGCTCTGCAGCTGCTGCTGGTTCCAAAACTACAGATTCGGCTTGCGAAATAACTTCAATAGCACCTAAAAGTTCATCGGGTTCTGTAACCTCAGGTGACTTTTCTGCACCAGGTTCCTCACTTTTCAAAGGGAGTTCCGTTTGGGCTGCTTCTGTTATTGCTGGTACATCCAGTTCGACTGCCTTACTTTCTGGGATAATTTCCGAAGGCGGTATGACTTCCACTGCATTTGGTTCGGGATGTACTTCCTCAGGCGGTATTATATCCACTGTGAGAGGTTGCGTTTCTGGAAGTATTTCCACGGCTACTGCGGGCTCCACATTATCGGTTTCTTTTTTTGAAACTAGTTCGGCTTGGGGGTTAACTTCTGCGAGCACTGAAGATTCAATTCCCACGACTTCTGGCGAAGGATCTATTTGGACTCCATCGTTTTGTGTGTCTGCAGTCGCAAGAACTTTGGGATCATCTTTTACCGTATCTGGCAAATTCACGGCAACATGATCAGCCTGTACAGGAATTTCTAACTTCTCTCCACCTTCAGATGATACTTTCAAGTTACCTTCCGTAGGATCTAGTGTATCCTCTGCTGCAGATTGTGTGTTCGGAACACTTTCCAATGAAGTTGGGTTAACCATATTATCGGATTCCTTTTCTTGAGCTTCTTCTAAGGACACTGTTGAATTTATTGTAGAAGCTTCGACTTGGGAAACAATTTCCACATGAGTTATGAGAGCGATAGATTCCGCGACTCCAACAGTTTCTGCCCCTACAATAGCTTCTGAGGAATCTTTTACGGCTGATTGTGTTTCGTTATTTAGTTCCTCTGTCGCTTTGAGTTCTGCATCAATTACTTCAATAATTGCTGATGGATCCACGGCGATGGGTTGAGGCACTGGACCCGATTCCACAGGCTCTAACGTTTCCACTGTAAAGGATTTTGGTTCCTCTGCAATATTTTTAGTTTCAGGAACAAGATCTGAAGTCGGTGGCGGTTGCACTGCAGAATCTAGCTCCACAATTATATTCGGAGGGTCTGCGGCAGATTGTTCCGGCAAAACAGGTTCCACGCTTACTAGGGGTTCAACTTTATCTGGTTTTTCTTCTGCAGGAGTTGGTGGATCAAATTCTACTGCGGGGGCTGGTAATTCTGGTACAGGATCCGCAGAAGCAGGCTGCTCTCGTACTGTTTCGGGATCAGCTACCCCAGAACATGGGGGATCTTCGGGAACAGATTCAGTTGGAGGATGAATTTCCAATGTCTTTGGGGATTCCAGATCGACAGATGCTGTCTGTAAAAATTCTTCTTGGGTGCTTGAAGCATCCAGTGCGTCAGATTTTGTTTCTAAAGGCGTTGGGGATTCGGAACTTTCAGATCCTTTTTCTGGAACTACTTCCAGGGAATCTGGCGAATCCTTAGAATCATTTACGATGGTTTCCGCACTGACAGGTTCTATTTTAGAACTTTCTTGTTCCGATTCTACGGTCTGCGTTTCTAGAACTATTTTTGCAGACGCTGGGGCTTCGGTTTGTAGGCATGGATTATCTATAACTATTTCTTCATTTTTAGGATGCTCTACATTAATAGATTGGATCTGTGATATATCGTCAGTATTCGCTGACGTTTCTAAAATAATTTCCTCAGGAGCTAAGGTCTTCTCAGCGACGAGTTGCACCTCAGCCACTATATCCAAGGAAGCAGATTCAGGCTTACGATCACTTTCAACTGCTGCTGGCGATTCCATTGAAAGAGTTTCAGTTTCTTTAACAATCACAGGCTCTGAAATATTTTCTGAGACCGGCACAGCTTGAGGAGTAGAATACAAAAGAGTTGCCGCCGAGATCTCTACAGCACAAGTTTCAGTTTGAAGTAAGACTGTAGTTTCTGCCAAATCAATTGTGATTGGTTGTGATTCTGGTTCCACTTTCACAGGTGCCTCCTGATTGCTTTCCGTTTGTGCGGCAGATGCAACGGGTTCTTCTTGGGAAGCAACTTCAATAGCAGGCGAAGGTTCCTCAGCCGCAGAATCAGATTGAGTCAATTGTTCAACATGCTCCGATTGCGGATCATTTCCCTCAGACGTAGATTCAATTTTTACAGGAATTTCCGCAGACGCAGGGAATTCCACCGCAACCACTTCAACAGGTGGTGGTGTATTCTCAGGGTCGGTTTGTGCATCGAAAAAGATTTCCGCAGGCTCTGGTTCATCTTGTGAAACATTATTCAACGGCGATTCCGCAAGCTCGACAGGCAACAACCCCTTTTCCAGTTCACTTTGGAGTTCGATAGGAACGGTTTTGTTGGGTTGGGCATCTGGTGAATCAACTACGACTTGTGGCTCGGGATTGACTTCCACTTGCACTGGGAGTTCGGATTGAGTTTGCAGAACAGATGTAACAGATTCTACTTCCGAAGTGATGTCTAAAGGAGCAATAGATTCTGCACCAATAATTGTTACGGCTTGTTGAGCTTCTCCAACTGCTTCAGGCTGATGAGCAGGCGCAGGCGAAGGAATTATATCCACAGCCGCAGAGGATTCAATTGCTGCGGTATTTACTTGTGGTACATTTTCCACAGGTGCTAGGATATTGTCAGGATCTGGTTGTTTATCTATAGCGATTTCCGCAGGCTTTGGTTGTTCCCTTGCTTCCAATTGTGGTTCGGTACTCACTTCAGACTTACAAACTAATTCGATCTCAGTTAGAAGCTCTGCAGGAACCGGCGCCGTTTCCAATGGATTTTCTTGATTGACAAGAGCAGATATTTGTGGAGCAACTTCCATAGTTTCTAGAGGTCCGACGTAATGTTCGGGATTTACTTCTACTGGCATTGGAAGATCGGATTGAACAGATGCAACAGTTTCAGCTAAAGTTTCTGCAGCAGTAGTTTCAGCTTGAGGAACTTTTTCAACTGGTTTAGACTGTTGAACATTTTCTGCAGGAGTTGATTCTGCTTGAGGAATATCATCTGAAGGGGAAGAAACAATTTCCGTAGCCTCAGGGGCTTCCATCGCCGTAGCATCTCCTTGGGGAACAACTTCAACAGATATTGGTGGGATTTCAGGCTCGGTTTGTGTACTTGAAGCAATTTCCGCTGGCTCTGGTGGTCCCTTGACCACTGTTTGGGTTTCCAGATCCACCACGGGTTCACATGGTGGTGCTAAGGGACTAGGTTCATCATGAGAAATGCTTTCCACAGGATCTTGTGATGGCACAACAACTGAATCATTCTGTAAAAGAACTTCTTCTGGTTGCGGTGAAGTCAAAGAATCGTTTTCCGGTTCTGCAAGAGCTTCTACATGGGTTTCTTCAGGTTTCGGTGGTTCTGCAACAGGCCCTGGTGAATCCAATGCAACCGTTGGGATTTCTGAAGAAATTCCAATATCCGATGGGGTTTCGATTGCGATCGTTTCAGCTGCGGCAACCGTTTCGAGTTGTTCTATGTATTGTGCTGGAGTAGTTTGCACTAGGGATTCCAAATTGACCGTTTGTATAGTTGGTTGTTCTAATTCATCAATTGCGACAGGCTGTGCTTCTCGGTTGGAAGATACAGATTCCGTTTGTAAGACTGATTGGGACTCAGAGTTTTCCAAAGTCGGTGTAATTTCTGCTTGAGGAAGGACAGGAGATTCATCTTGAGAAACCATTTCTGGCAGTGGTTCTAATGAAACAGATGCATCTTGGATAACTTTTTCAGCAGACTCTGGTGATTTAATTTCGGCGAGTTCTACTTCGGAAACGATTTCGACAAGGGCTGGTATATCCACATTGGCGGATTCCTCTTGTGGAAGTAATTCTATTGGCTTCACGGCAACAGGATCAATTTTTTCTGCCGAGGAATCTAAGACAAAAGCATCCGCAGAAGCCGAAAGATCCACACCAGAAGTTTCCAACTGGAGAACGACTTCAAGAGGCGCTGGAGGATTCACATCAACTGACTCTGTTGTGGATGGTTGTTCTGCACCGGCCAGTGTTTCATCAATGGGCGTAGGTTCATTCCCAGCAACAGATTCAGATGGTTTTGTTTCTGCAACAATTTCCGGAGGAGCTACTGATTCAACTATTGAAGGTTCCGGTGTTTGCTCCACTGGTACAGACTCAATAGATTGCGGTGCATTTACATCAACAGATTCGGGAGGTTCCACTGCGATTGTTTCTGTCGCTGAAATAACTTCCACAGAGATCATTTCTAAAGGTGCGGCTGCTTCTACAGGGGCTATAGCTTTTACAGCGACAGGTTGCGATTCAGACAATTCTTTCACTAATTCAGGAGGTTCCACTGCGAAAGTTAAAGACGCTAATTGCGGAACATCTATTAAAGTTTCTGGAACAATTATTTCTGTAACAATTTCTAACGGCGGTGGGATATCCACTCCACAGGTCTGCGTCTCCACGGCTTCAGGGATTACCGGTGGCATAACATCGATCGGATCTGTCCTTGAAATAGTTTCAGTAGACCCTGGTGGGTCTGCTGCTACGGGTTCTGGAACAACTTTCTCGGCCGATGGCTCTATCAATGCAAGATTTTCGATAGTTGCTGGTGGATCCACTGGCACACCTTGAGCATCGAGAACAGTTTCCAGAGGTACCACAGATTCCGTTTGTACAGTTTCGGACTGAGAACTAATTTCTGTAGGTGCTGGTAAATCAGCAGTTAAAGGTTGATCCTCTACAACAGTTTCTACTGCTGTCTGGGGCTCCAACTCGAGACTTAAAGGTTTCGGTGGGTCAACTACTTCGGATTGTGATTCTTCCACTTCCAAAGGTGCAGCTAGATCCACAATGGTCGGCCGTACTTCTGGAACAACCCCAGCAGACGCATTTGAATCGACTTCTCCAGACTCTGATTCACAAATTGTTGGCGTTGAAGGTTCCAGGACTACAGACTCTATCTTGGGAGCTTCAACATTGGTTCCATCTGATTGAGTTAGTGAAACATTTTCCGAAGAGGATGGTAGATCTTCGGCAACAGTTTTAGGCTGTGTAACAACTTCACCAGCTGCTGGTTGATCTGTCTGAAGCCATTCCGTGTCAGGAATAGCCTGCGTTGGAAATGGAGGATCCACAAATTCGGTTTCTGGAGCAACAATGGGCGGTGGAGGTTCCACTCTAGAGTCAGCTGCAATTTCTAATCCAGGCGGTGGTGGTAATATTTCTGTTTGAAGTTCAATACTTTGCTCCTCCGAGTTATCGTGTGGTAGACCTGTGATATCTGCGGTTGGTGGAGCTTGTACAATATCAAGTTGAGGCTCTGGGACAGGATCTAAGGCCTCGGTGTTCTCCTCTTCAATGATGTCAAGGGAGTGCGCGTGCACCAGGTCAACAGTGCGAGCGTTGATCTCGGCGAGGGCCAAGTCGCTCAGCTCCTTGAGGGTGTGCATCTCACTGGGGGTCATGGCACCAGGCTGCTCGGACGCCGGGATAGCCAGCATGGGTCCCAAGGCCATGGCAGCCAGGATCTCGATAACCGACGGCACGGTGTCGTGCATTTGCTCCTCGTCGATGTACTCGACTGTGCTGAAACCAGTGCAGCCATCGAGACTGGGAAAATCCTCGGATTCGCCTTGGGCTGTAACACAAACGACTGCTAAGTGCCGATGCTTCAAGATCAAGCACAATGTGGCTGAGATACTAAAGGAGGGGTTCTGTCTACAGCTAATAAGATGTCAACGATCTAAGGGGCTAGTGATTAGGGTGTAAGTAAGGGTTAATCAAAATCGTAGCAGTACGATGAGATACAATGTTTGGAGTTGAAAGGGAAATCCTTCGAGGAAATTACCTGCAATAGGAGTATGGTCCGGCTCCTCATTCAACAGCTCGTCCTGGAATATAGTTGGAGGTGGTGGCGGTATTGGAGAAGGAGCCTTCGCATCGGATGGCACGGCCATTGGGGACACCACGAACTCGTTGGTTGTCTCCGTAAATGCAGGCTCGTGCTCCTCCAGCAATGTGTGGGACGTGAGACTGGTGCGGTCTACCAGCTCATCGAGGACGAGCTTGGTGTTCTGGCCACCAATCAGGTGTTTGCTCAGCAGGCGATCGTTAAGGTCATTGCATCGCAGCAGATCCAGAGAGCTCTCCTCGATATCCGAGCCCATCTCCGACAGATCGCTCACCTCGTCGGTGGTCTTGTCGCCAATCTGGGCCCTAATATTCTCACTTGGAGCCGGCACCAGCATGCCAATGCTGCTCGGAGTGGCCGAGCTGCGCTTCTTCTTGAACAGCCAGTTGTCTTCCCAGTTACCCTCCCCGATCATTCCCGAGGAGATGGATCCAATATCTAGTTTGCAGAGGAATCAAGATGTTAGTAACTCCAAAGCAAGTTCTTACTAGGGGTAACCACTTACCATCCTCGGATTCGGTGACGGATGCTGAAAAGTCTGGCAGAGGCACCATATGTGCGGCTATGTAATCACTGAGGACCGATTCCCTCTCCAAGTCCGTTTGCAGGGATTGGGATTTGCCGTTCTGTAACTGAGAAGTTTAGCAATCTGTTTGAACTTCTAATTGGAAGCCACCTACATCCAGTCCGATTTCATGATCCGTGAGGCTGCAGTCACTGCGTGGCTCTATTGAACTTCCGGACGTTGTGCTCAGCGCTTCGGCATTGAAATTCTCGTCAATGTGGCGACCACTCAAGTCCGGCGTACTCTCCGCCAAGAGCCTTGTATTCCCTTCCTTATCCGCAATCTGGCCGAGGGAAAACGTAAAAAGAAAATGGAAAAATTTTAGCCCATCGCCCTTGGCATTGTGAAATGTAAAAGTTGTTGAACCCCAAGCTCCCGATTTGTTGTGGGTCAACTGCTTGTGCGTCGGAAAAAGCCCTTAAGCAGATTAGACCCGGCAATATTTAACGACCGTTCGTTCTTTCGTTTCGTCATCGATTACCAGCCAATATTGATTGAGTGCCTTGACGAAGTCAATTGCTGGCCACGTTGCATAAGCGCTTTGATTACGGAATTTGGCAGTTAAATGATGACTGGATCAGTGACGCTCTGATAAGATCTCAATACCAAATACCAAACGTGGCTGATAAGGCTGGTTGAGCGATTTCACCAGCTAATCGCGGTAGAAACTTCTCCGGTAATATTTACTTTATCCCCTGGATCTGCCATGATCCGAATATTGCTGATGAAACTCTCTTCGGTATTCCAGCGAACTGATTTATCCAATTAGCGCTGGAAGTGATTGGGGCACTCTTCCGCTGGCTTGTGGGCTAAAACGTCTGCACAGGCAAGACAATGGACTGCAACTAATTAGCCTGGTCCGCTTCGCCGATGTGACAACTGGGCAATGGAAGCCGCCCAAGTGCGGGTCGAATGAAAGTGAAAATGGCGGAAATGGCCAGAAGAACATGGCTTACAAAGTATGGAAAGTTGAGGGGAAACGGAGGAGAGGGGTAGGCACCACAGGTGGCGACCGAGGCACGGGTCAGTGCGACTTACCTTATTCAGCACCGCCGTGGCCAACAGATCCTGGTAGATCTTCGGCTCGAAGTAGTGCTCGGTGCGGTGGCGCCGCTTCAGGCCATTGCCATTGGCCAACTCGGAGGCGTGGGACCGGGTGTCCAGGCTGATCTCGGACACCGCCCCACTGACACTCAAGGTCGAACTCCGCAGGGTCTCCGCTATGATCGTCTCTATGAGACTTCTTAGTCGGGTCTGCGAAATGTCGGCCAACTCGGAGTCGGCATTGTTGTTGTTGTTGTTGTTGTTGTTATTGTTGTTTAGGCCACTGCCGCTGTTGTGGCCATTTACGATGGCCGGCAGATCTGAAAGCAAGTGTTGAGCATTGTTAGCGAAATGTACAAGACCGAGAATGCTGGCCAAAACCACACAGCAACAAAGTGCTTGGTTAGCAGAGATCGATACAATTAAAAGTGAAAACTCGGTTACTTCTAAACGAATGCGAATGCGATTGTGAGTGTGAGTGTGAGTGTGTGAAAGGCAAAGAAAGTAAGTGAGTGTGTGAGTGTTTTAGCCATACCTAATTTCACCTCAATGACGTAAACCACGTAAAAGACAATTACGGCCACCACGGCATACATGCCCGTAACTAGGCCCAAAGTAAAGTCCATGCTGCATGCATACATATATACTAAGTACTATGTATATAGTCGCAAATATCGTGTATGTCTGACACAGCTGAATCGAAGTCGATATCTCGCCTATTTGTTTATTTACGTTTGCAGAGTTTGTGTTTGTACTTGGGTTTTGTTTAGAGCTTTCATTGATACAACGGTCGGCTGAGCTGTTATTTATATCGAGCAAATATTTGAGTTGTATTTTTTTTTGGCATTGTTCCCCTAATTGAGCCCCGAACATACATTTATCCCGCCTTCCCTGAACGCATGAGCAACCGGAGCTCTCCAAACTTCGAACAAATCCACTCGGGCTGAAAATCGCGACCACGGTTCGCATATTTATCATTTTCCTTTGACAAGCTAACTCTATTAACGTATTGCGGTAAATACCCCACCGCATAATGAATAACCCCGAGTTATCTATTTTGCGTTACAATACCGCCCATATTTCTTTATCTGCTCGCTGGCTACCTGTCTGAATGGCTAGACCCCCGTTAGTCATTCAGGTGTGCAAAAGTGTCACAGACGCAGACTTTTGTGTCCAGAACGGGCATCGCACAAGCGAGTCATCAATGGAAATAGCCAGCGAAACTGGCCCCTAGGACAGAACCAGCCGGATCACTTCTCATTGTCTGAGATCGCATTTTGTGCGACTCCAAAGTTCAGGGTTCAGGCGAAATCGCTCTGGCAATTATCACTCGCTGATTCCACTTTATAAACTTAGTACTCCCGCCCCGCCGAGTGGGTCCAAGTGGCCCGATAATGCCCCTCCGGACTGCTCCGACTTCGATCGGTTACTGGACCCGCGATAAGTTAGGTGCACAAGGTTTACTACTCCACTAGGGTTTATTTAGTTAAGGTCAAAGATATACTACGGCCAGGGGTTTCGGTTACGGAAACGTGTCGAAAGTCCATGATCATCGTTTTCACGATCATAATTTGTTGTTAATCTCGGGATTACACATTCAGAGCTCTAAGCGGGGATGCCGGGGATCATTAATATTTATTAGCGTTGATTAAGGCCTCTTCCTCGTCTAACGCGTTGTTTTACCTCACGATTATTGATTGGCATTTTTGCTCATTTTTCTATTTTTGCCAACTTAGTGTCGGGTCAAGGTTGCTGATAACTCGTCTAAGCGACGATGATGCAGTATCTTGGTCTGTTTGTTTAAGGGCCTTATCTCAGCAGTGGGAAAAGTTCCTCTGTCTGCTGGCCGGAGTTCTTGTTCTATGTGCGCGTTGAGTGTTGGCTTATTCCATGTTATCACACGCGTTTTCGACAAATTCCGCTGGCCCGTTGCTGAATTGGCGTTACGATCGCGGCGCGACGCTTCTGGCAACTGAACCGGTGCCGTGCGATTGCCGAGCGGCGAGCGTTTAAACGCTCACTCACACTCCCAAGTTCATATTTTGTATACCTACAGAGACCCTACAGTGGGCCCGACTGTGGTATTCCGGCCGAGAAGCGGAGTTTGGCTTTGTAATTCACAAGCGTTTTAGCGCCCAAATTGCCAAACTCAGCTAGAAGCGTGACCAATTCGATCGGTTGTTAAGACACACAACCCCTTGAGTGGTCTTGTAAATAAGTCATTTCAGCCAATTTTCTGATCACGGAACCTGTTGGTGAGCAATGCGCCAACGGTTCGTATGATTGATGCCTAATGTGTTCTGTCAATTGAGCTAATGCCAATATTTTGAGCGTTGCAGCACTTGCACAAAGTGCTTGCTATGCGTTTTATTAAAATGTTCTCGCTGCCTTCGGCACTTCAATAGCTGAAAACCCTTATCAAAGCTCTGGGACCTTATCACCGACTAGATGACTCTTTGCCGCTTCTTATCAACAAGCATTGACCGCGATTTGAGTAGGTTGGAGAGAGGTGAGAAGATTTCTAGGAGAGTGAGAGAGAGCTATTATGCGTTGGTCTTGCCATTTTAATTGGGCTCTCTGACTAGGCCCTCTGATAAGAACTATAATTTCCCATTGCTGCAATCATTCATGGCCTTTTGCCTTATTGCCTACAATAAAAACCTTTAATGCATGCATGCCAAGGCTAAAAATAGACACACAAGTGAAAAAAACCTAGGGCTGCCTGTTATAATTTAAGGATAATTAATATTATGTTGTTTATCAGGAGTATGTTTTTCCTTGCTGAATTTTGTACTTTAAAAAGTTTCAGATAATCTTTTTTGCCACGATACTAAAACATTTAGTGAACAATTAAATTGAGTAAAATGTATTATCGGTTTATTGGCTTACTCGAAGAATTCGAAAATTAACTCGTTTTCTCTGTGTGATCAGATTTAACTACTTCGAATGGAATATTTTTGACATTTTCATTACCGTACTTAATCAAAAAAACTACATAAAAAAACGAATAAGCTACAAAAAATGGGAAATGTTCTTATTAGCCTGATATAATATCTTTTCGCAATCTTAATTGAACAATACATAAAACAACATGACAGTAAATAGATAGTAGCTGAAAGGAAATAAAAAGATTTTCAAAGAGGATATTACGACTTGATAAGATAAAACAAACTTATGTCGGCCAAACTAATAACCAAACAACTTTTAAGATACTTCCTACAAAAACTACGAGTCCATAGGATCAAGGTTAGCGTACAAAACAGACGATTACAGCGTGCGTGCTCGATCGATTAGTGACAATCGATTACCGATTACTTACCTCCCTTGAGCGCACGCGCGCACAAACCGTTTTCCACATTGATAAGCAGGTTACTCAGCTTCGCATGGAATTTGTCAAAGAGTTGCAAGTCTGATTTGCATGTGTGTGTGTGTGTGGTGTATGATGTGTGTGTCATGTGTGTGTGTGTGAGGTGTGCAAACATCGGTTAATGAGCGAACAAAACAAAGAGGACAGAAATGCTTTCCAGCAAGCTCTCACTGGAAAGCTTGCCTAAAAGTATGCTTCGATTGGAATTTCGCAGGCCAGCAACAAATGTTGCTAACGTGTTTGCAACATTTGTTGCTGGTTCTCAAAATATGTATGTTGCAGCGCCAATTGAATTTGATTCGCACAAATTGCATGAATTGCATTTGCTCTAATCGAATCTCTGACAATCTGGGTACTTACAGTTCTCGCTTTTGGACAGCTGCCCCACTTTGATGTGGTCCAAATTGCCGCCCAGCATTTCGGCCACGATCTCCTCCACGTACTCGCGGATCTTGGCCCGCTCGTCCAAATTGGCAGTCTGGCCACTCTGGCTAACGCTTTCGAACTCTGCAATCGAGTCTGCATCATAATAGCCCATATATTGATTTTTGGGCTTTACTTACGCATGCTGCTGTCGTTTCCATCGCCCAAAATTGGTATGTAGACCTCACTCCTGGCCCTCATCGGATAGACGAACTTGTGCTGGTTGAAGGACATCTGCTCGGCCACCCACGATGAGGTGTGCGCCAGCGATTCCTTTGAGCTCTGGCACAGCTGGCACTCCCACTTGGCGTCCTTGGGCCGCCAGTCGGCGCACTTTGGCCCGCGGCAAACGGATTTCCCGCAGGTGCAACATTTCACAAAGCTGAAAGGATAAGCAGATTAAGAACGATTTAACCTTAAACCTTAATAATTCAAGTCATATATCTAGTATAAGTGGCACATCCACTTTTTGTTAACTTTTAGCTTTCTAACTTTATGAGTTTTATTTCCTAAAAAATCTTTTCACAAGAGTTTAACATGCTTCATTTTTAAAAAGAACGCAGAACTTTAATAATGAAAAGTTGTCTGACATATTTTTCGTTATGTATTATAGTTTTACTGAAAGACATTAACGCAACTGAAGGTTTTTTTAAGACTCTTGAATTTCGACTTCGATTCATGGAAAACGAAATCATACAGCTGCCATAGGAAAGATAGAACAAGAAAGGAAGCTAGCTTCGGCATGCTTATACTTACTGCTAGGGTACAGTAATCAAAATTGGCCAACCAAATAGACTGAGGCTAAAAAACATCAAAAATTATGCTTTTCTGATAAAAAAACAACGATTTTATAATTTTTTTTAGTTAATTTAATATATAGATTTTCTGATCTTTGAATTTTTATTCGATTCAAGGGTATTTAAAAAAATTGGTGTTATAAAAATCATGGTCGTGGGATAAAAACGACATTATAATTTTTAATGATTATTTCTATATAGATTTTTCGATCTTTCATATGAAAGCTATGTGATAATGATGTCGGATTTTAATGAAATCTTTTCTTGATTCAACAGTTATTAAAAACTCCATATTTTGAAAATCATGCTCGTGGGATTAAAAACAACGATGTCATAGTTTTTTTTTTCCATTATTTATATATGTATATATATTTCGATCTTTTCTATGCAAGGCTATATGATAGAGCTATCCGATTTTGATAAAATTTAATCCACAATTCAATAGTAGTTAGAAAACGCCATCTGGAAGAAATCAAGTCGGTCATACGTATTTCTATTTTGATCGTGATGCTGATCAAGAGTATATATGTATACTTTATGGGGTCTGAGGTGCCTCCTTTACTGCGTTGCAAACTTCTGACTGAAATTATAATACCCTTTGCCCTGCAAGGGCATAATAATATCCTTTGCTCTGCAAGGGTATAAAAATTACTATTTCGTCTAACTGTCATACAAACGAAAAACTAATGGAAATTCCTCAAAACTACAGATAAACTATAGGTAACATTATCGCAGACTTATAGATATAGACGATATATAGGCTTCAGTTCGTCAACTCTAGCTTCCGTTATTGTTAAATAGGGGAAAGTGGCGTTATTGTATATATTATATATAATGTTTCCAGATTGATTTAACAAATAATTAAAATTTACCAAGCTGAACTTAATGATTTTATTTGCTAGCAATAAAAACGATTTTAAAACGCTGATAACAATACGAAACAGGTATTCTTTTGGGTGTTTATCGGATTAGGTGGTCTGCCAAAAATAGGGGCGTACTCACCTTTTGGCACTGCTCAGATCCAAGTCCGCACAGCAGACGTTGCAGCTGTGATCCTCGCTGGGCTCCTCCTTCCTCCACTTCTTATTGGCTAGTTTGCTGCAAGAAAAAAGGCGGAAGGAACCGCAGATGTTAGTTCGAGAATGTTGGCGATAAACCGAAACCAGACGATTAGTCAGGTCAGTTCTAATGAACCGGTGGGGTTATTCAACGGTGAGAAGGTCGTTGGCTGAAGCCAACCAATTAGTCGGTAGCCATCGATCGCGTCGCTTAAATTTTGCGCCGAGACAAAACCAAACACTTCCCCAAATTCCAAACCAACAGCAATCGCTCCGCCCATTTGCAATTGCATGGGGCAATTGACTTTCTCCCTGGCGATCCCAGCCAATTGGATAACTGCCCAAACCCGTTGGACCAGGCAAACAAACAAAAAGCCGAGTGGGGTTTTATAGCCGAGTTTAATCAACTTACTAAAGCAGTATCGCATAGCATAGCTTAAAATACATTAATGTAGCTCTATCACACATCTTACAATCTACAATCTACAGAGACACGCTGTCTCGATATGCATTCGGATTATGTCAGTCACTTACAGTTCTTACACAATAGAGAAGAAGGGAATTCCTGGGTGTCTTGTACGTGCTCGAAATGAGCAATCGCCGCCAATCGGTTTGCCGCTCAGCTTGCTCAAGCTATTCAAATGGCAAAACTCGCAATTTCGCTTACAAACAAACAAATATAATTTAGGGAAAAACGTCAACCATAAACGGCTTGCGAAAACACTTCACTGGCGAAGGGCTTCGCAGCCATTAAAACAATTGAATACAGAGGGTGGAGAAGAAAGCTCAGTCGGTTGAACCCGCCCATAACCGCTAACACTAATCTTAAAATCCGGCTTAAATCCCGCTAGGTGGTCATTTGTTGCTGCTGCTGCTGCTGCTGTTGTTGCTGCTGTTGTTGCTGCTGCTGCTGCTGCTGCTGCTGTTGTCTCTGGTGGAAGCGCATCCTCCGGCGAGCCCAGTGCTCGTAGTTGTTCTCGAGGTTCTCGTAGTAGATCTGCTCCTCGGCGTCGGGGCCTCCGTTCTCCTCCCAATCCTCCGCCGGGGGTCCAAAGACCGGGTGGCTGGTGGTCATCTTGAGCAGCACCACCTCGATGGAGCAGGCCATGAAGAGGAAGCCCAGCACCGCGAAGCTGATGGGCAGGCACATCAGCCGCTCCACCTGGCACAGGAGCACCGCGGAGAACAGCATTCTCCCTGGACGCGAACGTGGGTTCCTGGGTTCGATCTGGCTGTTGTTTATGGGCGAACTGCAGGTGTGATCGGGCTCGGATCAGGTATTCGAAATGTTTGTCGACTGATTAGCGCCGCTGGGCTGACTCGGATTTGGCATGGCACTCGCGTTGAACCGATTTCGCCAATGGAAGAAGCACTTAATGCCAATTCGCTATCAAATCGCGATTCACAATCCGCGTCCCACGGCACTGACAACTTTCTCGCACAAGGTTTGCCTTTGTTATGCGCAGTTGGCTTTGAGAGTCGGCGGTCAACAGCTGAGATCGGCGGCTATAGCGGCCATAGTCTCTCTGTTCGCCTCGCCATGAGCTATCCACATCCATATCCCATGCCGGTTTCGGTCGTGGAGAGCGGAAAGCGGAAAGCGGGAGCAGTGCGGAGCGAATCGCCTCTCTAGCGCTAACAAACTCGTTGGTGACGTAAGTTGGCCCCCTGCACACGATCCCGTCGAGCAGGTCTATGTAGCGGAATCCCAGGCATGACTGCGCATATTTCCATGCAGATTTATCGCCTTTCTTCGCCGATCTCTGGGCCCAAAAGCTGGAAACCTGGTCAAGCAGGAACCGTTTTCTGGGGAACTGATCATACGTGGTCCGAGATCAGCAGTCAACATCATCACCTAGGCTGACTGCTGCATTCATTCGTCTACTAATTTATTTTTGGCAATATTTTTCCCGCTCGCCGTCTTGGCCTGAACTTCATTAATTTCCAAATGCTAATTGTGAGAAACATTCCGCAAACGGGTTAGCTTAGTTCTTGTCTGCCAAAAATAATGTATTCATGCGACGAGCGGTTTATAAACTAATCAATCGACTGATGACTGGATTCGAGTTTATTTTAATTATCTTAACTACTTTGGCAGAGATCGGCGCCTCGCATCGGCAACACTTTCATCGGTTCCAAGCCAGGGGTACATTTTTCAAAAAGCGACCTCGTGTCAAAGATTCACCAGAAATCTGTGTTGGGAATCTGGGTTAATACGTGTGAGTCTCATGTGTCCCATTAGCATATTCCCGCTCGAGAAAGCTTCAAGCCCCCGGGTTCTGTCTTTATTAATATCCCAACCAGGCCAAAAGCTTTCACACACGCTTCATTGATAGCATAATCTCCAGAATTTCCCAGAAGAATCACGATTATTAAGTTCTGGGTAAGTGGCATCGTAAATTGTGTTATTGGCTTAGGAGTAATAAAGTTTCATAAACCGCGCAGCGTGTGATGATGGGTTATTGTCCAACTTTTGTGAGATCATCACTGGCCTTATCCAAACGGTCTTAGGAATGCCTCAAATATATCCATTCCCTCTTCAAATCGTTAAATTCACTTCAATTAGACTTTAAGTCCGATGCCTAAAAGCATGCTCTGAATCACATGTGATGGGAGCCATGTTTTCAGCACCTAACACCACAAACCAGACAACCATTCTGCCAAAACATACGTGTATGGCCATAATCGCTTTTGTTCAAATATTTCGCACACATTTCGCGCCTGCAACTCGTTGTTGTTCTCACTGTCGCATGCGGTTTTAGATCCCACTTTCGACCGATGAAAATGTTTGGGATATGACTTTTTTGTGGCTTTTCACTTGCCACAAGGCTGGCATAACTCGTTTGTTCTCACTTTAATAGCAAATAAAAACTCAGAATATCTGTGCATATCTCCGCTATGCCATCGGCCAGACTTAATTGCATTTGGCTGACTTTCCACAATCCACAACTCGTTTGGCTTTTATCGTTGGCCGCTTTTGTGAGACGATTATAATACCAAGACTTCTTTAAAAGCTGGCAATTGATAAGCGGAATAAGATACACTGAAATTTGTTTATGGCTTGGGATTTTGCCAGAATTTTATTTAACCTTCGAAGTGAAACATTAAAACTATAAGCTATCAGTAAGCTTCATAAAAATATCTAAAAGGTATTCTGCTATTGCAGTAATATTTTCAACCACGAAACAACCGCGCAAGGAACGTGGGATCTTTAGACCTGGAAAACCCAAGTTTTGCCAAAAGTCTTACGGTTTTGAAACGCGTAGTTTGCAAACACACTTGCAAGTAATGTGTAACTACCGCAGCAGTAATAACACAAATAAAATGGCCAACAAAGCGGCTAATTAAGCTGTCATTGAATGGTGACGAAAGCCAAACAAGCGAGGTGCCTGTTGGCCACGGCTAATTGTTATTGGCGATTCGTGATGCTTTTTAAGGAAAAGCGAATACAGAGGAGTGGGGGAGGTAGTGCCCTTTGTTGGGCACCGACTTCCGTTGGCCATTCTTCGCGGTTCTATGGTTCTTGTGGCCAAATTCGCGCACTGTCGTTGGACAGTTTGTCTGGGAATGTTATGAAACGGCTAACGGATCGCCGACCATCAATAAGGCGTAACAGGTGCAGCATGGATTTGCAGCAGGTGGCCGGGATTGCGCAATCCCTAATTAAGGCGAAGCTACGTACTCGATGCCCAAAGTGAGCAACTGCAGCCGAGAAAAGTGGCCAGTGGCTAGTGGCAAGTGGCAAGTAGCAAGTGGCAAATGGCGGCCGGAGAAATGGCCACAATTATGTCAAATCTCCTTCGTTGGCCATTTCCCACACGCAAACGCAATCAAGTCATGCGAAACGACGGACACGTAACCGGGTTGAGGCTGCAGCCAAGAAAGTTTAGTTTCGGTTTCTATTTGGATTTATGCAGCACAATAAAGTATTTCTATCTCCAGCTGCGGCAGCATCCGCAACTGAATCTGCAACTGCGTCTGCACGTGCGGATCCGGAGTTTGGCTCACGTACGAAAAGTGCATCCATCGGATGCAATGTTTTGATTTATCCACACTCGATTAACTCACCCCAAGAGCTGCTGGGCGCCACACTGCAGCAGGTAGGCGCCCCCGATGAGTCCCACCACGGAGGTGAGTCCCAGGAGGAGACCTCCACTTCCCGGTCGATTGATTGGCAGCTCCATGATACAGATGTACGGGCGCATCCAGCGCTTCAAGCACTGCGGAGTTCGCATCGAATTCAATTACAATTACAATTACAATATCGATTTCGTTTTCATTTCCAGCAGAACCACACACGCACCCGGCGGAAGTCCGTTTAATTTAATTCCATCACTAATGAAACCTCTCACCCGACTAAGTCAAAGAAATCGCCAGCGGAACGCTCCTCAAAACTATTTCGTATTATCAGAACCAAGAGTTCTTTTTATGTGTGGCTATCATCTCGTGGTGAGTATTTACGTGGTTTTCGGCCAATTCATACTTTGGCCTTAGTCTTATCAAAAAGTTTTTGTTTGTTCGGTTGAAGTGAGTAAGATTTCGAAACAGAGTTGTGTGGGTAAATACCCTACACCGGGAATTTGAGTTTCCAGATACTTAAGTTTTCATATTAAATGTAAATACTCAAACGGAATGTGTGAAATCATCACGTAAAAATATTTAGAGGTGCATAATTGTACACACTTGATTTCGTGACAACTATAAATATCTATCTAGGAAACTAAGAAACATAATGTAAAGTAAGAACTTATCCGTCTTTGAGTGAGTTAAGTGTATGCACAAAGAAACTGTCGTAAATCACTTAAGATTACACTATTCATTCAGGTATACAAATCTTATCGCATAGTAAAGATGCAGTCACTTTTGCGAAGTTAATAAAGAGCTTTGGCTGCAATCGTTTGAATCACGTACTGGTCGTTACTTATTTGTTTATTTATTTGCTTAGGTGAGTTCTTTGTGTTCATATTTTGCCCACCGCGATTAGCAACAATTAAAGTTGATAATTTTAAAGTTGATAAATGTACACTGCATAGCTGTTTGCTGGCAAAATCTCTGACGAGTTGCATAACTTCCTCGGGCTGTGCATAAATTACTTGCCAAAATTATCGCTTCAGGTGTGTGTGGTTCTGAGAAAAATGTGTTTAATTAGCGCGTTATTCACTTCAGTTGGCATTAAAGTTTAGGTTTATTTCTGTTTGGGTTTTATTAGTTGTGGAATCTTCCAGGTGAACCGAAGTGAACTTCGCCGGGGAATATCTGAATAAATAATTACCACAAGTTTTTGATTTTTCGTTTGGCTTGTTATTTCTGTTTGCAGTTATGTACGGCGATTATCAATCACTCTTTCGGGGGAATATCTTTCGGAGGTGTTTGCCACTCGCAGTCAGCCCGCTAATTGCCATTGCCCCCGCACCACCGCCGGTCACCTCACTCCATCTTCAAAAAACCAAAGCCGACGACACCGAAAACAATCCCGAGTGCATGACGCAGAAATTGAAACAAATCGCGGCTATATGCTCGTAACCAACTGATTAAGATCACGCGGCTAAGGGCCTCGTTGGCAACGATCTTCCAGCTAACTGAGCGATTGGAGCAGCTGACTCCGACTGAGACAGGTTTGTTTTAGCCAAGTTATATTCGGTTTTGTTTACTTTTTTGCACAATATATAACTGGGGTGTATGGGCATTATATTGGATTTTGTTTGCCCACTTCGTTATTGCGGATCGTGTATATAAGCCGTCCGTTGATTTGATAAGAGCTCCGCTCGCGTCCAGCGATAAATATATATAACATCTCGGAATGCGACGAAAAACTCGCAGATAAGTGTCAGGTCTTTTTCTGGGGTTAAGTCACAAACAGCTGAATACTCTTTCTTTAATTCTAGGGCCTGATATTGCTTCTAATAATCGTGTTTCCTGGGGGCTATTTCGAAATTTTATTTAATTTTGTAGGTTTTGTGTGCGTTGCGGACGAGTAACCAAATCGGAACTGGCCCTTAGTGGCGCAGTGGGTCAGAGCTTCGTTGGCCATGCAACGCGGGGGTGGAAAGCAAATCCCCATTGAGCCGCCAAAAGATGGACACTTATGACCCCACCGCCTTCAATATTCTGTGGCATTTCCCAGTGTGCAGCGGACCTTATGCAAATGCAAATGCCACTTGGCAGCTGCCAGTCACATGTCCGCGGCTCGAATGGTGGCAAGTTATTGCGGCCAAAAGGAAAAAGCGCTCAAATCGATTGGCCCTGCCATTGGCCATGCAGAGCTTGCGGCAATTAATTGGTATTAATCAACTTAATTATGAAATGTTCGATAAGATTGCGACTCCACTCCTCCGGAGGCGATACTCGTGTGGAAAAACCAAATTATCATGGAATGGGTTACAGGCTTTGGCGTTTAATAGAAAGCCGATTCTGGAATGCTCTTTGCTAATTTTAATTTTAACAGGTTCAACATAACTAAAAACAATAGGAATTTCATTTCCCAACTATCCTAGTAACATGTTGTTACGAATGGTTTACAATTAAAAAAATTTTATATCACAGGAATATAAAAACCTTTTTATACTTGCAGTAGAAAAAATCACAAAAACAATAAAAATATATTTCCTGTGGCAATCAGTATTCCCCATAAACTATATAAATAATTGTACAACAATAAAGTGTACATATTCCTTCAATGATCAGACAACAATATAGCTCAAAGAGGTTTCTTCAATTACGATCGCCGAACTGGGTTGGCCGCCCATTATCATTCCAATGGAACTTCCCCGCCACTTCGTACCTTAGTTTCCCAAACAAATTGCAAACTCATTTGAAAGCGCCGTGGCTAGAAGCACTGGGTTTCTCTTTGACAATTGTCGAAACGGATTCCCAGAAGAGCCAATCTGCTCACGGAATGACTTCTGGCTGAACGAATGACATGGCTGAGTGACTGACTGACTGCGCCCGAGATTTTGTCATTTCCATTTTGAGGCCGGCGAATTTGCATAAATTGATATCCGCCCGCAGTCTGAGAGCTTGAGATGCATGCAACCAAGTCAGTGGGTACACGACCTGTGGGCACCCAAGCCTCTCTGCCAGCAAGCCAATCCCAGCTGCCAGTTGCTTCCGTTACGGCCAAAGGGAGAAAATATCGCCGAAAGGAATTCACATATGTTTTCAGTTCCGAATTATATTCTTCAGCAGCTCGGATTTGGTTCTTTAAACCTTTAATTTTATTTCTAAGCACAGTTAAGACTTTAACTGCCAAGCGTTAACCATATTCGATGGAATTGACCGAAAGTAAGATATAAAACCTGCTTGATTAGTGCTAATTTGGATTAAGTTAATATGGGCATGTCAATCGAATGAGCGATAAAGCTTAGATAAGAATTCTAAAATAGTTTTCGTTCTAGAGCTCCACTCACCTTAATCTATCCCGCAGTTGCTGGTGGTTGAGATGGTCCCGCTGCAGTATCTGCAGGATTCGCTGGCACTGGTGCAACCGCTGGCGCCTCCGCAAGGTGGGAGTTTCCGCCTCCAGCACCGCGATGCCACTGTCCACGCTGGAGTTCAGCTGCTGCTTCACGGGATCGGGACTGCTCTCCTTGCCTTCGCTGTTGTTCTTGCTGCTGTTGTTGTTGCTGCTGCTGCTGCTGATGATGTTGCAGCCCGGCGGCGATGTTGCTGCTGGCGCCTCACCTGCCATGTTGCTGCTGTCGCCAACGGGTGGCGGATGTGTTGCGTAGTTCGTTTGTGAATCTGTGAATCTGTGAATCTGGAGCGGCCCTAGGCCATTTCCGCACTCAGTATCTCATGCAGGCGCACTCGTTCCTCTCACGCACATGAAGCACTTTTGGCAAACAAATTCGCTTCGTCGCCCGGTTTTTTGTGTGTTAATTACGCGCCAGTTACGACCATTGTTTTGCCACTGGAAGCGGGCCCGCACTGCCTTCCACTTGGGCCGCCAAAAAGTCGCTTACGGAGCAGCTTATCAGCCGGCGCGATACACAAACTCAAGACTTCCCATAGAGGGTGCTGGCGGTGTGTTTATGCCTGGGAGCGTTCGCTTTCGTACTGCAATCAAAAGAATTTTGGTTTATTTTTACGGCCGGGACCCATAAACAAATGCGGCAGCAGATAACGAACTGCTCGCCCCCCTTCAGCCAGAATCAGATAACCAGAATCTGGCGATGCCCCATCGCGTTCCATCTCAAAAAAGCCCCCTGACGTCACTGCGTTGGTCTGTCACCTTCGAATCTCTGAGTTCGTGCGATACATTCGGGTGGTGCTGCACCCAAGTGAGATATGTGTGCACTTACAGCTGCGCTTCGCACGCCCAAATATGTAAATTTCGGGCACGTAATTACGCAGAGTGCTTCGATCCGGGCCGCTTAACCCATTTGGCTGACGGCGGGTTAAGTGGCTCAGCGGTTCATCTTCGAAAGAGCCTTCGGCCCCGGGCTGCGAAAAAATATTTGGCAAATTTCGGTGAGCCAAAGAGGCAAAACAGAAATCCCAGCAAATTGGAAAAGAGAAATTCTTGGCCTCCAGTTTCTTTCTCCTCCGTTTTGGCCAGTTAAATGGTTGACTTGAAATGCTGACAGTGTGTCTGCCAGAGCATCTATGGACGGATAGATGGATGGATGGCTGGTTGGCTGGTTGGATGAATGGCTGAATGGCTGGTCGGAGCAAACAAGATGATTACGATTTTGTATTTGACGCACTTGTTGTTCGGTTTTCAAAGTTCGCTGTTCCCTGCTCAGTGTTCAGCGATTGTTGATGGTTTTGGACAAGACAAAGAAACACAAATACAACAAAATGCTGGCCTGCGGGCCAAAGAAATTTGTATTTGGGTGAAAACCGGGCGGACAAAATGTGGATATGTGGAAATTCTCTGAATGGGATTTGCTGCGGATGTGAAAGATAATTTAGGCTTTGCATCAGCATGATATGCAGTTCCCCAAACAATGCGGCAATTAAAAATGCATTTGCCCATGCATAACAAACCAAAATCCGGCGTTTTGCATATCATTTTTGTTGAGGTTGGTCAACAGAAATTGATTTCCATTCCAAGTGCATTACCCAATATGCATCAGTTTTACGTTTACGTTTACCTGCATCTATTCCTGAGTGTCTCTGTGTGCCTGTTTTTGTATCTAATCTACAAGTTGGACTTGTGCAATTTTCACACAATTGTTTGCGGCATTCGCATGGCATGTCGAATTAAGTTGTTACAGTAACTAATCTGATGATTAATTAGACAACAATTTCAGATGCAATTGGGTCGCCGGCAAATGGGTCAGCTCCATCCGGAGAACTGGCTAAAAAGCCGTGCTTAAGCTGGAGTTGCTTGATGGCTCAATTAGTTATGACAGCCTATTTGTACACGGGGAAAAGTTAAGAATGTGTTCTGAAAGCTTAAGTTTATTTTAAAGTACGTATACTCAAAGAATTTCCTTTTCTTATTTTGACAATGTTTTGTGAAAAGTAAAATGTACCTATTAAACTATACTAATTAACTTTTGTATGTTTATCTACCAATTGGTTTGTATGATATGACACAAAAATTAAGCCATCTTAACCCTGAGATCTTCACTTGAAAGAAATCCAAAACTAGGCTAAGTTTGGACTTAATTTTTTCTCTGTGCGCATTTGCAAATATTTGAAGGGAAACTATTTATCAAGCAGCGGGTGCAAAGCGGGTGAGTCGCTATCAACTCAGCTCTTGCTAACGGTTTCACACTCTCTTCCTGGCCAACTTTAATAGCCGTGCCACACACATGGACCCGCACACAGATGCACCTTTATACACATGTATTTATGGTGAAGCCGCAGGGCGCAGCCGCAAATGCCGATTCATTGGGAAATTAGTCAAAGCAATTCCACGCCAATGATGCGTTGTTCGGAGTTTCTTTTTGTGGTTAACTGAGCTGCTTCCCCCTTATGGCCCCCTTTGCCCCTTCTAGCCACCCTGCCCCCATGCCCCTGCCCCCTGCCCCCCTCGACAGCAACAACAATCTGCTTAAATGAACGGAAGTCGACAATGTAGACGCCAGTCGCTGGTTAATACTGTTAACCGATGCTGTCCGATTGGTTTTGGTTATCTCAGTTTTCTCATTTTTACGCTGTTACTCGCTTACTTTTGTTCGTTTTCAATTTACGGGTGAAATGGCTGATATTTGTGTTTTTCGTTTGTAAAAGTTGTTTTCACAGCCATGGCTAACAAGAAAATAATGAACAAAAAAATTGAAGCACACACGCAGAAAATCAATGACAACTATTGGAAGCCAGCGGAAGTGCAACCTGTAGCCATTTCCCACACTCGGGGGTTGTTCCAGGGTTCGCTTCAAAACTCATGCCAACTACAGTGGTCAACCGAATGAGTAAACTTAATAATCAGTAAGGGTACAACAAAAAAAATTAGATTCTACATATGCTTTTTCTTTTGAGCAGTACCCAAAAATCTCGTTTTATGCTGATTAATTTCAATAAATTTCTAAGATGCATATAATAAGTTATTTATTTCTATGTATAGTCCCGAACTTACTGAATAAAAATATCTGTAACATTAGTAAATTGTTTACTGTTGTTTATAGAAAAATTTCAGACTCACTAGAAAAATATTCTTTAACATTCTAATACTTTACAATACTTTTGAACCTATATACTTTTTTTATTTTTCCCAGAGTCTTAGTAGAATCTTAAAAAAATATTTAATTGTAGCACTGCAAAAAGGAATCTATAGTTTGATATATCTATTATTAATTACTATTATTTTAGAAACAAGCCCGGAATAATATTTTAATTACAAAAATCTTAGCTTTAAGGTTGAACTTTTTTTGGCTAAACTATCAATGTTTGATCTTGATGCCCTAATTGTTTCCCCTTTGGATCTCGTACTGTATCGGCAATGTTTTTGTTTTCGGCTGACATTGACACCTGTTCACCTGGCCACCCGGTCACCTCCTCACCCCCTTGGCCCCCACCACTGCCATTTGTTCTTTCCGTTTTTCGTTTGTCGCTTTTTGTTTGCAGTCGTTTGCTTTGCGCATGAGTCGCATGTTTAGTCGTTTAGTTGTTGTTGCTGTCACTTTGGGCATATCGCACGCTCCAGTGACCCATTATATACACAGGGTCTGCTGCGGTATATATGTATAATGGCAGGAGGTGCAGGGCTCTAGCAAACACAATCACACCGCACGTAAAGCACTTTAAATGTTTCGCTTTTGGGACAAGGCTCAGAGGGCTGCCCTTCGAGGTCCCGCTTCAACGGTTCGAGGTTTCGGGGTCCGGGGTTCGGGGTTTCGGGGAGGTATCGTGGTTCGAGGTTTACTTATCGCCCGAGGTTCGTAAAGATCGCACAACTAACTATAGCCAGCACACGTACTCTCCGATTCCGAGCGCCACTCCGTTTGTGCAGAAGGTTGAAACGCGAATGAGCGAGCGGAGAGACGCCAACTTTGAGCTGCGAGTCTGGCTTACCGAAGTGGCTTTAGCTTTACCGTTTGTTGTCGGTTCTCTCTGCCACTCGCATTCTCTCCGCAAAGATATTTGCTCTCTGTATTGTCGCTGCTCAACAGCTGTCACAAAAATTTAGCGGCAAACTTTTGTTCTGCACTCTCCGTCGGTCCTCTGCCACATTTTGCATCAGCTTTTTGGGGGTAGAACTAGTTTTTCGGAGGGGGTTCACGAACGGGTTCCTATTTCAAGTTCGACTCGGGTCTAGGGCATGGAAAGTGCGATTCTGCGGAGGGAGTGCACACTTAACCCTTTGGATTTCGGTTCTAGTTTCGAAATGCATACCAATACAATTTAGAACATTTTTTTTATTACAAAGAAATTTGATTGCATTCATAAAGATTTATAAGTTCATAAAATATATATATATAAATATTTATAAAATGATTATTTATTTAGAAGAGATAATAAGATAAAAAGATATTTGTCCTCTAAAAAAATCTTCCATAAAATTTGCATTATAATCAAAATAGTTCTGAAACTATTTTTGAAGTGACTTAGTTTTTTCCAATGGATATCTAGGGGGTTAATCATTTGCATTGCTTACAATTGTTGTCCCAAGTACTTGACTTTTTCTTAGCTGCTTTCTTCCTAATTCTTTTTCTTTACCTCTCTTATCTCTTTTTTCATTCTTTCTTCCTGTCGTCTTTTTGCTTGCTAAACTTTTCCACTTAGCGCGACGTGTGCTAAAACGTTAATTTGTATGCATAGGGAAGCAATTGAAGATGGGAGATTGCAAGAAAGAGAGGGAGTGTCGGCCAAAAGAAGAAGAAGAAGGGTGGAAGAGAGGGGGAGGGAGAGTGACCACTGGAGATTCGGTTACACAAGTTCAGTTAGAAGGAAGTCTCGCGAAAGTAGAGACAGACAGCTATAAATAGTTTATGGACCGGCCAGTCGATTTGGTTTGTACCCTACCTGTCGAGTGCGACAGAGACGGAAAAGGTCTGGGCCTGGTTTATGTTTATTGCCTCCCCGTTTTGACCCAACTCGGTACTTGGCACTCTGCGCGGAGTAGGAAGCGTTTAACTACCTTTGAAAGACATCTGATACATGGGCAAGTTGAGTTTTGCGGAGTTTATTTTCGTCTGCGTTTTCTTTTCGTTTTATGTGTTTTTAGCCGACACTCCTGCTCCGCTGTAAAAAGCAGCACATTGCACCTGACACACTCACCTGCGATGTATGAACGACATGAGGCACACTGAGGAAAATGGTTTTAACTTCTAAATTGATTTATTAATAAAGAATTTATATATACCCTCGTATACTTGAATATGTTATAACTGTACAAACGTATTTGTTTCGCAGACTTCATTTTTTTTGTAACATTTACTATAATATTCTTTGTCAATACTGTAAAAGTTTTGTGGCTCGAATTTCCATAAAAAGGATGTTCTATATGTTTGACTAGTTTATTTCAAGAAAACTTTTTACAGCGCTGTCTTCAAAGCTTTTGGTGGATATGAAAACTAACTATGTATATCAGAACCAGTTGGGAATTTTATGGGGCATTTGATTTTAATACATATTTCTCTGCTATTTTCCGCAGTGCACTAGAAAACAATATAAATTTTGTATTATACAACAGGCAAACTACTGCAACACTTAGCTCTGGCATTTTGTTAAACTTATTTCTCCGCACTCTTTTAGTTCTGCTATTGAAACGGCAGCGAGAACAGGAAAGAAAAGAACACGGGGCATTACCAGATGACTTTCCGTTCTGCTCAGCATTCACATCAAAATTCCTCGCCATCATCCCGGCAGATAAAATGCGCAGAACCTCTGGAACCGTTAAGATAATCATCAATGAATGCGCGAATGGGTGAACGAGTGAGCGAGAAAAAAGGTGTGTTGGCCACCTCACATGCCATTGTTTATATCCCATGGATTCGGTTATTTATGGCCGAAACGTGGGACCGATCTCCCATATCAAAGAAGTTTTTTCAGTGGCCAATTAAATTCGCTGGCGCTCCGATCGGTGAAAGCATTTCATCAACAACCACCGACCACTTTCGATGGCCAGGGCCAAATGGAGTAATTTGCTTGAATCAATCAAATGACGGCGGATAATTTTATGAATTTATGCAGATTTCCAAACTTTCGAGGCCTGAGAAGTAGGTTTATAGAACCAATTTGGAAGTTGGTTTAATTTTAAGATTGAAATGTAGATCTATAGGAATAAAATGAAATTGTTCAAAGTTATTAAAAACTATTTTATATACATACTTATTCTTTAATAAAGGTAAGACATTTAAGCGCATAATTAACTATAAACTTGCTTAAAATAAATACTCAAATAATTAGGAATTCTGTTCCTATAATTATTATTTACATTTAAGAAAGTGCAAGTTTTGCTCTGACTATATATACAGAAAAGAGGTTCTTCATTTGGTACACTTCGAAACTTAAGCTCTGTAATCTTATTAAAAACTCTAGCATCAAACTTCGGAAAAGCTGACAGCAACAAGTGGCTGATTGAAATTCCCGCCACTGAACGCGAGTCACCCTATTTTCGCGGCAGCTGACGACAGCCAAAGTTGCACACTTTCGGGCGGCTGCAGATAAATTTCCTGCTCAGAGTGGGGCTTATTATTGTAAAACTAATTAAATTAATTCCCGAAATCACCACTAAATATTAATTATGTTGCGGCTAGTGGGCTGCAGGCGAGGATTGTTTGTACCTGCGCAATAGGGAGTCGGGAGAGCAGTCAGCATCCACAGCATCCGCCAGCTGATTTCTGCGAGTGGATCGCAAGCGCCTGGCGTATAAAAGCGACCGAGGCAATAGGATTCCAGTAGTCCTGTTCAGCGATTCCTCCCCAAAGTGTTGGCTCTTAGAAAAGCGAGAACCGAGAACCGAGGCAGCAGCAGAAAAGGAGGGAAATTTTTGCAGTGCAGAGCAAATATTTAAAGTGCCCAAGTACGTGTGTGGGCCTGGCCCAAAGCGAAACACCCAACACCCAAAGTTGACAGTGCCGTGAATTGTGCAAGTTGCCCTGCCCCTTCTAATAAATTAATTCGTTTCGCTCTTTTGTTCCATTCACAAAACCCTCACAAAACCCACACAAAACGAACACAAAACCCACATCAAACGCACACAAACGCCTTGCAACTGCAGCACTTTAGCGCGCCAAGCGAAGATATCTGGCTATATCCTGCATCCTGCGAGGAAGGAGTGAAGGACGCGGCCAAGGGGTAAGTAACGAAGCAAGCGCTTTCGTCTCATTTGATTGCAATTAAAAGAAATTGCGTTAATTGCGAGTTGTGAGTGCGCTGCCAAGCAGGGACCTTCCATCTGAAGGATTCCTTCTGAAGCTTTCCCAGCTGCATCGCTGCGGCATCAACAAGCTGCCAGACAGACACAGCTGAAAGGCTCGAGAGGCGCGAACGTGTCAAAGGCAATAACAACAAGCGTGAACGGAACTAAAATCCATAAATTGATTTTTCCGCCAGCAAAAAACGGGCGAGCGGAACAACAGACAGAAGTGTTGCCCAGATCCGGATCCAGGTGTCTTCGCATTCTCCACATTTTCTGTGTTGCCCCAGCCCCAAAGCCGAATCCGAGTCCGCGTCCGAGTCAACCCCAAAAGCAGGGCTAGACAATTGCAAAACACAGACAGAGGCAGAGGCAGAGCCAGAAGCAGAGGCAGTGGCAGAACCACCATCCGCCGCCCTTAACCCCTGTTTCCCGCTCTTAACCCGCACAGCTGCCCCTGTGGCAAAGCTCGCCCCAAGAAGGATGTGCGAGGAGAGCAGCCTCCATGAATGCTACACCGTCGTATCAGAGTGTCAGTGTGTTGAGTCTGCTGTCAGTGTGTTGGTGTCTGGCCCGCAGCACTTTCCATGTGTGCGCCACTGCCTCCCCGTCTGTGTGGATTCGAGCTTGTGACGTAATGTTTCGGAGGTTTTTGAACTGAAGCACTCTCACACACACACAGCGACGGGCCACAGGCACACACACACTCGCACGCACACGGAGGCAACTGAAAACCAGAGCAAAACCGAAAGCATTGAATGCTTAAGCTCATTACGGCTTTAGCTTTAATAGCCACTTTGCCCAGGGCCATCTATTCTCACCTTTAATCAGCTGGTGTATCAAGTAACTGGCTTGGCATTCAGACCCAAATGGAAGTGCATTCGTAGTAGTATTGTGTTTGAAAGCATCCCTCCAAACTCTTTTTGAAAGAATGCATTAACACCTTCAAATGGAACAAAAACGAGCCTTATAAAACCATTTATTTAGTGGGCTTTCATTACTTAGCAAACTGCAACATGAACTTTGTCCATAAATCAGTTTATATCCCCCAAAGTCATTAGGAATTCGGATAGTTCCCTAAGTTCAGAAGTATGTTAAGTTTCCTCTTGAAAACCACTTCAAAAGTGGCACGCTTTAGTAAAGTGTTAAGACCGTTGGGCAACCGGAGTAAAGTCCCTAATAAATTTAAGATATTCCGAGTTTAGTTGTGTGATTATGTTTAGTAGTCGTAGATGGTTAAAAGTTTGAATATGGAATAACAAAAAATATAATTTATAAATCCCTAACCTAAGAAAAAGATTGTAGTCGAGAAAGCCATGCTTTGAACTAAAGGTAATCAGTTTTATAAGAAAAGTAACACAATCTATTTCTTCCCTTTTCCTAGTAATTAACTCTCTAATTAAAGCTTTTGTGACAAACTCAGCATTCATTATACTCCACTTGCCCTTTCAGTCTGATAAATAGAAAAACACCTCTGTCCTTTCACTTTTAAGCCCTTAAACTTTTAATAAATGGACTGTTGATTTGAAATGGTCTGTACAACTTATATGCTGTCTCTTCATTTAAAATCCTTATTGACACCTTTTCACGCACTATAAAACTTCATGTTATGAATCAGATCTAAACAGCT